AAATATTTGTCCTCATCAACCGCCATCGGAGTGACATCGAATGGCTGCTCCAGGGATATGAGCTGCGGACGGCTAGCTGCCGGATCACTTATTTTCTGCATCGAGTGTCCTGAATCAGACATTTTGATCGTCAGTATTCATCCCGGTACCTTGCTATTATTGGTGGCCGAGACCCAGGTACTCTGCGTGCTGGACCCTGTACCGAGCGCGGATGGGCAAGAGGCAAGATGCGTCATCGCGCATGTTTACCAGTCCCAACGCTTTGTCCCTGCCGCCTAGACCTGCCTTGGGGATTGAGATTTCTTTTCTCTGATGGGAGCTTCCGCCATGTTATCCGCATATCTTGGCTTCCGGCAGATCATGGAGCTTTGAGTGCGGTTGATCGACAGCACATAGAAAGCTCGGTATGATTTATGCACGCTGCCTAAAGACAAGATTCAATACAGGTCCTTATCATTACTGGGGAGGAAGAAGCAGCAGTGGGGCAGGGGAGATGAGTGACCGTGGGCGGTTTGGGGAGTGGTGATAGGCTGGTCAATTGGTGGGGGCGTAGTGTGTGACGAGTGGATGAGGGAGTGAAAGAGACTACTTTTTGCACGCCCTTAGAATAACCGCTGGGGGGGATCTCCTGTTCCAGAAGACCAGAAGACGAGAAGACCAGAAGGGGTGGAAGATTCTAAAAGTGTATATTTGGAATGAATGGGTTTTGGGAATGATGGGTAAGCAGGTACGGTAGAGTTGAGACTTCAGATAGCTAGGTATGGGAATAGGTATGGACTGGAAGGAGTAAGAAAGGGAAATTGTGTGGTGGTCATCCTGGCGACGGTTTTATTGGCCGACAATGACCGATGCTCGCAGCTGCGCCAAGCTTGCGCAGCTAGGGCAAGGTTCAATTAAGGTTCCCGGAAGGGGCGTTGAAATTGAACGCTATGGACCGCTATCAATTTGAACAGCACCCGTCTCAGCTGAGTCTTGACTCCTTTGAGACCTCCCGTCTTGCCACTCTGAAAATACTTTCGATAATACATTATTCTTGTATTCTTGTATTCTTGTATTTCCACTTATCAGCCATTCAGCGATCGATTCATTCCAACGGCTATAATAATAATGATGATAATAATAAAAACAATATTCCCTAGCCATCCTGTCACCCGTTGCGGCGTTACCCCTCTGGTAATCTTATCCTGCTTCCTCAGCGCTTTCTATCACACGGGTGGCGCCGATGGTTTCAAATAGATAAGATCGAAACTCGCATCACTCGAATCATCCCCGGCCTTGCCTCTCGCTGCATAAAGTGGGTCTGAAAGATACTTTTCCTACCCTTTTCGCGATTCATCACTTCTGGGGTGCATTCCTACTACTCTCACCCCCCAATTCAGAGCAATCTTGCAAGGTTCCTGCATATTGCCCTTCTTGCACCAACCAAAAGTCCATGAATTGTCAGCGTCAGCTTTGACAGGAAAGCCACAAAGAGGCATGGCGTCGGTGATGTTGTGTGCCGATTTTTTTTGATGGGGGCGCCAAGGACGAAGCGCAATCAATTTAACCAATGCCGGTGCCGTTGTCTGGGTGAGGCTATGAGCGCCTTGGATATCTCTCCTCCTGCTGCTCGAGCAACAGTCGGTCATATGTCAAACAGGTTTGCAAGCCACGAATAGCGGCCAAATACTGACATACGTAACCATTCCCGACTCCTTGTGGGTACACGTACTCAACTTGACTTTAGTTCCCTGCACAAATCTGCCTCTATCTTTTGTGGTCATTCTCTTCAATTTTGTCCTGGCAGGTAGCGCTTCGGCACTCATTTCGACAATCGAACCCATCTTATACACGAATGATTTAGGGGCAGGGGACATCTCCCTTTTATTTGCTGAATCGGAGAATTGCTCTGCGTTCAATGCATTACTCGTATGCAGGTCGGAGAACGTCGGACTTTCAGTGTGCAGCCCTGGCCAAGCCCGAGGTTGCCCGGCTGCACATTTTCTACTTTGTATTAGGTAGCATTCGTCCTCTGGGGCTTGGTAGCTTCGCTGAATACTGCGGGAGGTAAGGTAGTGTAGTATGGCACGTGCTTCCAGCGCAAGCACGTTTTAATGGCCATTGTGTAAGCGATACGGTAAATGGTAAATGTTCCTCCCGCGCCGGATGCCATACCCTGTCTATGAGAACAGTAAATTGTGACATTGTATCCGTTAATTATTCTACAGGGATCAAATCAAGGTAACCTGGGAACGCTTATCGACCGGTATTGGACGCAGTGGGGGTAAACGGCAACTATGCTTCGTGAGAATCTCCGCTGTCAGGGCTGAGGGGTTCACGCGAGCCACAAGGGCCTTTTCTGATGTCCCCAAATTGCTGACCAAACGCCCGTGTCCAGCTTATGTTTGGGAATGAGGGAAGAAAAATCATTGGTGAATTCAATTCTGCTTCCATGAACCTAGCACTATAAGTATGCCCGCGCAGAATCGCCATCCTATGGAAGGGTTATGTGGAGAGCGGTGCGAAGTCGAAGTGCAAGCTTTCGGGGCCTTGGCGTACCCCAAAAGCAGAGAAGCTGCTCTTAAGCGCAATACAAAGGTCAATTCAGTGCTCTTGCTAAACGGCACAGGACACAAGAAATGATTGTCGAAATCAAACATCAAATGATCGAATATCGATTATCATGCGTAGCGCGCGAGGGAGGCGCCTCGGCGTCAGATGGCTCGCATCCGAGAAGGCTCGGGGTTTGTCCACCTGATAGGGCTGGCTTGTGTGGGGTTGAACCGTTGAAGCTTACCCTCAGGAAATTCAACAGATGGAACATCAACATCAACGACGACACCTCTTTTCTTGGTAACCTTTTAATGCTCCCGAGACCTCTCTATGAAGATTCGATGTAAACTTCGCAATTAAGTCCAAGACAAGTCCGCCTTGCCACGTTCAAAACTACCAAAATGCAGAGCATGCAAAGGCGATTTGGCAAGTTCTTGCCGAGGAGTGCGGATGAAACCCAAGTCGCTGTACTGCTCAATGACTTCGATGAAGCTGACAAAATGCTCGCCAAGGTGTGTTAGAATGTCGTCCAAGCTTGTATGTGAATGTTGATACTCATTCGTCAGATCATTGACGCGGCCAAAGCATGGAGAGACTCTTGGAGGGATATTCTCGGTACACAGCAACGACTCGCTCACGGCTTCCAAACCATGTATTCTCCAATCGTTGGGGCTGATGAGAATTATACGGCACACGAGCCCGGGATTACCCCCCATCATATAATGGAGAGGACGATCAAGTTTCACACGTCTTATGATGAGCTCCGGACAGATCTACTTGAAGAGGTGGCTATGGTCGATACACGGATAATCAAGCCTGCGACGGAAGCAAAAGACTGCATTCAGCCAATGAAGAAAGTCATCAGAAAGCGAGGAGATAAGAAGGTGGGGACCATTATCCCCTTATCGGTCAATCATAGCGCTAAATCGGGCAGCTGGACTTCGAGAAGTATCAAAAGCGAGTCGAAACAGGGAGGAGCAAGACTAAAAGATCCGATCGAGATAATGCATCTCTCGAGAAGGCTGAGGCGGAGTTGATCAGAGCGAAAGATGTACGTTGAGGTTTATCTTGAATTGGTATTAGAACATGTCCTACACCAGCATCCGTCCTTCACCCGTCCTTGTACACTTTCTATCTTCGGCTTTTGAGCGAATTCATGGAAGGAGTGATGCTAATCAAGTCACAGGAATACCAAATTGCAGATGATCATCTCAAGACTAGTCTTCCGCCTGTCGTTACCGCCGCATTCTCCATTCTCCCTCATCTCCTCGCAGCCCAGATCATGACACAAAACACACTCCTTGCCCAGTCCTACACACTCTTACATGACTTCTGCGACGGAGAGAGCTTCCCGGATCCTCCACCTTCCGCGAATGCAATCATGTCGACTTGGGATGTAGACTTTCGACCGGTCAAACAAGAGGTCGAGAGCATAGCTTGCATTGCCGGAGGAAAGACTGTCCGGATGTCGATGAAGATCGATGAAAAACCACACGGATCAGTGACCGGCCTGAACATTCGCAATGGCATATCCTCTCAACGCCATCCTAGTCAGTCACGCATAGAGGACAAGCCTCACAACTCAATGAGCAGTTCCAATATCCGCAATGGTATCTCTGCTTCACGACGGCCGAGCGGTAACCAGTCTAACGCGCTGATGCCCCCATCTCCAGCGATGAGTGCTTCGCCAGATCCACCTTCACCGGAATACAGGGAGCATTCACGACCAAGGATATCATCCGTTCCTTCACAAACCTCGCTGGGCTTAGCCACACCGAATTACACCTCATCAGCTGTTGCGAGTCCATCACCAGGCGATACAGCGATGCATGCCCCTGCCGGTCCTCGTGGGGACTACTTTAATCGTGATCGGCTACCATCCACTTCTTCTATGGCTATGGCATCGATTGCAGCAGGGAAAAAAAAGCCGCCGCCACCACCTCCCCCCAAAAGGATTCCTTCGGCGCAAGGAATCTGGGTGGTAGCTCTGTACGAATTCGCAGGTCAGGGACATGGTGATTTGGTTTTCAGGGAAGGCGATCGAATAAAGGTGACCAAAAAGACGGAGAGCACGGATGACTGGTGGGAAGGGGAGCTTAATGGAGTCCACGGGAGCTTCCCAGCAAATTATTGTCAGCTTGCATAGACTTTGGAAGTTGGTACATTCTGATCACATTAGCGATCATAGCAGGCAGTAATACTATAAAAAAGTGTATGGTGATAGCTCTACCGTACCACTACGTTTTCAACCCTTCAATCCTCACGCCTCTCGCGGTACTTTGATCGTTGCAGCCTCCACATCAATTGATTTTTTTTCTTTGCATCAACAGATGTAGAGGTGACTTACTCTTCATCAAAATGCTGATACACTAGAGCGCTACCTTACTCGTAGGACAGCCGAAACCCTAGTTCCCTTTCAATCTCAACATTCCTGACACCACACCCGGTAGCATTAAATTTCAAACACAATGTCTGACAACGCTGGAGAGCTGCTGAAAAGGCCCTTATATGGTAGGAAGATCGGTCCTTTCCGCTTATCGACACTGACCCTGTAGTTAGTCTTTGGCCTGCCCCAAGAGCTACTCGTGACTCTCCACCTCAAAGATCCCACTGTCTTACCTCCTCCGATCGAAAATCCTCCACAACCCTCTAAATGCACATCAGAAAATAATGTAGGAAGCCCAGGCGGGGAAACAAAGCTCTCGACAACGTGTCAGCTTTGCAGAACGTCCCTTTCAAATGTACAAGAGCAGCGCCTACATGTCAAATCGGACTGGCACAATTACAACCTGAAGCAGAAGGTTAGAGGCGCACAGTCTGTCTCGGAAAATGAGTTCGAAAAGCTGGTTGATGAGTTGGACGAGAGTATATCTGGGTCGGGATCGGAGTCCTCGGAGTCTGAAGCTGATGGCGAGGGAGCAAAAGAGAGCACCTTGAGTGCATTGCTAAAGAAGCAAGCTAAGCTTGGCCATCCGAGTTCACAGGCAGAGTTCATGCCCAAGAAGCGCAAAAGAGGCTCCGACAAACCTCCACTGATATGGTTCTCGACCTCTCTACTCCCAACCAATATTTCTCTGGGCATCTACAGAGCGCTCTTCACAAATCCAGAACAAGAACAGCCTGATACAGTTGCCGTAATTCGCAAAAAGCAACTCCGATCTGTCCCCGCAAAGCCTCCGCCTGCCGATGGCTCAAATGGTGTACCACTCCCCTCCACCATGACCAGTCCGCAAATCTTCCTCTGCATGATTGGTGGCGGTCACTTTGCTGGCATGGTCGTCTCCCTCGCCCCCAAACTCGGGAAACAATCTACAGGAATTGAACAGCGTCAACCGCTCGTGATCGCTCATAAGACCTTCCACCGCTATACGACTCGCCGCAAACAAGGCGGCGCGCAATCTGCCAACGACTCCGCTAAAGGAGCTGCTCATTCTGCTGGCTCTTCTTTACGTCGATACAATGAAGCTGCTCTTGAGCAAGAGATCCGAGCGCTCTTAGCAGAATGGAAAGTTCTAATTGGCGCCTCTCAACTAATCTTCGTCCGTGCAACTGGCAGCTCAAATCGGCGTATACTATTTGGGCCTTATGAGAACCAAGTTCTGCGGCAAAACGATGCAAGGAATCGCACGTTCCCGTTCAGCACAAGACGTGCTACACAAGCCGAATTGATGCGTGCATTCGTCGAAATCACTCGCGTCAAAGTCAGCGAGGTTGACGAAGCCGCTCTCGCTGTAGCAGCTGCTGCTGCTGCACAATTAGAGGCTGACCGCGCAGCGTCCCAAGCAACAGCTCCTGTTCTACCAGCTAAAGCTAAGCCCTCAAGAGAAGAAGAAGCAGCCAGCCTCCACACTACGCAGCTACAGGCTCTGATTCGCCGCTCCAAAGTGCCTGCTCTCCTTTCCTACCTCGTGACCAACTCGCTCTCCCCCCACTTTCTTTTCTACCCTCCCTCCACGCAAGCACACCATCATGCTTCTACGCCTCTGCATCTAGCTTCCTCTATCAACAGCCCAGCAATTGTGCTAGCGCTACTAACAAAAGCGGGAGCTGATCCTTCGGTAGTCAACATGGAGGGGAAGCCTGCCTTTGACTTAGCTGGGGACAGAGGAACTAGAGACGCCTTCAGAGTCGCGCGCAGCGAACTCGGAGAGGGCAAATGGAACTGGGATACAGCTCACATCCCTGCTCCCTTGTCAAGAGCTGAGGCTGATAAGAGGGAAGAAAGTGAACGTGCGGAAGCTGGCAAAGCTGAGCTGGAGAGGAGGAAGGCCGAAGAAGATCGATTGAGACATGAGGTCAGAGTGGTAGAGAACGGCTCGAAAAAGGGTGGAAGAGGGCTAGGGGCCACGGAGAAGACAGTCGAAGAGCGCCGGGAGGAAGACGGCAGAGGCATGACACCTCAGATGCGCATGATGGTAGAGCGGGAGAGGAGAGCCAGGGCAGCGGAGGCGAGACTTGGAGGAAGGTAGGTTGGTATGTACCTAGGTCGATTTAGATTTGAAGGGTCTGTCACTTATGATTGGTGGGTTGACGACGACGTACAGAGATAATATGCGCTGCTGATCAATCTGCACCTAGGTAGGTCGTCAGTCGTCACGAATTATGATGGAAGCTTATACTCGTGGATTCCAGAAGTGAGTTACTTGATAGAGCGAGGACACCAATAGATATTTCCACTCAGCGGCACGTCGCTTGATCTATTGGCGTCCTCGCTCTATCAAGTAACTCACTTCTGGAATGCACGAGTATGTTTATACATTTCCCTGGTCGAACTTTATCTCTCTTTATTTGTCAATACATTAGGAGTAAGGTACCTTAAGCATACCTTACTTTATCCATACTTTATGCACGACTGATCAAGGGCAAACCCTTAGGAGAACCGCTAGGTAATGCTTAAATACCTTATCCCGTAGAAAGATAAAGTGACTTTGCCCTTTGAATGAAAAAAGAAAAAAAGAAAAAAAGAAAAGAAAAAGAAAAAGAAACTTCTTCAAACCCGAGTATGTGGTAACCAACAGGAACTTCATCATTCAAGAGACCAAAGGAATACCTCCCAACCATAAAATTACGCTTTGCATGGCATTATCTCGCATCACCCGCCTCCGCGTATGCACCTTTTATCCTTCAATCTCTGAAGCTTTCTTGCCGTGCGTCTCAACGTTTTCTCTGGCAACGACGTCGTCCATCTCCGACCTATGCCTCTCAACGCGCTCCAAATCCAACCCGCAAACTCCCATCCTCGCGTCCCTGAACCTCTCATACACCCCCTCCCACGCCTGCCTAGCCTCTTTCGACCCGGGCATCGCTCGCACGTAATCCTGCCTCGGGATGTCGTACTCCGGTCCTGGCAGGTCCGGGTCCGATAGTCGGATGTACGCTGTCGTGTCGAGGAATCTCGTGGCGTTGAATTGCGCATCGACATCGCCCAGTGCTGATGTCTGAGCCAGCAACGTCATTGGACTCTCGCCGTCTGCTGGGGCCGGCGTGGTCGTTACGCGTTGGAGGAACTCGCCGTCTGGGTAAGCGCCTTCGGGCAGGGAGGAGATGACGTCCCGGTAGGTTTCTTTGGAGGGTTCGAAGAGGAGTATCGCGGGTTGCATGCTCCCGTCTTCAGGAGCCGAGAGGCCAAGTAGAGGTTGCTCCATCGGCAGCGTGAATAGCAGGTCCAGAGGCGTGGAGTCCAGTATCAACCCGCTCGGCCGTAGGAAGAGAATCCGATTGTAATGGATCAGACTCAGTAGATTCGTAAGAGGATATCTCTCCTCTTCCGTCACGGCCTCACTCCCCTCGGCCAGCGGTATCGACCCGACAGCTTGCAACATGACCTTGTACTCCCTCGCCGCCTTCCTCAACAACCGCCCACTCGTCTCCCTCCTCCTCCTCTCCTCCTCTTTCCCATCCCCATCCCCATCCCCACCCTCTCCCCCTCCTCCCACCTCCCCATCCCATTCCCGCGGATACAGGATGATCCTCTGCGCCATACTCTCCCCCCGCTCCACCTCCCGCATCCCCATCACCGCCCCGCACACCTCCACGTGCCGGCGCACCAGCTGCACATACGCCACCTTCGCCCACCCCCCTCGCGGCCTGTTCTTCGCCAGGAACTTGTCGTAGAAGAACCCGCCCCCTCCGTAGCCCGGGGGTTGCCCGAAATGTTTCTGCAGTACCGGGTCGGTGACGGGGATGGCGGGGGTCGGGGGCGGGTGCAGGGCGAGCTGCAATGAGCGCACGGTCTGCTGTTGCAGTATGTAGCCGGAGAGGAACAGGAGGGTTGTGAAGATGAAGACTGCGGTGCGTTAGCGTGGCGGGTTTGAAGTCATGGGGGGGGGGAAGGGGTGAGGGGAGCTTGCCGACGCCGGAGGAGATGGCGACGGAGATTTGGCCGCTTGTGAGGAGCATGGCGGGAGGAAGTATGGTGGACGGGCTACGACCTGAGTATCATGGTGGGCGTGGGGTGTGTGGAGAGGTGAGGAGTCTTGTTTGAAAAGCTTTTGTTTACTTTACTTACTCGCTTGTTGACCGGGCGTTTTTGGTAGGGCTGAGCGGAATTGAGTCCGTCGGCCTTGGCAAATTCAATCGCAGGTGGAAGTCCCATTGACCATTCTCGCTTTTCGATAATTGTATCAGGTATAATCTATTCGAATAAAAGCACCACATGTCTCAAGTTAGAATATTCAGCCACTACTGATCTTCATGTTTTGAAAAACATCTCGAAGAATCATGGCAAACCAGACTCCCGTCCGAATTACCGTTTTGATATCAGGCAATGGTGCGTATTATCTCCATCTTTAACGTAGATTGTTCTGCGACGAGACGCGGTGATAGTGTTCTGATGTCGGCGCAGGAACCAATCTCCAAGCCTTGATCGACGCCAGAGACGATGCTCTTGAAAATTGTAGCATTGTGCGAGTTATATCGAACCGTATGAAGGCTTATGGTCTTCATCGAGCGAAGGAAGCTTCAATACCTACGCATTACCAGTGATTTCCCACATCCTCCTCCTAATGGGCGTGCAACAGGCATACTGATTTTCTTCCAAAGTAATTTGATACCGTACAGGGAAAATTTCGCAGAAAACGCAAGAACCGAATATGACAAGGATCTGGCTGCCATTGTCCTGGCCGATAAGCCAGACTTGGTAGTCTGTGCTGGGTGGATGTCTATCCTAGCGGACACGTTTCTCGACCCACTTGCTGAGGCTCACGTTCCCATCATCAATTTGCATCCTGCGTTGCCGGTAGGCTGCAACCATTTTCTTCTTTCAACTTCACTCAGGATTGATTGGAGCAGGGACAATTCAATGGCGCTAAAGCCATCGAGCGAGCCCATAAGGCATGGCTGGAGGGAAAGATTGAGAAGACTGGGATCATGATTCATTACGTGGAGTCGGAAGTAGACATGGGCAAGCCGATACTTGTGAGTCAACACTGTCTGGTTTCTTTATGATGACCGGGTACCCTTCTAACAGTAGAATAGGTAGAAGAGATACCATTCAACAGGGGTGTCGACGAAAATATCGAGAATCTGGAGCAAAGAATCCATGGGAAGGAGCATAAGCTCATTGTCTTGGGAACCCGTATGGTAGCTGAGGAGATGCAGAAACGCAACTCCAATGGCGTATCATGATACAAGCTCAGGCTCCTAAGTGTTTACGCCAATGCCAATTCTTCGAATCACTCATAGTCGATGGGCGTCTGGGCCTGCTCAATGGGAACATCATCGGCGGTCCCCAAATTCCGATCATATCAATGCCCATTCATCGGCGCTCCTACGGAAAGATCTCAAACTTACCTCGACCGCCACGACCTCCTGGCGGGTGTCTGTGTTCTCTGACTCCTCTAACTGCGGGGCACGTCAGCAACAGGTCCTCCGACGAATGGAACTTTGCCACATATCGAGTCAAGACTTGACTGCGAGTGATGCAGACATAGCTAGTGCAGGCACGCCAGGCGGTTGCGCTCTATGATCATACGACGCGGTTCAGGCAAAGGTTGAAACAAGTGTTTCGCTACTCATACGACTCGATTCACTAGTCATTCACTCGGAGCATCACGGTGATGCATATATCCAGGGGCACAAGCCGTTGTGTACCAATCTTTTCGGTTTGAATTCCTAGGTTCCTTTGCTATCGCTCCTCCTTCACTTTCACCTTAACCTTCGCCGCAAGCACTAGGGCAAAATCCATGCCCATTACTTGACCAAGACCTTGCAACAAGCTAATCACCCAATGGTACAATGCCTCTGGAGAATAATGTAAGCTTCCCAGGACCCGTAACGGCAACAAAAGCGTGAAGATTGGAGCTTTCGTGAGTGGCATTGGGCATTGTCGTGGACAGGAATGAACGATGTCGCCAGGTAACGCTGCCGCAAATACCTATGGACATTGTGGTGATTGTGGTGAGACTTGAGACTGAGGGCTCTCGAGTACGCTGCATCGATTGAGCCGGATCTCGTTGACTAGGATTTGGGTCGCCCGCACGTTCATTAATCAGTGAAGACTGGACGAGGAGCTGGCCCGACCACAAAAGCGGCGTTGCTAAAGCAGTATTGCACCTTCACATGCGATATGAGGCCAATTCTGGCCCGGTGTTGCAGTCATCGTCCTTTTGCATCAGGCGCGATGCGTGCCTATCTAGGACTTCGGCTTCAAAGGGCGTTCATATCGGCGGGGACATCCTCGAGCTTCCATCCATCGTCAAAGTGCAACGCTTGCCTACGCCATAGTTCTCGGACAAGGGCCGCCATTCCTTCATCAGTTCGTGAAGGCATAGCAATGGGACTCCATGGTATTACCAGCCTACTCGTCAAAGGACTAAATCAAGTGCTAGACATAATGTTAGCATTTTGCAGAATCGCCACTGGGAGTGAGAGTGGCACAATCGCGGGCTGCCACAGGCCAAGCCGAGATGTTTCTTGAGGGACAGTGCCAAGCTCTCAGATATGATGGTCTTGAGTCAAGTTCTCCGTTCAGTTCATTTCCGTATGCAACCCAAGGCTACAACAACTTTGAAGACACAATCCAGGGTACCGCCAGCCCAGCCAGCATACCACCATCCCACTTATATCCCACCCCCCGTATTCTTGCAAATCAAGTGATATCGCATGCGCGTTGGGAGCCATCCTTGTCGAAATCGCGTCCATTCACTGCGACCTCCTCCGCAACTCTAGGCCGAAAGCAGGCTTTGTCGACGATGGGATTTACAACACGTACTGCCGAGCCGTCCGAAGGGGCTCAACGAGAGCGACGGCATCGAACTCGTTGGCATCTCGAAGCAGCACCGATTACAATAATGATACTTTCTACCGCTTTTCGCAACAATTGGAATGGGATTTTACCGCGTCTTGTGCCGTCGGGTTTTGGAAACTAGGTGATCGTGGCGGAGAGATCGAACAACTTTTTGATAATCGGATTTGAGAATGTATTGCGGGAGTTAGCATATGTTGAGACTTTCATGGTACATTGTCAAAGAAAGAAAAAAAGCCAGGACATCTTGAGGACTGTCGATTTGATGTTTCCCTTGATACGAAACTGTAGATGTGTATTCAATGTAGATATGTATCAGATAGAATTGGTTTGAAGGAAAGGATTAGACAGATAACGACACTCTATCTCATGTTCCAACTGAAATATCATTCGTCAATTTATGGGTGGAGGTGTGATAGGTGATAGGGGGCGCGGTTTTCTCAACGCGGGAAAAAGCCAAGAGTTTTTGAGTTTTCTGTAAGTGTTTACTTTTGGGGGCCGAATTTGGAGGTACCTCTCATTCTGCCCCAGGAAGGGAAAGGCTGGGGACAGGTTCTCAAATTATTACGACTCGAGTGTTGTATTTCTTATACTCTTCTACGAGAAAAAGTAGATCGACCTACTAGGGAGTCAAAACATATCGTCACTTCAACCGCTTCATCCGTCTCTACAACCGGCTCTCCACGAATCCTGCCAATCCTCCTTTCCCTCTTTTAATACAATACTACCAGGAATCGCAGCGCCGCCATTCGTAAGCCGCGATGTGGTGGGTAGTACAGAAACGACCGTGGACACGAAAGTTGTATCTTTGAAATGGCAATACTGACCTACACCACTTTCAACAGTTCCTCGACTTCCCCAACCTCTCCAAATGGCACTCCAGCTTCGTCCGCTCCGTCGAAAGCCCAGACCTCGGGTTAGAAGGCCGGCCATGATATGATGCCCGGCGACAGAATCATCAGCAAGATAAGCGACATCCAGTTCAACCAGACCATTCAAGTACGTGCCTTCCTTTTGCATTCTTCCCCTTGCACTTCCCTTTCCTCGCTTTCTCCAGCACCACAACTAACCCCCGACAGTACAACAGCCCCACCGAATCCCGCCGGTACGGCCTCGTAACCGGCACCCATTCGTTCAGCTTCACAGAATCGAAAGTGACCCCTGACGGCACGAGGTTCACGCAGCGGGAGGACTTTTCGGGCATCTTGGCTTGGTACATGAAGCCCGGGATGCTGGGAGGGAAGGATACGACGAAAGGGTTTCTGAGTTGAATGAGAATTTGCAGAAGGAGAGTGAGGGGATTTATAGGGAGAGGAAGTAGATCGGTAGGGGGATAATTGATGGTAGGAGACGAAGGGGTTGGAGATATCGGCGCGAGGATTATCTGGCATTCGAAGGAAAATGGCAATGGCATAGATGGAGAGAAGATGGGATTTCGGCCGGAAGATATTGTGAAAGATACCTGGCTTTGGAGACCGGAAGATGGGGGTCGGATGGCAGAGGCTGTGTTGATGGAGCGCGTAGCGGGAAGGAGCCGGAAATCTCACAGGTAGATGGGAGGGAGGAGCCGGAAGTTGGCGATCGATGAACCAGCCGGGGGGAGGGGCGTACGATGTGGATGCTAGAGATGAAAAGAAATGGCAGAGGGACGAGCTTGATGCTCGATGGCCAAGGCGGGCTTTTTCGAAGCTCTGAAAGCGCGCGATATAAGTTGGGGTTTAGGACTCAGGAGAGAACGAGCGGAGGAAGATTTGTTACTTTAGAGTTTGGAACGCTGCGGGTAGCATGGCGTCCGTCGATTTCCGTAGATATAATAGCATCGCGTAACGAGGTGGGATGAAGATTGAAGACGATGAACTTCTGCTTCCTTTTGACGTGCCGTAGTGTATTGACGCGTCAAATTTGCATGAGCAGCATCGTCCGACATAGAAATCAAGACAGTAACTCAATTGAAAGCATCACCGTCGGCATTTGTCATAATATCGACGCGTCGAGGCGGACGAACAGCCTAAGAGCTGCACGAATCATCCGCGTCACATTTCCATCCCAATTCACTTTATCACCCTCTGCGCACCCCAGCCCCGTTTCGATCATGTCGTCCGCACCGTAATTCTCTTCCAAAATTTCCCTCCTCTACCTCTTTTGCCCGCTTTACCACACCCTCTGCTACCAGCCGCCCTCGCATCGAATCCCCCCTCCCCAACACACACACACACACACGCACCATGCCTCCACCGCCCTCGTCCGAACCAGTGCGCCTAGCCCACCTCTTCGTACGGCTACCGAACCATCACCAGCAGAACGGCAGCAAGCCCACAGCACCACCGGGGCAGAAAGGGGACTCGGGCTCGGTATCTTGCTCCATCCGATTCCCGCCCTCCCCTCCCCCCGCCTTTGGAACACTACTAACACACCCCCTCGCCGTCCAGAACCCATCCGCCTCGGCCCAACACCGGCTCCCCGCCCCCACCACACCGTCCACACCCACCAAACCCCCCTCCAACCAACCATCCGCCCACCTCCCCCCAACCCCCACCCCCACCCCCACCTCCACCAAACCCCTCAAGCGCCCCCTCTTCCCCCTCGACCCGGACCCGGAGACCCCATCCCGCAAGCGCCTCCGCCCCGCCCCTCCCCCAACGCCCCACCGCCGCGCGCCCAAGTTCTCGATCCTGTACCGCCGCCCGCCGCCGCCGCAAGGGGGGAAAGAGCCCTCGGTCTCCTGGTTGGAGCTGAAGCGCGCGGCCGAGAGCGTCCTGAGGCAGGTCGATTGGGAGGAGGTCGCGGCGGACGTGGCGGGGAATCGGGGCGCGGGGTGGTATAAGCGGGTGGTGAGGGAGGTGCTGCAGGGGAGGATTGAGGAGCTGGTCGGAAGGGAGGAGGGGGAGGGGGGGGGGAGGTGAGATGCGGGTGGTTCGCGTGGTTTTTTTTTGAAAGAAAGGTGATGGATGGAAGGGGGAGTGTGGCTACGTTGGCGGATTGTGGCTAGCGATGCGTTAGGTGGATTGGAGGATGTTGTTGGATTGAGAACTGCTACAGCTTTGAGCAGTTGACGCGTTGGAGGAGGACAAGGCTGTGAGAATTGGCAGCAGCTGTGTCTCCGAGAGGATAGGAGATGCAAACAGTTTCATTGTACATATCCACCAGACCAACCGTCTCAATCTTCTTGACCTATCTGATACACTCCTTGTCTCCCTTAGAACGTACTCGTGGCCAACCGACTGGCCGCATTCTTTGCATCGATTCTGTCATCATCTGGCTCCTCTGCCACACCCTTCAGACTTGACGCCCCAGTACCCGCTCTCTTTCGTCCTCCATCTTCACCGTTTACCCCATCCTCTTCCTTCACAGTTGGTGGAAAGCCTCCACTGACACTCCGGTCCAGCGCATCGGGCCTCCGGGGCACACCACTCCACGCGTCTCCTCGTGGACCCTGACTGCTCGCCATGCTTGTCCTGCGTATGACAGGATGTGCTTCTCGTCCCAACCGTGACAGGCCACCAGAGGCATCGATGGCTCGTACATCAGGCCGGACAGCCTCGAGAGTAGCCAGTGTCCGACGCTCAAAGTCAATCTCACGGAGAACGTATTCGCGAATACTGACACGAAGGTCTGCAGCTGTACGTGCGAACCAGCGCCGTTTCTCGTGCAACAGGTTACTTGTCACACGCTGTGTTTTGTGAGCAAGATATTGTTCGTGGCTTTTGGCTTCGTCGAGAGCATTGATGGCTTCATCGACTTTTTCTCGACGCACAGAGCCGCTGGATTTGATTCTATCGGCGGCAGACAGTTTGTTCCGGGTGGCTGCTTGGGCCGTGAGGAGGTCGCGCAGGAGAATATGGCGGTTTGTAAGGGTTTCTTTGACGATGAGAGCGTCAGAAGAGTGGTAATTCAGGGGATCACCAATAGTAGTTGCTTCAGCTGTGCCTTGTGCTGCATGATAGTCGCCTGTTGTTTGTATGATTTTGCCTAGTTTGCGATATGCGCTTGCGAGACCTGGATGAGGTTCTTGGACGGACAATTGGCCGATCTTGACGCCTAGATCCGATTCTGCCAGACCGAGCCCTGGGGTGCATGAGTGAAACGTGCCAGCGCAATTGAGTAGACAGCCTACTCACCTCGCCTCGCCTTCACCACCCGGTCGACCTTCTGGCCGGTCTCCATAGTCCCGAGGTAGAAAAGCTTGACAATAGGTCGGGCGTCATGAAGCTCAGGCGTATCATCTGGTGGCGGTGCGAACTGCTTAATAACTTTTCTCCGTACCCCAGTAGCTGGCTGCTTCATTCTTATCATAGGGCTATACCCGGCATCGCTTTCAACAAAAAACACCATCTCGTCATCCCTCATGAGAACATCATTACCACAAACATAGTTCAGCCATCTCTGCAACGAGGCTTTGGTTCGAGCTTCATCTTCATCTGTTCCGGCGCCAGCGGACGTGAGAGCGGGAGGCACTGCGGGCACAAAGGCTTCCGGATTGGAGGAGATTAAATGATCTGCTAACTTGACAAACTCGGAATGTGTGCGTTTTATGGCTCTGACTTGTGTGGTTCGAAATTTTGGAAGATTCGTCTTTCAATCCCGTCAGCTTCCTCCAAGCACTCCTCCCCCAGAATTTATATTGACTCACATGGACATCGAAAGTGATGGCAGGATCCTTTTTCCCTGTGCGCTCAAGACCAGTGATTTTCGCTTGCAGCTTGTACTGTGGAGGCTGCCTCTGCCCAGCACGAGCACCCGGGTGATATCGCTGAGGTCCAGGACCTCTTGCATGCTGTTGTTTATGAATTGCCTGTTGGTACCACTCCTGTTGCCGTTGCTGGTATAACTGTTGTTGTCGAAGCTCTTCTTCAGTCAACGGTGGGCCTTGAAATCGGATATCGCTCGCCGTGTCTGATCTGCTAGGTATCCTCCCCGCCCCATTCGGCTGTTGTGGAGGCTCTTCGTAGCTAGAAGCATTGGGTGACTCTTGATCGCTTCCATATCGCTCTTCTTGGTGCTGAGGTTCAGGGGTCGGTGGCGCATGCTTTGCTGTGGGCGAATCGGGTTCCCTTCCAGACTCTGGTTGAGGGAAGCTTGTTCTGGTGGGTTGAGGAGAAGACTGCCATGGATCTGCCCCTGCAGGATGGTCTGGGTCATTGGGAAGTGATGAGTAGTCCATTATAAGCTATAGAATTGGCCGACCAAAGGATGCGAAACCAGTCAATAACAGGCGATGAAATCGGAGACTTCGACATTCTCCACCTCTAAGCAACGGCAGCGACGATGAATCCGTCGGAGAAGGATAAACTTTCCCCCGTTAGTCAACAAGACCCTCTACAGCTTTGGACCATCATTCAAAGCCTCTCTGTTGGTCATATCACTTTCTCTACAGAGACTGTAGTATAGGCTGAAACATACGTCCGAGGATCTATGCCCATCGTAGCTGATGATTCGCCAATTGCGGAGACTCTCTGGCTTCTTGGACATCATCAACCCAATTTATCCAATAGCCGTCGTCTTCTTCTGTCCACCAGCTCCTCCTGAACCTCTTCGCTCGTAGGCAATCTCCAACCGACTCCATCTCCAGCATCCCCTGGAAGAGGCTCCCAACCTGCCTCTGACTTTCCATCCCCTTGCTCTTTGAGATTCTCAAATGCCTCTTTCTCCTTCTCTGCCTCGTAATCTAGCAGAGTGCCATCCTCTTCATCTAAGTTATAGCCATAGTAGCTGGCGTCTACCTGCCGCCTAAGATCCGCCCTGCTCTCTAACGGTTTGTCCGGCGCTTTTGGCTTGCTCGACTCGAACATTTCCTTCACACCCGGTAATTCTCGTGCTCGACCAAAGTACCTGACATAGAATGTTAACTCATCAAACTTCTCACGACCAACTTCCGTAGGATAGACACACCTATAGCCCTTTCCACCCCCAGGAATCTCCTTCCCCTCCTCGTCATAGACCTTTCCCCCACCCCTCATATAATTTGGGCCCCCCAGATTCCGTATCTGCACCTCCCACATATGCTTTTCCCGCATCGCCTTGTTGATCTCGTCGTTCAAATCCCGAATCTGAAAATCGCTCAGGCTCTGCTCTTGTATCTTGCTGACTTTGCGCGAAATCTCCTTGAGAACCTGGCCCCGCCATTTCTCGCATGCTGGTATCGCCGTGACTTCAGTGATCATTTTAGGACGGCGAGTACGGCCTGCATCGATTATGCCCAAGGAAGCGGCTTGTTGCGCTCGGAAACGAAAGAGCATAGACTGCGCTTTTTCGGAATTTCGCGCCTGGACAAGGACATGTTAGCGTACGAGTTTCGACAAGTGGGCCAGTATTGGGGTATCACTCTTACCATGTTTGCAGAGGGTTAACAGGAATGTAGGATGTGGAAAGGCAAGCACAAGCTGGAGAGAGGTCGCAAGGAGAGGAAGTTCCTGGCAGCTTTCATGCCATTGGCCGAGGCGGGCCAAGAAATGTGCCCCGTCCTCAACCCCCATCAAGCCTAGAGTGACCGCCGCTATATGGGCCCCCTCGGTCGCGCGACCGAAGGTAGTTAAGTTGTCTGGCATGCGAGACCCTGTGTAATCATTGCGAAAAAACAGTATATTGAAACGTTTCGAATAGAATCCTTCCGTCATGCACATACACTAAGTTTTCATAGACTGTCAGCTCCTGAAGGCCTCACTCAACCTTCTCTCACACCGCCATCTTGGAGTGAGAGAGGACTTTGATCGACTATGGACTTCAAGTGAGTTAGGTGATTACTATATAGACATTTATTCACTTGAAATCGCGCCTCCATTTTTCTTCGATCGTGACGGCTTTCCGACCCAGAGAGAAAGTGATGACCTCGCCCGCTCCCTGCTTAGGGCAAAGTCTGTATTGCCGTTTACTGTCAAGGGGCAATTCAGTCGTACTGTATTCTCTATCTAAGCTGTCACAGGAGTCCGAAGCGGTGAAGATGAAAGCAGCCAATCCTTTAGGGATGCGAAGCTCGCGCAATTTCGTCTCAACAATTCTAAAATCGACATCTACGCGGCGCAGCTAGCGAAAGTTATCCACGGAGGTGTTGCTGCAGAGACACATTATTGGGCAGGAAGCAGAAACGTGCTTGCGGTTGTATATGATCCAGAAGCTGCCGGGGTGACATACATAGAGACGGGGTTTTTTATCGGGATGAGTCCAGAGCAGGCCTCGAAGCAGCTGAGGATGCTTAGGGATTTCGCTAGGTACGCGAAATCAAGACCCCTACGTAAGTTGCTGTGAACCCTTTCAGCTGACTCGCTTGGAACTGCTAGGTTTTATGCCGCATGCTGGCTCCATCCACAACTGATTATGCAGAATCTGCGAGAGAACATCAGAGCCACCGTATCTAACAAGCATACTCTTCTTGAGTCCACTCTGCCTCCTCGATTTACTGCCATCGTCTCTTGTGCACTAAGAGAGCTCGGTGAGCTCTTTCACCCCCATTATCCGCAAGTCCTCACACATGGAGACCTCTGTCCAGTGAACCTACTCGTCTCACCGTCAACAGGCCGCGTCACGGGTATCATCGAGTGGGCAGAGGTCGAGCTCTTACCCTTCGGGCTTGCCCTTTACGGTCTAGATGTTCTACTCGGATATCTGGGCCTAGGAGGATGGAGCTATCTCGAGATCCGGGACGAGTTGGAACAAAATTTTGGAAATATTTCTCGGACTGCATCGCTGATGCTAAGGGGCCACCAGAAGACAGAATACGAAATGCAGTAACCACCACGCGGGAGGTGGGGGTGCTCATGCAGTATGGATTCAAATGGAAGACTGGGGTTGTAGAGTGAGCAGTCACCGAGGAGGACGCAGGCTCGTTAGCATACCTTGATGCGTTCCTGCTTACGGGTGAGATATATCGTGGATGACAAGATGGAAAATTGGACATCATCTTGTGCGTCGAATATCGTAGGATAGGAGAGCACCGTAGAGTAGGATAATATCACAGGATGATAGAGCACTGCAGGGTAGGTAGGGTCTGCTTTGTCCCTGCTCATCAAGCTCATTCGCTAAAACGGCCAAGGTAATGTACATTTCTGATTGCTTGTTGAGCCAAGTAAAGCTGACTCAGCATATCACCACTCTTTCTTTGCCAAATTTTGTGCTACATCTGGGGTCCGAATTCCTACTTCCTCTCATCACTATGCAACGGGAATTTTTCAGGAGAAGTTTTGCAATAAAGAAGACTGCTAAAGACTCACCGTCATACAACACTGTCGAAGACGGCGTTTTCGTACATTGATGAGGACTGAAGTACGGAAACAGCAGACAGCGGAGTGAGAGACATGCATGGGGCTAATCAAGGAAAAGGGCCACGAAATGTTGCCAATATGCAGGTTTTTCAATCGAACATTTGGTGATTGGATGTGAGCGTCGCAGAGACGTAGTCGGTTGAAGATGACAGTCGATTGCTGAGCTATTTGCCGGATCCGCTTTAGCATTTTCGTGTCGGTGTTTGCCCCTACAGTATATGAGTCCGAACGGTACCTCTGTTTTCCAAGACGTCGACCATGGAGACAAGAGCCGTATAGGACCTTTGTGTGTCAGGCAGTCAAGTAGTCCACATTCTTTGCTTCGTCCGACTCCAAAGGGAACGGTATTTACCAAAAGACCACAACTTGATACACCTTCAATCTGATTTTCACGCTATCATTTTCCTGGGACTGTAACGTCGATGGTAGGTTCTCACTCTTCCCCTCAGTTAGGCGCCTATGGGCGAGGCTTTTATTGCCACTTCTGCTCGCGCAATATGAGAAAAGTGTCATCTGACAGTGGCATGGGCTTAGCGCCTGCACACCCGATCATTCTCTTGTTGTCAGTGGACAGCTCTAACAATGTAACAGTAACAACTCAGACCCTACCATCTTGCATAACGATGAGGATACATTCATGCCCCTTCGACTGTATAAATATGCATCAGTTTCCCTCTCAACCTTTTCTGGGACTAGATTCCATCATACCTTTACGAAGTGGCATCAGAGAACGTCGTCAATATGTGTCTCCAATTTGTGTGTTACATCTGCGGCGACGATTTGGAGGATGACAAGAGTCTCGTGCTGTGTCATAACTCTATGTTGACGCTGCAAGTAAAGTCTAGGGACTACAAAGACTGCCCGGACTATGTCCGAAAGGAGGCTGGTGCTCCCATTAGGTGCAACCTCTGCTTAGAGGCCGACCCAAGCGTAGCTGAGAATTTGCTGGCGCGCATTAATCCTGCATTTGGGTACCTTGAGTAAGCGCTCCTCTTCTCCTTTCCCTTTTGCCAGAGTGTGGCTCCTCACTGTCCATGGTGATCAGATGGTTGCTAACTCAAAGATAGCTCAAGCTATCTGTCCCAGTTTCCGGCGGATGGATCAGCCTTGCTTACTCAGGCGCCATTAACTTTTTTGCCGATACATCCCCAGTACTCACCACCTAACGAGGAGCCAAAGCGTACTGAGGTCCCTAGCTGGGAAAATGGCACCACTGCCTCTATCTATGAGACAACAGATGGGAACAGACAGATCAGTGCACCCACAGAAAGCAGAGGCTTGTTCGGCAATCAGAAGTAATTTTACAGTGGTCCAAGAGCGGCTACGCGTTGAACCATGTCTTGCCTCCTCGACCACAGAATTAATGCTGACCGAAAACCTCGATAGTGGTTTTCGGCGACTCCTCCCCAAATCTCTTGCGAACAACGATGCGTTCCACTCGCTAGCGCCGCCACCTACATCTCTGCAGAATCCCCTATATTTCGCTGGAAGCAGAGCAATTGATGACGCTGGCTTCGCTACCGCGAGCGATGGATCGTTTAGCCCAGCTCAAAGCGGACCAGATCGTGTCAGAGAGGCGAGCACAGCAAAATCAATTACGGGATTGCGAAGCCAAGAGTCACAGAGTGGTGGCCGAGAGGTTCTTGCTCATACGAACCCAAAGATCCTTATCAATCGTGTTCGAAAGCCAGAGAAGCGTCGGCAAAGGGCTCCCAAGACAGCGGTTGCATGCGAGAACTGCAGGTAGGTCGTTAGGTTCCTACTGCATAGATGATCTGCAAGTATGTTGACACAAAGGATAAATTCAGGTGTAGCCACGTAAAATGTACTGGAGAAGTGCCGTCCTGCGAAATTTGCCTTCGCAAAGGGAAGCAGTGTGGATACTATCCGGCTTCTAAGATTATCACGAGACGAGGTCAGGTGGCCGCAGTGCGAATCAATCTCCGACCTTTGCAGTCTTTGGAACAGCATGGTACCATTCCTCAAGTTCCCGCACCTCAGAGGGATGTCTGGAACCTACCCGTTGACCAAGGCCTGCAACAGCATGCTACCACCAATTATTCGACGTTGACAAACGATGTTGGTACCTATCCAGTGGATTTCCCCGTGCAGTATCCCTTTCAGCTTCGTGCAATATCTAGACAAGCCAATAATTGCCAAGGTGACGAAGCAAGGTCACGCGATCGAACGGTATCGCTAGAGCATGAGAGAATGACGTGTTTGCGTAAAGAGATGAGAGAACAACAGGAATTCAAAAATGATTAATACTTCCAACGCACTCATCTCGCCTTGCAATTAAGAGGCTTTTGGCTTATGCGAACGTGACTGCTGAATGATCTACAAAAACAGCCGATTTGATGTCGTAGGGAAGAGTCTCTGTTTCACAAACATATGATAAAACCTAGAGCATGGCTTGTCCATTTGACCACTTACTAATTCTTATCATTTATCTTGATGTCAAATGCTTTGATCGGACGCGGAGATAGCTTTGTTGTCGACCTTCCGCATTGGTCTTCGCCCCAACGCTAAGAAGATACCCGAAAATCCCAATGCACCTCATGATGCCATCCGCGTGCATAAGACCAGCGATTGTCTCGAGCATCCTTATTCCACCTTCCGCTTGAGTGTTGCATCGAGCGGGCCGTTGTCCGGACATGGGCGGGCAGGGCGAGAAAAGTGCGTATTATCGCAGCAAGAAAGTATTTAGCAACGACCATGTCTTGCTTCTGTCATTCTCTATCTGCACACTCGAGTCTTTCTATTCTGCCCTGGGTTCAGTCCCTTCATGTTTGTTCTAGCCTTGGCAGTCTCTACACAGGCTCCTTGCGTTGAGACTCGCTCTAATAACTACAGACTTACCGCTCCTACCACAAGATGCTTGGTTTCAGAAAGCTTTGCGCGACTCTTTGTATAGAGCTAAGCCTCTGGGTCGCCGGCGTCCAAGGGTTTCAAAGCCATAAGTTCAAGGTTGGAGGGTTATCCTCTGCCCCATTTCAAGCGCCCAGCCCAAATACCCAGGCGTCACATGTCCTTTCTTTGACTCGACAAGCTTCTGGGATCTCTAGGAGCGCAGGCTATGTGCAATCACTTCGGAAGGGCAATGAGGTCAATGGAGTTTATGGTGTTGCTCCGTTGACATCGGTCGAGGAAGGCACAGTCTTTTTGACCGGCGTGGAGTTTGGGACCGAATCCTTCCAAGCGGTTGTTGATACAGGTACGTCGCCAGCGGAGACATTTGGAGGATATTCAGCTAACGTAGATTTGCTAGGCAGCAGTGATACTTGGCTGGCTGGGAAAGGGTTCCAATGCGTCAATGTGACTACGGGGGCTGATGAACCAGAGAGCGATTGCCTGTTTGCTTCAACATACACGATAGAGCCACCGTTCAAACAGATCCCCGATGTCAACTTCAACATCACGTATGGCGATGGAGAGTTCTTAACGGGTATCTTTGGCATTGAACCGGTGACGATAGCCGGAATCACAGTCAAGAATCAACAGGTTGCTGTTGTTGACTTCGCAGCATGGTTTGGCGACGGCGTATCAAGCGGCTTGATAGGCTTCGCTTTCCCTTCGATCACCAGCCAATATGCAGGCACGAATCCTGCCTTGGACACGACCACCAATATTCCGTACAACCCCGTCTTCACCAACATGTATGAGGAAGGTCATGTTGCTCCCCTCTTCAGTCTTGCTATCGAGAGGTCTTCGCTCATGTCAGGAACGGTACCTGGCGGCTTGCTTGCAATAGGTGGCCTACCACCTGTGATTTTCTCGCCCATATTTGCCAGCGCACCATTCCAGTTGCTTACCATGAACGACGCCGATGCGCCGGCTCCGGTGCCTCAATATCAGTTTTATACCATCACGACGAACGGCTTTTACTACGAAGGAAGCGAGCATACGCACTGGTCTTTGCCGGACTTCCCCAATCCTTTCGGGCCCCCAACGAATTCGTCTCAAGTCCAGGTCATCGTTGATAGCGGCACCACCTTGATATACCTGCCCACGGGTATTGCGGATGCAATCAACGCACTGTTTGATCCACCGGCTATTTACAGTGATGACGAAGGTGCATACGTTGTAGATTGCAGTGCAAAGGCTCCCGAATTCGGTATCAGGATCGGGGCAGAGACATTCTTCATCAATCCGGAAGACCTGTTCTTGGATAATGGAGACGGGACGTGCATCTCGGGCGTTGATGACGCTGGCGACAGTCTCTCGATCCTTGGAGATGTGTTTCTGAAGAACGTACTGGCCGTATTTGACGTCGGAGCTAGCGAGATGAGGTTTGCGGCGCGAGAATTCTACTAAATGAGTATCTAGCCTTGAGTGAGTAACCCAAAAATTGAGAGTCTTCTATTTGACCACCGTAGAGTAATGGGGACTCCGAATTAGCAGCCCGTTATTTCCTGATGATATGAGTTCCGATATTGTTTAACATAGCACACATTCTGAGCTTTCAATGGTCTTTGCGGTATCTCAAGCTTGCATAAGGGATTCACTTGAAGCTAAACGCGACGCGCGGTAAACAGACGACTTGGCGTAAGTATTCGATATTCACTGTCACTTCGATCTCACTTGAACCTAATCTTTACAACTACAGCAGAGGTTAGCAACCACCTCTATAATTGACAAAAGGGTCTAAGCAAAGGCTTTCATCGAGTCTTACGAACAGAACCCTACCCTGCTCGTCGGTTAATTCAAGTATTCACCACGGCGAGGTGAGCTCAGAAAGTGAGAGGCTAGATTCACGATCAGAAAACGGCTGGATGAAAAACTCTACGACCCTACCGGAGTCTTCGAAGACGATGGCGCCGTCCTTGCGTTCACACACCCTAGCGACGCCTGATACGGTATACGACGCCGCCAACTACTGAGAAATGATTTGCTGACCGCTGTCCGTAGTCTGAATCAAACATGCCCTTCCCGTCACCTTATTGGCTCCAAGACCTTGATCCGTTGAAAAGATCCCACCACTTCGCATTGAAATCCTTCCACCACCTAAGCTGTCGCGTTGCAATGTTGAGATTTGCTGCAGCATCTGTGTTGTAGCTACCCCTCATGGTGGCAATCAGGTGGCAAATTAGTATGGGCTTCACATGGTATATAAGTAGCCTACATACCATTCCATAGTTAATCAATCAATCCTTCATATACATTTCCAACAGGTTATAAGGCCCTCGCGCAACTACTACGCAGTTGCAGCAGTCAATCATTGATTCAAGTCATTCCAACCCTAAGACACTAGGGGTTTCGTATAGATCAAAGGGTCTATTACAATCAAAATTCAGTTATTTCAACCCTAAGACATCAGGGGATTCGTATAGATCAAAGGGTCTATTACATTCAAAATGTCCACATCAAAGGATAGTGGTCACAAACTCGACCTCCTGACCGAAGAAAACTTCGGATCATGGTTCGTCAAATACCCAAGACACCGGGGCATACTCAAGTCAGCTCGAAAACACAGAGCATCAATCAAAACGTCCACGAAAGACAGTGAAATAATACGTCAAAATGAAAGCATTAGTGAGCCTGCTACAAGGCAATCAAATTCGACCTCTTCATTGAGCAAGTCGGTATTCAATTCTTTCGACACCAGTCATCAAGTCCAGGTCTGTGCTCGTGTCACAATCATTCGTTTGCAGTACCATGCTGCATCATGGGGGTGTGGCCAATGGTGCTGCATCATGGGGGTGTGTTGAGATTTGCTGCAGCACCTGTGTTGTAGCTACCCCTCATGGTGGCAATCAGGTGGCAAATTAGTATGGGCTTCACATGGTATATAAGTAGCCTACATACCATTCCATAGTTAATCAATCAATCCTTCATATACATTTCCAACATGCAAAGAAACCCTGCAAGAGATGTTCCAGAATGAAGACACAGTGCTTCGTGGCTCCTGCTGTCACTCCGGAGTGTGTGTGGTGCATTGCTGATGCGGCTCGCATTCGGGGGCCCAATGAATGTGTAGCTGGCATGTGAGTCCTCCCTCGTCGTCTATCTTCATGAGTTGTTGCTTAACCAGCCTCGCGTTCGATAGCGATAGCGATGACGATATGACTGGTGCGCCCACACTGCGTGGACTCAAGAGACCCTATTCACACACAACTCCAGCGGCCACCAACACCATTGGAAACCATGCGGAAAACCCCAAGAACGCCTTAGAGAATGCCCCCAAGCCAACAAAGGCATCTGAACGACCTGTCATCCTTTCTACTTCCGCCATTGTACCTTGCAGAAACGCCACGAGCGAAGAGGAATCCTCGAAGATACAACGAGAAAGCCGCCCAAGCATTCAGACCAAGTCACATGACAAGCCGGACACAATGGTACCAGGCAGCCCGAAGCGCAGACGTTGTGAAGCTACTGTGACAGCTGAAGCTCCAAACAAAGTAGAACAGCCCCTCAATGTCGCTGAGCCTTCAACAGCTCAGTCATCTCCACTTCCAACGCCCTTGGCGGTTTCCCCTAACCCCGATGGACAGTCCTCTGCAATGCATGAGAGTCCCTTACCTTCCACCCCCGGAATGGCCATCGACGCCAAAAAGCAGAAGAATACGACTCTGTGGATCTCAATCCCCTCGTCATCTGACGCTGTCCCACTCAAGCTCCGCTCCTGCATGACAATCTCATCACTATTCGACTCCGCCCTTACAATCTGTGGTCTAGCTGACCAGCAAGCCAAGGTATCCGGTCTGAGAACCACCATTGGCTGGAAGCAAAATGTTGACCTCAACAAGTTCCTGATGTTGAAGCGTGAATTTCCGGATAGCTTTGAGATTTTCCTGGAGATAATTGACAAGTTGCCGTGCTGGCGTAAAGAAGATGGACACTGCGTGGTGACCGTTGAGGTAGTGCTGGCTTGATGTGGTTTTCGAGGAAGGTTGCGAGCATTGAGAGATGGAAGGCACTGATGGCATGGATACCGGAAATTTGCTGGACCCTGTGGCTTCCTCCCGCGGGTGCGAACCTCTCCGACCACAGCCTGGACATGTAGCCAGAAGCCGACCCGCCATTCCTCACCGCCTATGTTTCGAACGCTTCTACGAGCTGCTTTTCCTTCGTTACACAGTTCGACGCCGATCAAGCTCGGCCCTTGCATGAAAATGCCTGCTCTCTTCAACTCCGTCCAAGCTGCAATCGCCGACCATTTTCGTCAAGACGCCAGAGGGTTAGGCGTTGGGCAGGGGAATCAAAAGCAGATGCTGCAACGACCTTGGTGCTGAAGCAGGAGTCTTCAGGTTGAAAACTGCGTGTAGTAGCTACTCTAGTCCTTGCATGAAATAATATTAGAGGCCTCTTCCTCATATCATTTTCCCATAGTAGACGAACACCTCCATCTCTCGTCAGTAATACAGCCAATTGAGATCGAGCTTGAAGAAACGGTTTCCATGTAAACGCCAAAGTTGTGTGTTGTGATTGGAAAAGATGGGAGTAGTCCCCATTTAGAGTGCTACTACCTCTTATTCCAGGCCGCGTGTAAGACGTGGGGGGTTCGCCGCGATGTTGCTGGGCGTAGAATGCCCGGCACACGGGATAAAGACTTTTGTTGACATTATTATGTCCTATTGTAAGATATGATGATGGCATAATCTTCTTGCATCCTCCCGCAGGCCATTGTGCAGCTAAGAGAGCAGCTTGGCGAACCGATCGAACGTCCCAAGTTCAAACCTCGAAAAATAAGCCAGTCAAAAAGAGACAAATCCAAAACAAAACTTCCCGACGACTCGAACCCTGCACCTCCCCTCGCCCACCCCAACACAACAGCACAACATCCGGGAATCCAAAAAGGCAAAACGATTACCACAGGTGGAACGGTTGCTCTCGAATCAATAGAGTCTACCGTCCCGCCGTGACAACAGGAAAATAGGCCTGTAAACTTTTCCTTTCGGACTAGTTGAAGCGGCCATTTTTCGCTCGAGCCTCGTTATTGTGGTGACGGGGCGCTTAACCACTCAACCAGCAGGGCTCACATGGTGGGAATGGCGCTACAACGGGATATCAACCAACTTTTGGGATTTTGCCCGACGCTGTGCTTGTCCACCACTGTGAATCGTCATTCGACGGGCGAAAGCTTCTGGAAGTTTCATGTATTTGGCCAAGACGGCCTGGCGCTGCCGTGTAGTGTTTTCTCGGCACGGTGATGGCGCGCTGCCCTTGTCGTCGCACGATTTTTGGGGCAATTCGCAAGCAGTGGATGCATGTGCGGTCGAGTGGTACACACCATGGGATGTTCGCATTTGTTGCATCCACCTAGGATGATTTCTTTCGCACTTCAAGTCCACACACATGTCATAGAGATGACTCGATCTTCTTGCATTGTTCAGCCAGACCCGACATGGTTCGAGAGCATGCCTAGATACGTTCTCCAGCGGAGAAGGCTGCTTTTTGTGGGACGGCCCTGAGAGCAGTATTCTTTTGCAAATTTGGAGGGTTGTCATGCTCTGTGTCTGCCGGACACATGCATGTAAGGTTCCTTTGCGAGATCGCATCCTTCCATGAAGCTCCTCAACCCTCACTGTCACTATGCACCACCCCATTGCCATTCCGTTCTGGCGTAGACATATCCTCCTCTTCACCCTCATTGACCTCCACCTCCACCTCCACCACCTCATCCTCGTCGTCATCCAACCCCTCCAACTCTTCCCCCAAAGCACTCTCCCTAACCTCCAACACCCCCAGATCCTCCAGCACGGTCCTCTGCGGCAGCTTCCTCAAACTAGTTCCGCACACCCGGTCCTTGGTCAAAAGATCATCAACGAATTGATCGATGTACGTCAACGCATAACCTCCGTCCCTCGTCCTCCTCCTCAGCTTCCTCCAATCCCCCAACAGCGGCTCTAGAATCCCGTACACCTCCTTCGCCTCAAACGTCAACCGTATGTAAAACGCAGCCAGCGCACTCAAATATTTGAATTCCTCCTGCCGCAGATACTCGAGCACGATGTCCCTCTCCGGCATCAGCTGCAGCAATTTCATCGCAAGGCACAGGAAGGGCGTAGGTTTCTGCTGGCCGTACGTGCCGCCGATGAAGGTGAGAGCGGCGGCGCGGTCACAGAGGGTGGCTTCGTTGACGGCGAAGCACTGTTCTTTCCAGTAGTAGGATTCGATAATGCGGTCCCGGACGGGCTTCTCGAGCAGGTGGACGGGGTTCTGGTTGTGGATCGTGGCGCCGGTGTAGCCGCGGGAGTCGAAGAGGCGCTTGGCGTCTGCTTGGTGGGACATTTGTGAGAGTGGATGGGTTGAGTATGGTACCGAAGGTTGTTGCTGTGGTGTCTGCCCAGGGTGGATTTGTAGAATCTGCGGAGACGCCAAACGTTTGGCGCTTCGGAACGGGCCGTCGAGTAAGCGTTGTGGCTGTGTTCGCTTTCACTTTCCCAGCTCGTAACAAGTTCGTAGATATCAACAAGAAAACTGTTCCTTCATATCTAGTAGATACACGATTCTTCGATGCTAGATTCAAATCTTACGAGATTGTTCTTCGAACACTCTACCGCCCCTTTACTATGCCCGATCAAGTAAAGGCTAGCCCCTTTATTCACCAACATTTTCACAACTTCAAGTCTGCCCGTTTCACAAGCAGCCGCCAGCAGCTCCCCGCATTGTGTGGACTTTGTCAAAGCCATACATGGGGTCTTCCAAGGTCATCAAAAATGCCAATGGGCCAAGTTGCGGTGATGTTGTCGTTAGTGGATTAATTTCTTCTTGGCTTTACAAAGCAGCTGAAGGATTTCTTAGGCCCAAAAGGATAGCTGATCATTCTGATTTGTTCTCGGTATGCTTCACGAGAGCCCCTGTAACTCTAGACAATCACTATCGTAGGGAAACCGAGGTTCTCAGTTGCTTCGGCTCGCCCTAGTCGTCAGTGGACCAAATCGCGGACAATGTTCTGCACGGTCTGATGTTTGATCGTGTGCAATGGGCTTACTACCGGCCTGACTGGCCTGATCTCACGGCAAGTGTGTGCAATGGTGGAAAAGACACGTTCTCAGTCGGTCGCGGAACTCCAACTCACATCTATGGGTATGCGTTTGATACTCAACTAGCGCCATAGCTGACTCTGACTACAGCATTACTGTTTGTGGAAAGGAAGTTGAACTAAGTAGGTTCGAAACTAGATGTATCGGAAGGCTCATCAGATCCGACACTGTTTGGTGGAGTTACCGGAAGTGCAGGCGCTGAGCTATTGACCGAATTGTTCATCATGACCTCGCACAGAGGTGCGTAATCTTCTTTCCGTTTAGCATCTCCGAAGACATGAATAATATGCATAGAGACATGACTTTGAGGTCCGGAGTCATCAATCCAAACGATGACTATTCGATAACAGACTTGACGCAATGAATTGTTGACACGGAAGTCCCCGCAGTTGACTTCTTCGACGCCAGCTTACTCGGCTTGGCAAACCCTGGAATGGCAAAGGCAAGCGCTCCAAACTAAGTGTTGTTCACGCTTTGTCTAGCTTTGGCAGACTTCGATTGTCCGGCGCCCTTCAATTTAGCTTGACACCAAAGTCCCACCTCGAGTGTCAGCAGTGCCACGTTGGGTCTTACTGCAGTATTGTTATGGCGGTAACGGCATCAATAGCCACGTCTGGCCAAACATCTGCTCCACATGCGTCTTCTTGAGGCGTATGGAAAGGGATTCGGCGATTCTGTACGCAAGATGGCGCATTACAACAAAGTGCTTCCCAGTTCTACGCGCGTCACATCTCCAACTCGAACGCCTTGACCAAAGCTTGGCTTATCACTCGCCAAGAGATTAATGGGTTTTTGTGTCAGGTGTTTGCGCTTATCTCTCTCTTTCACAACAATAGCCTCAGCGAGGTTTGGGCTCGGCGAAAAGAAAGCAGTGGTTCGATGGTGCTGCATCTATTGACGGGAATTCCCAGGAGCGTGGTGTTGGGAGATTGGTTTTTCCCGCCAATCCAGTTGCCGATTGGCTTGGTGTGAGAGTGTTACTGCGTTATGCGTTTTTGACTCGGCCGAAAATTTCCTCCTTCGAAAGACACGCTTTTTTGTGATTGGTATCTTTGATGCCGACAGTCTCCTGTATTTGAGTCCTTGAGCATCTTTTTCTTGTGTCTGGTGACTCATACTTTGAAAAACTTATACGGTTACTATAAGTCTCGCGGGCGTTGGCGCAGGCCATTGGAATCATGATACAGAATAACAGAGATAAGCCTATGGAGTGCGATGGAATAATAGCAGACCACGAGGTCTGCCGCACTCTGTCACTCCTGAAGAATCGCGCACCGTGATGGGTGAATTCTGCGTCAGGAAGTAATATTCGAGGTCATCCGGGTAGCTTACATTTTTCACGCAATTGCCGCTTGCGCTTGCGAAGTCGGCGGAAAAGCTCTTCGTTTTCGAGGAAATAGTGTCATTTCATACGTTTACCAGTTCACGTAACGATCATCCAAGACTCGTATGTCGATCAGCCGATTCATAGTTAGTGAGATCAATACGGTTCGATCGCTGCGACTTTGTCTTCTCCGAGAATAGGCGTTACCGAGACGGTGGGAGGTGTTAGCGAACATGACAAATGTCTAAGCGTGCATACGGAGTACTATCCGTCCACGGCTACCTACATATGTGGATATGCGCGGCGGCGGGATAAAGCCACAGCGACTAGCTTTGGTGGCTCACTAATGCAAGCCATCTGCAGGGCGTCACATTTGTGCTCGAGGATGACACTTGCAGACACCACGGTCTGTGCTGTTCGAGTTCGCGCCTCCACCCTTCTCTTTGAACGAATCAACACCTTTCTAAATACCTATATGTAATCGGAAAACACTGCCGAGCACCGCAATCTCCGTTCTCGTGCAGTTGAGCGTTGAGCGCTCGCCATACGATCAATGAAATTTCCTCGATGCTTGAATTGACCTTCTCTGGAATACACTCGTATGTACTAGGCCGGCTGGACGGCAAAGTTTCTAGCGCCTTCCAATGTAACTTGTCGTTGCTGAGCGCACGAGTAGCGTCTAGTTGCCAGACAGATCACCTGATCATGCTTTGACCCATCTGGTGTACCCTTAAAGTCGTATTCCCACATCAGCATCTATACTCATAAGGGCAAACATGCCACGGTCTACTGAAAGAGGATCGACTACTGAGTATCAGTGAGGGCGGGTTCCTGAAGATTTGCTCATGAGATTTGAAAGAGATCGATAGAACAGTACAGAGGAAAAGCTGTATATGCAGCTGTTGAGATTTGCTGCAGCACCTGTGTTGTAGCTACCCCTCATGGTGGCAATCAGGTGGCAAATTAGCAGGGGCTTCACATGGTATATAAATACCTAGCCTACATACCATTCCATAGTTAATCAATCAATCCTTCATACATTTCCAACAGCAGCTGAATGATGAACCTCCACAGGCTACACGAAGTAAGCGAGGACATGGCTACTGTTGGTCTGATCAGCAGAGAGGGGGGATTAGATGATGTACAGGTGTTTCAGTTCCTGGTGCCCAGACCTTGATTTCAAATGAGATTGTTCATTGATGGAGAAGAAGAACGTTTATTGAAGAAGAGCTGAGGGTTTTCATTCAATCTTGGCCAAACAAATCAAATCAGCTTCTGGGCAGGACATTTTAGAGCAAGGACAACAATTGAATACGTATCTTACTTGACGATCCTATCGATGTTGATGCCCTACACAAAAAAGCAGTCGTTATGGGAATTTGGTCAATCTTTGACTGAGTTAATTTTAATCGCCGCCATCTAGGGACATAATATCTTGCAATTTGCATGATGTCCTACAACAGTAAACCCATTTTCTTCCATCAATCGGCTGCCTCGTTCTCAAGTGCACCCGACTGGATCATTCGCTTACCCCTTTCACTTTCGCATCTGCGTCTACCTATCAGGTTGCTCTGACTTTCGTCACATGACTATCTATGTTCCTATTTTCCTCAACACCGCGAAAATCCCTCACCACCAACATTCATATCTGCTCTCAACACTTTGATCATCGATGCCTTTATGACTTTCAGCTCTGCCATATAGCAGAAGCCATTTCATCAAGAGGGAAATCACAAAGACACGAATGAGGAAGAAAACCAGCTACGATGGGAAAACGCAAACTGACAGACCTTCCAAACGAGCTACTTACACAAATCCTCTCGTACATTCATGGCTAGAGCCACCTCGGAAAGATCGCCCTCCTATCTAAGCAGTTCAAACGCCTCGTCGACTGCCTACTGTATCGCCACATCAGCCTCGACATTCAGTATCCAGCGAACGATTACCGTAATAAGCAACTGTCGATAGATATTCCCACACAACAATCCCGAGCTTCGGTCGTTTCGATCGACTCCTCGACAATTTTTCCATACATCCATGCCTTGGCCGGGAAGATGTTCTAAATCGTGGGCGATACATAGACTTTGCATATTCAAGATCAGATGGACAACTGCGAAAGTCATGTTAACAGATAGGTAGGGAGGAAGCTCCCACTTTGACGTCTCACTTACCAATATCGACTCGCATTCGATAGCATTCAAGGGATAGAGGAAGTCGCACTCATCTCGCTCACACAGAAAGCAAACCCAGTGTTCATTGTTAGTGTTCAGAAAAAAGATAATTACCGAGGCGAGTTGGCGCTCTTCACTCACATTGGATGCGCAAAATTGGCACTACCGAAGCGACGCAATTGTCGACACTTGCGAGCCAGTCGATTAAGGGAGCAAACCCTGCATGCGACGACTACCATCAAAGATGCTTACAAGCTCATTGTTGTGACACGAGCTTGTACTAAACATGTTCGTCCAAAAGTTTGTCAGTCTTGCACTCCGACTCCACGTCCTCTCCACAATCGCGCTCACGGCATCCCTTCCTGCCCACGTATTCTCTCCGGCACTGGTGAGCAGCTTATCGTTACAGTCCAATTCAACGCTCCCGATCAATATAACGCTCCTCGACACATCATCATCATCATCATCATCATCGAAGTACGTCTCCCCCTTCCTTTTCAAATCCGCTCCCACTGAAAAACACCCTCTAGCAACCTCCCCATCGATCCCCTCTTGTTGAGAACGCCCGAATCAACCGTCTTCCTCAAAGTCCACGGCTACGGTCCTCGCCTTCCGCCCCAATCCACCTACCGCACCCTCCGAAAAGCAGTCGACGATGTGCTCAGTCACATCCGGGAAGATCCAAGCGAGGGAAAAACACCCATGGAGCACCTGCCTCAAGGATACTTCTATGGCACTTTTGATGTGGAGTTGTCGTTGAGGCCGAAGGAGGCGATGACGTGGGGCATGTGGGGGGATACGCTCAGGGGATTGAGGCGGTTTGGGGAGACTTGGGAATTTGTGGGGTTGGCGTTCGATGTTTTGGTTCGAGGGGAGGGGGAGGAGGAGACGAAATGGGTGGGGAGTGGGCAGTTGGAGGGGATTGCGTGATGGGTTTGCAGTCGTCGGTTCAGGGGCCCAAGGGGGTGGCCTTGTTGTTAGCGATTCACCAGAGAGGCCCTGGAATTCCCAATACCGCTTGACCGTATGGGCAGGTATGCTATGTGGTGGACAAAGCAAAGCAAGGGTCGACCGAAAGATCGACAGGTCTTCACTGCGTAGTAGAGCATTCTTAGAAAAAGACTGGGCGTTCTTGTCAAGGCATACTGACGTCTCTTGGCGTCTCTGACATTGGCCCTACTTTGCCCCAACATCTCCAAATAGCTTACCTCAACGCTACGGACTCTCAGCCTTCCATTCGGGCCTCTGCTCAAATGCTCACGGGAACAAAGACACAGGATAGCCCTGGCGATACTCCGACCTTTCTCCGCTTCTGGCAAATCGCTCCGTGCACCCGCTCGGTCGCACCTGCGGTCGGCTGGCTTCGGTAGACGAGTCGTCGCACTTTGAGGATGTCGTTCTTCGATGCCTTCGTAGCACAGGCGAGCGATTCGAAGCAAGTCGCGGTCCCATGTCTCGACACCACTTCAGACTCTGGCCCGAGGTACATCGAAGAGGTCCACCGGTTTCGTGACGCCGATCCGGAAGAAGTCCTGCAACGGGGTCTGCGGGAAGTGTGTGAGCGTAGAGTACGCTGGGCGCTCAGGACGTCTGGACTTTGGATGTTCGTTCATCGCTTGCATTTCTGTATTTGAAGAGAAGGGTTTATGCCAAGGCGGGAACGTTGGGTGAAGAGGTTCTAGCTTGTGCTCATCCAGCTGAGTCGCCGTCTCGTTGTATTATCTGCGTACAAAAGGTCATCAATCTCACAGTGCAAGCTTCGCAAGCCAGGTCTAGCAGAAGCCGATCTGCGCGAAGCTATTGCACTACGTGAGTCGGAATGGGGTGTGGACGACGGCTAGGCAAGGATCTGGTCGGAGATGTTGGGGGAATGGGTGTTGAAATGTGACCTACCGCGCTTTGGTGGTTGATCATTACTCAAGGGAAAAACCATGGAGATTGTGGACGCAGAGATTTCTATCCCCATTGTATCCACTGAACATTGCTGTATCTATTGATTCGATATTTTCATGCTTTTGTCTTGCTTCGGTTTACAACTTTTCCAATATTTCAAACAACCCCATACAAACACTGGTGGTTTCTATGGTAGCATCTACTCTATTATTCTATCAGTCCGCTCGCTGCCCGATGCGAAGTTTATACGAGAAAGACATACAGCCTGAAGCCTCGATTATTCAAGAGGTCCCGCTTCCAAGAATTGTCCTACCAAAGCGATTTGGCGCAAGAACTCTGGGTCGAGTCATCATGAGATGCTGCGATCTGTATCACTGTTGTATGCTTCAAGGACTGAGAATGCGGGTCGCGTAGACAATAGACACCATGCGCACCATCCTAATTGCAAGCTCTGATCTGTGGTGTGGAAGAGTGTATTCCCGTCATTGCCATCCCTACAGACGCGTGGCACTGCTGTCTCACAAGGGAGGGATGCTAGCTAGACCCTTAGTTGTAGAAGGTGTATCGGTTCTTCTCTACTTCTTCCTCCAATCCCCCTTCTGTCTACCTGTGCCCGATCAATATTATCTCCTCGTCTCCCATGTTCTGCAGCTGCGCTTTAGCGGTAACCAGACAACACTCGTCTTCGACGTCACGGAGCATGAGATGAAGACACTTCAGATTGAAGTCAATGGTGATGATCCGGTACCTATCATTTGACTTGTCGAGAACTTGTATGCGCATTAACTGGCGACTGTATGAATAACCAGCCAATATCGACCCTTTCGTAGAAGGTGCCGAAATTTTTGAAAGCGCCGCTTGTCGTAGTGCCTGATTTAATTTCTTGCACTCCACGGCTGTGGGCACGCATGAGAAGGCTGATGGTCTGATTCGGCCTTGCAGGCTAATTTCGGTCGCTTTGTTTGCTTACACGCTGTTTGATATCTCCTCGTCGATGGCTCTTACCTATTCAGTCGTCGTTGTGCGATCTGAAAAACGAAGCCGTATCACAAACGATATCAAATTGAGCCCAATAAACTTCCTTGTCGGGATATTTGGAACCGCGAGATTCATAGACGGTAATAGAGTCGCTTGTCGCCTCAGATCAACAGCTGTCGATTGAATCGCGCGACAAATCGTGACAGGCGACGATGATGCTGCTGATTCATCCAAATCCTCCCAGCTTTTGTCAACCCCCACCCAAGCCCGGTGAATCTCGTACCTGCCCTGGCTTCAACATGGCTGCTTCTGCTTCCTTTCTGGTTTACTATCTTTCCTTGTGCTTGCTCACACGAGGTAGTGTGTCCGCTCCGGTAACTGCTTTCAGCACTGTTCAAAACCTCACCACCAACTCTCTCTCGCTCCACCCTTTGGTTTCCCCACTCGATAATATTTCACTTCTAAATGTGACCTCTCCTCCCGACATTGGCGTGAGATACCTTGTCCCCAACACGTACGTAATCCTAAAGTGACTCGTTCTCCATGGCCACCAAAACTCAAGTCCTGAGACACGCTTTAAGAGCAAAGATACTCTTTTCACGCTTGAATCTGTTGCTTGACGTCAAACCTTATCCGAAAAAGCAATGCTGATTCTAAATCTGCCATCAGCCAGATAACCATATTTTTCTTCCTGGGCTTCCGCATCGATGAGGTAGCGATGCAGCACACCATCGACGCGGCCAGGAAGTATACCAGCCCTAACATAGCACACCCCATGGCTGAGTCAAGCTGATGATTATAGCTACTGTAACCTTCAGCTTGAAAAGAGTGGTGACGTGCCACTTCCCCAAACAGAAGACCCTTTCCGTACGTAGATGTCAGAATATTCCCTTCTATTGTGTACCCAATCTTGAGTCATGAGGAGGTGGTTTCGAAGACAAAACCCCCCTTGCTCCTTGACCTGTCGGACAGCTCAGACGTGTAAGAAGCCATGCTGACTTCGAAACCTGCGTAGACGATGATCTGGGCTATGGCGCGGCAATACATGTCGTATCTACCAAGCCGCGCCATCGCATTACTTGGGAAATCTTGAAGGGCATCATCCAAGGACTTTGGAATTTCTTGGTCGAGGAGGGCCGGTACATGGTATGTCAGCCTGGACGGATCTCTCTCTGGAGACACGAAGAAACACCTTTTCCTTTGGGGAATCAAAAATTTCCGTTCGCCTTCTTTTTAATGTTGCTCTGATCCAGACTTCGATCCGAGGGCGTGCTGATTCTGAGGGTTTGATTTAGGAGGCTGAATTCCATATCGGGTATGCGAACGTGGGTTCTGTGGGCAAAGGCACGATAACGGAGGCGGCGAAAGCTCCCAGTGTGGAACAATAGAGGGACATTATGTCTTCGGAGCGCAGGGACCGACCGTGACGCGAAGTCTGTTCCTTCTCTCTCATGGGTGTACTTCTGTTTCAGCCATCCTTTTTGATAGTTCAAATTCCAACAGTTCATGCATATTGAGGAGTAAAGCACCGAATGACTCATACCTCGGGTCCGGCAAACCATTGTCTAGACCTGGAAACCGAGTCTCAATTTGTCTCTTAAGGATTATGTCCAGGATCTATATGGATCTCAATTCATGCCAGGGATTTCCATTCTGCTAAGTTCAAGCATAAGCCAGCTAGAAACAGGGGCCCGCTCGCAAGAAGCAAGTGCGCGTGGAGATCGTTGACAAGAGTGAAAGTCTTAGGAAGGTGGAACACGGCGCGGTTGAGTTCTTGATCATGCTGATACAGCTGGGATTGGACATAATGTCTCGATTGGCTTACTTGGATCAAGCATCTTGCGATCTGGATCGGAGTATGAGATTCTCTCTGGGCGACCTCTGTGGCAGCAACATTGCAGTACAGGTTTTTTACTTTGAAATCACATTCAGTGAGCGGTTTCTTCTGCCTCAGCAAGTTGATGGCTGATTGGAACAACACTTCGGCTTGAAAGTTCAACCTGCGTAAGTCCCTTACATATTATCTAAATATCTTACGAGGCAAATGTCAACCATACATTCAAAATCTATCACCCGTCAGAACCGCGTCGAATAGGCACCGTGAAGGCAGCCGACAGAAACTCAGCTTTGGCAACGGGACAGATTTTCCAGCTGTAGGCTTGACTGATGCTGTAGCACTCTGCGCTTGATTTGTGAGCGTGGATGGCCGTATAGATTGATGATTGCGTAGTGAGAACAAATAGTAGCAATGGCGTGGTTGAGAGGAGTTCGCAAGCTTTAGTGGTGGCTAAAATGCCTGATGCTTGGTATGCGCGCGCTGGTTATTGTCTTTAAGGCTGTCGATGAGGTAAGAATTTAAAAGAATATAAATCAAAATAGGAAGATTCATTCATACCGTGACTTGGCGCAATGGATTCCAGGATTAACATCTTGTCACTGGAGCGTCAAAGTAGAAAGTCGAGGCTGTACCGTTTCAAACCCGATCAATACCGGCAAATGAGTCGGTTCAGCGAAGGTCCCTGTGATTGTGCGGCTCACTACACTGCTCTTTCTCAGAGCGAGTCGACTACCACGGTCAAAAAGACAAAGCACTTCATTGGCTTTTCTTCTGGGGCTTGTGTAAACAGACCTGCAACTAGGCTGCAGACTAGTTCAGGCGGCAACACGCCTTGAGTTTCTTTTTGGTTTTTGATACTCTCGAATCATACGCAAGGTGCTAGGTTCGAGCCGCCTCAATCCTGGACTTTTTTCTTTCTTTTTTTCTTTTTTTCTTCTGTTTTCGCTAAGCCGTCGTCACCTTGTGACGACCGCGTCGTGACGGAAGCCCAGCCACCTTCCGACACTGCCCACGCCCTACTTGAGGCTAAAGCTTCCGCGCCACAAATAAGAACCTTGTCAGTGATGTAGAGTCAATATTATCCTGGCCGCTTACGACCGTTGTTTATGCGATGGGACACTGCTTGCAGCAGCAGCAGCTTCTGAGGAGTCATGGTTGCCTTCGAGAATACTGAGCAACAATCGAAGTGCATTGAATTTTTCGTGGCGTCGTCGCTATTCCTCTCTCCAGTGCTGTTCCCTACATGACATCGGGGCTTGGAGTCTGCTGATGTTTGAGTTCCAGTAGCAGTCCGATAACTTCTCATCGATGGTTCTCTCCAAAACCTGTAACAAGCCTCGTCGCATGGTGCATGCTGGCTTATAGCAACACAAGCACAGAATCGCTTCGGACATATCCCACAGCAAAGCTTCGAAATACGGTTGCAAAGCTCAGACGCACGAGTCAAGCACACACGGCAGCGGCAATCTGGGGCAAGCATGGCAGTGCGCAGTAGAGAGCGGCATGTCTCTGATCATTATCATAGCATCACATAATGGCAATGGCTACTGCACAAATCGGAGGTCGATATGACAGACGAGGCGTTCGGGCTATTACAAGGTGCTGCATGAGCGAACTCTGATTAGACAGCACAAGAGGGTTGTGTCACCATTTCCTCAGTCATGATGATCACTTTTTCAACGACATGCAAATACCTCTGTGTATAGAAAGAGTCACATTTACAATGATAGTTTGACAAGTCGTCGGAGAAGACATTTCTGGCTAGCGCCCCAGCGCCAAGCCTCTCTCACAGGCGTGCTGAGAAATGCGATTGGAAAACCAACAACAGTATCACACGTCGGAAATCGATTCCCAGGACGGAAAATGCTTTCTGAGTACTCGTATATCGCCATGCCTGACAAACTATGGAACTCTGACGAAATGGACCAACCCTTCTCGAAGCCCAAACCCCGACCGCTGCGCTCGTGGATCTTTCGGCTTGCTCCGGGGGACGTTGCCGTGAACTGGTGACACAGCCGCGGGGTGGAGGAGGATATCCCTGTTATCTCTGCCCTTGGGTCGTGCTCTGAGATGCTCGACAATCTGCGAACGATGGCAGAAGAAGGAGGGAGAAAGCTGCTGGACTATGGCTGCTGATTTTGCTATAACGCCTTCGTCATTATCACCTTCCTTCTCATGTCGTTTTCAGATTGTTCTAGCCCCGAGGCCTGCTTGCTACAGTTTTATCCTCTTGATATGGAAGCTGTCCGTCTTGAGCGCGAAAAAAGGGCGTCCATCTCCCCCCATGTTTCACTTTACTTGGTGAAGTGTACGAGTAGCCTTTCTGCTCAAGTGGGCCCTTCAAATCAGTTCAGTGGGTGACTTCAACGGGTATTGGTGGGCAAACAAGTGTGTTCCTGGAGACGTGGTCTGGCACATGTTTTAACCTGATGACTACAATGTAAACTTTTCCTGCGCGATGATCAATATGATCATAGCAAAGGTCGATTTATTGTTGGCTGTATCATTGTTTGATTTGATCAATAGTGTTGGGCGTCTGGCAAAGCTTTGGTAGAGAAAGGCAACAGATGCAGCGACTGAACAATAATCAAAGCTTACGGCCGCAGCTGTTTTATTGCCTGGGCACACAGCAATTAGCTGAAGCCTACTTGTATCAGACGTGCTGCCAGATAAAAAGGTAGTTGTAGTGGTGCGCTAGTCATGTGAGTCTTGACAGTAACCAGTCAAGTAATCTCGTTCACGAAACACATCATCTAGACTGTGTTGGCAGTTGATCGTTTCAACAAATCGATTCAGTAGCCCTTGTTGTGCTGGTCGTGTACAACATACTCAGGTATGAAATCGTGAGGATGGACAACTAAAGATTGCCAAGCAATTCACCTGACTTCGCGTAGACTCCACGACTCCTACGCGCTTTCAAATCGCCCCTCGACACCTACCTTCCATTCTTCTTGGAGATAAGGCGACAATTTGCTGGAGCACATTCAAAGTGCGAGAGTAGCTCCGCTGAATCATGACACATATTAAACACAGATTTCCGGCACAAGTGGTAAAAGGGTTCACCAGCCATGACCTCCACGATTACATCCTCCGGTGTCCGTCAGACGCCAGCTTTCACCGTCCCCTCCACCCAGAATACAGCACCAGTACTCGAATATCGTTGCCTTTACACCCACGACCTACGACGGAAGCAAAAGCGGTGGCAAGATGGACTTCTCCGATTCCACACCTTCAACAAGCGCATCATGGTGTACGATGTGTCGAGGAACTACATCGGTGACATGCATTGGCGGGAGGATGAAATATTGCAAGATGGCGACGAGTTCGAGTTGGACAGAGGGGTGCTGATACAAGTCGGAGAGGCTATTGGGAGCATGGAGCAAGACCTTACAGGGATTTTTGAGAAAAGGAAGAAGGTACCGGAGGTGGCGGTTCATGAAAAGGCCCCACACCAGCCAGTAGCGGTACCTATGTCTGGACCGATAGCAGCACAGCCATCCCAGTTGCGGCCGAAGAGTTTGAATGCGCTGCTGGGGACACCGAAGGGACAGATTGGGAGAGCTGCCCTGCCTACAAAGTCGCCTCATGAGCTACGCACAGAGAGTGAGAACAGCAGCTGGGACCACGGCCGCCCGGCCAAGCGTCAACGAATAGAATCGCAGGTGGAAAGGAGGGCGGAACCGAACAAGATGCCGCCGCCTCGAGTACCGCCAAACTCCCGGGTTCCTGATGAAGGAGTAAACACAACTGTCGTTGAAGCAGCTGTGGACCAGCGATGTGAAGGACGTGTGCCAACCACTGTGCAACGATCCGCTCTGTCATCAGCGAGAAGCGCAGCCAGTAGACCACCCATTTCCCTAAGTACATGGAGTAAGGATAACACGGACGAGGGTCCCAAGCGAGCGATCGAGCCAATGCCCAAGAAACGATCTAGTGGATCAGGAAGCTCAGAACTGACTGCGCAACAACAAAGAAAGCGAAAGCCAGATCGCAATGCTCAAGTATCGCCGAAAGCTAAGAAAGTTGCAAAGCGTCTTGATCATGAGCCCGAGACATGTCACGCAAGAACGAGCACTATCACAAAGCCCATTGAGATCGCGTCGGACGAGGATTCTGCGTCTACCAAGCAGCAACCAATCCAAAGATCAAAGCTACAGATGGCTTCACGCAAGCCACGTAAAAAACTTTTGTATCGAGACCTACTGCCTCAAGACTCGTCTGCGATCGGCCGTTCTTCTGGTGACGCTTCAGTCCTAGATCGAAGTAGTCGCGACCGAAACACATGGAGCAGACCTGAAAAACGGAAAGGAGACCACATGGCTGAGTTTCATAAGGAAGAGCAGGAGCGGTTGAAGGCTCGACTCAAGAGACATCATACTAAGGAGTGTCAGCTGAATAATGAGCGTGGAGAGGTTTGTGGTGACACACCAGAAGATCTTTTTCTCTCCCAAGAGGACATAGATACAATATCAGCAAACAAACCCAGAACGAAGGAGAAGCAGTCGAAGGAGAAGGCTCCCAATTCTTCCGTAACCTGGTCCTGTCGCCGTCATACCGAGTCTGTCCCCTCATCAACTTGTCGTTCGTTATCTCCTGAATTCCTACCGGAAGTGATACCTAGATCTCCCTCTGCTGTTCACAGCAGCGCCATGACTCTCGCAAAGACGGATCAGATTTTATTTTCGCGCCCTCAACCGAGAACTTCTGAATCTGTCGAAGAGAATGACGTTTTACCCGAAGTCTTGCCCCAAGAATTGTCTTCACCACCAGCTCTCAATGAACCGCTAGATGCAGTCCCTACACCTTCCCCTCCAAAAGACCGGCCTCATTCATTTCCAGCCTTCCAAATGCAAGCTCACGTACCCTCTTCGCAAGGCATACCCCAGAAAGCAATCAGCACACTGTCAAGACCCAACCCTGACTCACTATCCGCATTCGCAAAGGCTGTGCAACCCAAGGCGCAGGGACGTAGACTACGAAGTTCAAATATCCGACCACCTGATTCACATCTTCCTTCCATTCAACCAACACCAGGAAACACTGTCTCTGCACCCTCCTCTCCACGACACCATCCAGTGTCAGCTCCGGGCTTGCAAACCCGACCCGACGTCCACCCTACCAAGTCTCCATCCCCAGAGGCGCCAATTGCAGACGTCATTGTTCCAATACCAAACGCGAAACATGAGTCGCTCTCCGCCTTTTCGAAAAATGTAGCGCCCAAACCGCCCACAGCACTAGAGCCAGTGCCGAGACAGAAACACAACAAACAGCCGGCATTCACCAAGGTTACCCCAATCATATCAATCCTCAAGCTCCCAGACGAGACGGTGGAAGTCCTGTCTTCCCAACCTCCCAGCTCGCCACCCCCAGAGGCGCCGATCGTGGCACCTCACCCTCCAAAACGTAAACCCGACTCCCTACCCGCGTTCACAAAGGTCATTCCCACAAAGCCTCGATCGCCGTTGAAGAAGTCAATATCCGACACCTCGGCTATGCGGCCGCCATCTACTTTGCCTGTTTCGGGTGGGGAGGAGAAGGCTTCATTGGACAATCTGGGCGGGAAGGATGAGAGTGATAGTCTGTGGAGCAAGGAGGCGTGGGATCTGTTTGGATGCGGTAGGGACGGGGTGGAGTGTACTTATGAGGAATTCAAGCGGAAAGAGGGGTTGGTGTGAGAGGAAGGATGGATTGCATGGATTGCAAGGTAGTTTTGGAACAATGTATATATGTAATGTTGGACTTGTAAGGAGCCACTGTGGCAATTTGGTACCATATACGACAACCAGTATCTATCAATAGAACGAAGTACATATCCACAAATACGTCCATGCTGTCTTGAATTACGATAGCAAGCACATACAAAAGAAAAGCCAAGCCCGCTGGGCGTATGAGCTATGCCGCATGTTTTGAATCCCACATCTTCCCGCTCTTGACAAAGAGCATTTGCCCTGACTAACTGTACGCCAGATTCGTGAGCGAATTTGACGGCGATCGATGACTGCGTTGACTGTGCACGCTATGTGTCGAGCCCACGTGGCTGTGATGTCGTCCGTTCTTCGCTAAGCTGCCAACGTCATGTTGACCTGGGCAGAAGAAGTCAGCACCGCTCCAAACAAGGTCCTCCGACAGGCGTGGAGGAGCAGAGACTAGGCCTTTACTTACCGTCACAGCAAGCCCTCACATTCTCCAACCGCCCTCCCTGCTCTTGGTTCTCAATCACCCTCCTCAAGTCCTCTGCGCTGTCGCCCATGCGCCCACCAACCACATTTCTCCCTCCTTCAAGCACGCCAGGTTCCGGCGGTCCATCATCACGTAAGCTTGAGCGGCTACGGAGGGAGCTGCGGACTGAGGCCGCGGGTTTGTGCCAGTAACTACTTATGCGGCTGGAGACACTTCCTTGGTTGTCTTGAGCGTTGTAAACTGCGGTAGCATTGGTAGTGTTGTTATTGGTGTCGTTTGGGGCAATAGAGTCTTGTCGGGATCTGGTCCCCCGGTTTCGCGAAAGGCTGCGACCTATGCGGCTGCGTACGCTTTCTTTGTTAGGCGAGGGCTCTGTTTGCTGCCCTTGACTTTGGGTGTTGCCGCCCGAGGCAGCGCCTGTTGGGATGCGTGTTGAGAGGCGGTTGGAATCTTGCCTGTTCTGTGTAGCGGAGCTGCGGAAGCTGGAGAGGGAGATGCGGGATCGGGAGGAGCGTTTATTGTGCGATCCTGGATTGAACTCGGCTACGTCGGCGTCAGAGAGGTCGCCTGGGTTGTGGACTATATTGGCGCCATCTGAGCCGGTTCGGAGCAAGAGGTAGGAGAGCGCGTTGAACCAGGTCTCGTGCCGCTGGGAGGTTTGCGCCGTGAATTTAACCGAGCGACCGGGTGTGATTATAATGAGAGATTTGCGGTGAAGGCCAGGTGGCATGGGATTATCGTCTGTGACTACTCGTACGGCTTCGATGGCTACGCTCTTAGATTTGAGCTCCGCGCGGTTGGCGGAAGCCGGATCTCGGTCGCTCCAGTAGAGTGTGCGAGTGTATGGATGAACCCAGAAGAAGCGGCGGTGGCGAGTGGAGGACATCTCGCCGCGACCTGCTTTGCGAGTGTACTTCCACATCATCTCGCCGATCATCGTCTGGGTAATTGCCTGGATCATGCGGGGATCAGTTCCAGGTTGGAGGCCTTGAGGCATTGGCATGCCAGCGTCGGTGCGGATGTTGAAGCGCTCATCAAGTTCAGAAGCAAAAGAAGAGAACGAAGATCGGCGAGACGCTTGGCTTCGGGTGGTGGAATATCGACCTGCTCTGGGAGTCGTTCCGCCTCTTGAGGACGGACTTGGCATTCCTTGCTGGGATGGAGTCTGAGGTCGACTGTTGCGGGACCTGGCAGCTCGAGAGGGGTATGCAGAAGCTGGGGCAAGAGGGGGACCCATAGACGTTGTTGAACCCGTTGGAGTCACTGACGAATCGAGGGGCGCCTTTTGCGCAGCAGCAGCAATAGCTTCTTGATGATCTGGAGGCAGCGGAGGATACGGGGCTGCTCGCGAACGCATGCTTGTTGCACTGACTGGTCGCTTGAAAGACTTTCCAAGTGAGTCTTTGTAATATTGCTCTGGTGCCTTTCCTTTGCCAACTTCACTGAGGCCGGGAGAGGCAGCTCCTATATCAGCAAGGGGTCTCATTGACGGTATGCTGGGTTTCTTCGCAACACTTTCCAGCAAATCGGAAAACGATAGTGTTTGGACTCCACGATCAACCACTGGTGACAGCTTGGCATTGCTCTGCTGCATGTTTCGATTGACAGTATTGGCTGGCACTTCTTGGAGAGGACGCTTAGAATCACTAGTGGTAGGTCTACTGCTCGCAGCAACTTCTTGACGAGTCTCGTCTTCAGCTATCTGAGACCCGGAAGATGCTTTGCGCTTATTCCAGCCAAATACAGAGCCAAGAATGCCTCCAGTACTAGCCGTCTTGGGCGGGCTTTCGGTAGTATCGGAGGTTGCAGCTGCAGTTGGTGGGCCTGCAGACGTAGTTGTACGGCTTAACTCGTTTGCCATGGATCTCTCGATAGGCTGTACCGGGACTGACTCCAAGCTATGAATAGGTGACAATGTCAATGGAGCCCGAGCCTTGGCAGCCGTACCTGGAGGCGTCGTGGCTTGATCATCATGTGTTGACTCGGAATATTCCGTAGGCTGAGTTGAATTGCTCGAAAAATTCCTGGCTCGCTGATCATCAGACGACAGGTCTCCAGAAACACCTCGCACCTGCGTTGTTGCAGACCTCGTCGATAAAGGCGTTGTATCTGCACTTTGATTAAATCCCGGAATCGTGCCAAACATCTGGAGCGGCTGATCCCAAGCTGGACGTCGTGAAGATGAAGATGAACGCGATTCCGAGCCAAGGTTAGACACACTAACAGGCTGTGATTCGACACCCTTGTTTTGTGGCGTTTGGGGTGTGCTACCAAAGATTCTGCTGGTGATGGCCGCTGCGGAACTCGTGGGCAAAATACTTGAGGATTCTGGGCTCGGACTTGCTTGGCGTAGGCTTGCGTGACCTACCCCTGCTTGACCTGGGGGACTCTGTGGAGGTTCCATCGGCTCTGTCATCATACTGGAATCGACCATGGGCATTCTAGGGACCGGTGGCGCGCCTCCTGCATAGACAACGGTGCTAGGCCTTGGACCCGACGTTGACGGACTTACACCTTGTCTCATGCTTGATGATGACCTCTTCCCACTGACATTTCTGCGAAGAGATTGCGTGGACCTGGGTGAGCTGATAATTCCCTTGCTTGGCGTGCCATCTTCATCACCACTCAGGTTCTCCAGCTCGTTGAACAGACTTTGATTTACTTCACCACCTCCGTTCATGAAGCTGCCTGGAGAATTTCTAGCTGTTGACTGTTGACTACTACCTGGGACTTCGCTGCTCACCCGCGACCGACGAGAATTGCGGTTGACCTTTAAGCGGTACCGCTGTGGCTGATTCTGAATTGGTGTCTGAAGAGCATGTCCTTCGTCGTCTCCAGAGGTTGATGCAGTGCTCTGAATGGATCTCCTGTCACCCGGCTTGTTAAATGGGACAGGTTGTGGTTTCTTGCTTCGCATAGTGCCACCTCGAGCCACACCAGACTCTGTTTCTGTCGCTTCGGCCTCATCCGTGCTGTCTCCCGCCAAACTCTCGGCTCCGGTCTGGAAAGCATCGTTGTCAGTAGTGTCACGCTCATTTGCTGTCTCAAAAGCATCCTCTGTCTCATTAGCCGTCTGATAAGCGTCACTATTTTCCGCGAGTCGACTCGCCCCTGGCATGCTCTCGTGGGTGATTGGTCGAACACCAACATCATGACGAGGATTGTCTTCATCGTTGTGATCTTCCCACTCGGGGTCGTGCTCGGCGTCATCGACCAAAACATCAGTCCTGCTGTTCCTGGTGGCGCCAAGCCCAGGCCGACCTGCTCTTCTCATATCCGTATGTGATTTTGCTTTCAGCCTCTTCCCATTCGGCTCGGCTCTTCGAATCTCCAACTCATCTCTAGCCTCTTGAAGCATGCGCTTGAGATCCTGCTTTTCGGCTTTCTCACGATGTACATTGCCTTTCAGGTTCTGGATCATCCTGTGGGCATGATTTAGAGAGCTTTTCAACGTCTCTGACTCCAACATAGAGTGCCTGTGGACGCCTTTTGTGGGTGAAGGAGGAGGCGAGTGCTCTCGTTCAGACAAATCGAACGGATATTCTTCAGACTTCGCGCCAGTGTCCGCCTCTGGCTCGGTCTCCTCATCTCTGAAGCGGCCGGCAAGTCCGTTGGCTAGTTCCCGATTTTGAGAAGTCAGCTCTTCGATCTTGCGCTGCAGAGTCTCGTTTTCGTTCTCGCCCAGATTCACGCTCCTTCGTAGACTAGCGAGCTCGGATTCATGGGTCTTGCGCACAGCAGCATAATCCTCCGTGACTCTGCTGTGATCTTGTCTAAGATGGTCCAGCTCACTCTGTGCAGCGTTCTTCTCAGATGTGGTAGCAGCCAGTACTTGTTGCAGCTTTTGTGCCCTGCTGGCGGAGTCTCGGTTCGCTGCGTTTGTCTCTTGAAGCTGGGTTTCCAAATTCCAATTTTCGTCTTTGTACCGCTGCTCACTTTCGTCCAGACTTCGAAGACGTTGTGAAAACCCCTCCGCCTCAAGCTCGAGCCTCGATTTGTCCAATTGCACGGCCTTCAATGTCTCATCGCGCTCCAATAGGACCGCTTGCAAATGCCGTACTTGTCCTAAGAGTGATGTACTGATCTCGGCTGCAAAGTCAATGTCATCCGTTTTCGACGCCTGATTTCTTTGTTTTCTTGGGACATTGAGCTTAGATGGCGAATCAGTGGCCTGGCTAGAAAACTTTGTAGGGCTTGCGGGATTCTGTGATTCGTAGTCAGCACGCAACCGGCCTGACCTGGAAAGTAGAACTTGCCCTGCCATCCAAGGCAAAGGGGGTATTCGATCCCTCTCCGACTGCTTCCGACTTGGGACCCAGGAATGCCCTAGCACTTTGTCGTCCAACTTCATTGTATTCTCTCTCAATCTCGATCAGCTTCTGCCGTAACTCAGGACTGATATGGGCCTCCTCCTCTTGCGATCCCACATCCCGTAGTCGTTGTGCCAAATTCACTCGCTGCTGCACCAGCGTCGTGCCGAGCTTTGAGGTTTCCTGAATCCTCCGGTCCGTCTCTGCCATGTGAGCCTCCAATGCCCTCTTCGCTTGCGCAGGAGACGATGATGGATGATTCAAGGCGAAAAGCTGGGTATCGAAGGACGAAAAGCGGTGGGGATGAGGGTGCGATGGTGGGGTCTCCGTTGCAAAAGGATCATTTTGTCTATTCATCCCATTCGGAGTTCCATTTGAGGAGGAGTCAGTAGGGACCGCATGACGAGGGTATTCATCAGTTGTTGTCGCCATGCTTTCCCTGTTGGATCTGGAAGGCATCCCGAGGGGAACCGGGTCCGGTTCGTGCAATGCAGAACGTACAGGATTGCCAGATCTAGGGACCGACATTGGAGATATTCCAAAGTCGTTTGCGATATACCCTATCTGTGCGCAAACACAGGCCGATTTGGTTGAGACGGGCGACGACTTGTATGTTGATTTCGGCCGCCGAACAGACGCAGGGTCTTCCAAGCTAATGATAGCTCAAAATCCCGTCAGCTACACCACTCCGCTGAATGAGAGTAAGGTATTGAAGGACAATACACTTAGCAGCAATTCAAAGAAAGTGATGGTGATGGTGCGTGCATCACGGATGGCCTCGCCCCTAAACCTTGGTTCGTGTGTTGTTGATGGCTTGGCGTCCTGTCTAAATATGACAGTTGCAGGGATCATCTCAGCCCTATCAAAATATCCGCAATCCCGGGTATTCAACCAATCACAACTGTCCGCTCCTCAGCCTCACGATCAGTGAGTAGAGATTTTCTACTCATAAAGCACTTCGAGTATTACATATTCAAGATAACGACGAAGAAGATTGAATCGGGTTCTACCGAGGTAAGTTCCGGGTAGCTTCCCTAGAATGGGCTCGTTGCGTTTTGAAGAGGTCGCGAATTGAGGTATGGCATCTGGTGGACAATCCAGCAAAAGGCTTGCACGCTGTACAGAAATGGTGGGAGGATAAGGAAGATTGGGGACCGCTACGCACAACATTGGAAGCGATGTATCTGAGTCATGTCGCAGAAATTCTATATATTAATCTTGTGATTGCCTACCAGTCCTTTCACGGTGACCTCACGGCTATTGATCATCCATGATCTTTCGAGGAGGGTCTCCCCCTTTCTTTATGCCTCATCTATTGATGGCTGTACTGATGTGATGTACAACCCAGTCTGCTAGGTGCCATGTCTTGGAGATTTGAAGGCTTTCCACTACAGCTCACTCCACTTTCAACCACTCAAGCCTTGATGGCCTGACTTTCGGGTTTAAGTGGTATCTCAAAAGATAAACCATTTCGTTCATCTTCACGATCAGTGATAGTAATAATAATATTTCGATATTTCGTAATCATTAGTGCTTTCATGCCTGAAATACTGTTTGAACCCGATCACTGACTTGTTTAGACAGTCACCATTCTGAGCAGCTTGGCACCTTTCATTAGAAGTTGTTTTTATCATTTGATGTAGCCTCTCAATTCGAGACTTCTTGTGTTCAACATGGCTCAGCCAAGTAATAGACTACTTCTGTATCTACTTGTCAAAAACCATCCCCTAACCCGCTCTTATTCACATTCCCCTTCTTCTTCTTCTTCTTCTTCCTCCTCACTGTTAGAATCACTCGCTTCGCTTTCTATAGTGTATTCAGGCCCGATGGGCGTAAAGGGATGAGTGAGGAGATATATGACTTCCCGGGATAGATAACACTTATAGCAAAGCTCGAAATTCAAATAGGTCTCGCAATGGTACTGGATTCCACAAATGACCTAATCATTTCAACGTCAGCAATGTTTATAGAAAGGAGCACAAAAAGGGCTGTGCCGGGAGGAATCAAGAAAAAGGTACCTACTGAAACACAGCAGTCACACCGTGCGTCCTTCGCAGCCGCCTTTCTCGATGCGTGGAGTTTCTCGTTTCACGCATCTCTACCTCCCGTGGTCTTGAGCTTCTCCTTCGCTTTGTCCTCTAATAACCGAATGACCCTACTATCCGCTCCATGGTATCTTGTAACCTTCACCGGAGATTACTCCCGATTTAACCCTTTCGCTCTGACGCACGGATCCGCGCCACGATCCAACAAGAGCTTGATGACTTTCTCTTGTGCATTAGACGAGACTGTTCTCTGTCCAGTGTAGCCGCCCCCCGCCGCCCAGAGCAAAGAAATCCATCGATCAATATCACCCTGATCCACCAAGTCTCTCGACAAACATATAATGTGATTAACAACATAATCAATACCACCAACAAAAGCCCAATGGAGTGCCGTTCTACCCATATTATCTGCCACTTCAACGTCCGCCACAGATCCAAGAATCGACTCAAAATTTTCTATGGTTCGCGCCGTTGCAACTTGGATGGCCATCCTACCCATTTTGTAAACCTGGCCTTCTTCTTGAGCGAAGCCCTGACAACTTCTGCGTGTCCATGTCGAGCTGCGAGGTGCAATGGTGTCAAGTCTTGTAGCGTGACTGCCGCTTCGAGGGAAGCTCCAAAGTTGAGCAGGTTCTTGAAATTTGAAGTTCAGAGGTTAAATCTGATTCTTTGCATGTATTAGCCATTGAGAAGACTATTGTCCTTATTCTTCATGACTCCGCTAAAGAAACTCTCAAATATTACTTATCAAACGCTCTCCAACTCGAACTGCCCCAACTTCTTCTCGTTGTAGTTCTGCAAATTTTTCGTCAAGCCCAACTCAGATAGATACAACACGGGATCATCTCTTGGTACCCTCCCGAACACTCGTGTAAGAGTACTTCCAAATCAATCTTAGCGTTAATCTTGACCATACATTAAAAAGGACCTTTATCCTTTCATTCTAACAATACCGCTATCCACATCGACTTAGGGACCCCTGTTTGAGAAGTTTTATCCTCCAACAAAGTCCAAGACATACAGTTTGACGGTACGTAATTCATCCCCTTCATATCAATGAAACCTATTACAGTCATTTCATCGCTCGTACCCCTACCAGCGCGATTCTCCCGGCCTATTGTCCCTGTTGTTGTTACATCTCCAACGGGCGCCGCTCCACCCGATTGTAGATTTATATTTCATGCTATATTATCATGCTACGTCGTCGGCACCAAATCCATTCTCCCATCGGAGGAGATTGCAAAGACCTCTCGGCTGGTCTCTTCGACTTTCATGCCTTAGGATTCTAGCTCAATATCGACAGATCAAAACGGTCTCGCCGGTCGAACCGGAATTGTAACACGATCAGTGTGGCATACAAGTCGCCCAAAGCGGGAAAACCGCCAATACTACGTCGAGATAGGGGCAGCGGATATCGACGGCACCTTTGCGTTCGATGTAGTTGGCTCATTGCTAGGGCTTTGAGGAGTCGTTCTGGGTGCGGAAGTGGTTGCTTGCGTCGCCCTTTTTTGGAGAGGTAGATGTTAAAGGAAGGAAGTTCGGTGGGGGGAGGGTCTTCGTCGGTGTTGCGTTCATCGAGATTGTTTCGATCTTCAGGACTGGGGCTGGGGAGCTCGTCCACCATGGGGACACTGTGATGGCTTGTTGTTGAGACCGAAGATGAAAATAGATGCATGGGCGGCTGACAAGAGCTGGAATATGATATCCTTCATACCTTTAATTATCAAAGTAGTCGCGTCTTTTCCTGCAAGATTCAACGTACATTAAGGAATGCATACAACTTTGTAAATGTTCGTGGATCATATCACCGAAGGGTTTCTCATCAAGCAAGAACAAGTAGGTATGATATACCAATCGAGGCAATGCACAATACTCTACGGAGGTATGAAGAGATCTTGACTTCAGTCCATCTTTAATAGATATCTCCCACCTCTTTCTCAGCGAGCATATATTACTCTCTTGATCGCGAACATTAAACCGATGCGAGGGGTGTACATGTATGGAGAAATATATGAGATTTCTTCATAAAAGCCCTGTCTTGTTTTTGCATACCTTACATGTATGTCGTGCATTAGACCCATGATTAGCGTTGACTGAGTCAGCCCTATCAAAATATCCTGTCTCTCGGTCTCAGAACCGTCCGTTGCTCATTTCTGGAGAATTTGCAATGCATCAGTTATCATTAGTGAAACTGACGATACAAACGTCATCGGACTGTGTGCTCAGGGTACCATCCATCACTTTCTGAGGACCGAAAAGCGTTGCTTACAAATAGAATATGCGCCCGAGCTGTACCATTTTCCGCCCACTAGTCTCTGGAGCCATCTTGCTCTCAATATCCCAAGAAAGCAACAGGCCCCCCAATTATGGACACTACCGTACTTCAAGAGCGGACACCCACAGATACCCAACCTCTGTTTAAGAAGCGCGGCGCAAAGAACATCCGCAAACGCCCTGCAACACCACCTCCAGCAGCATCTGACTCCGAATCTGGCTACACCTCCAAAGAGGATGAGGGACGAAGGGTCAAGCGGCGCAAGAAGACCGCCATCGTTACCGCAAGTTCACACAACGCACCTAAGAAGGGCACAGAAGACCTCTCCGCCACCAAATTCGCCGCCGACCGTTCCGCCCAGATATCGGAAACGAACGATGCGACAAAGACCTCGAATTGGTTCGATGAGTCTACACCTGATGCGAAATCTCTACTCGGCACAACTCGAAACGGGCACGTAAAACCAGACAGAGAGGCTGAGCCGACGAATGATGGAACCTACAAAGGCGCCGCCGGCTACCAATCCTTCATCCAGAAAAACCCAAACGCTCCTACGCGCACCGTGGGGCCAGTAAAGGCTCCTACCAATATACGCACAATTACGGTCACAGACTTCGCGCCCGATGTGTGCAAAGACTACAAGCAGACCGGTTGGTGCGGCTTCGGGGACAGTTGCAAATTCTTACACGCAAGAGAAGACTACAAGCAAGGCTGGGAGCTTGACAAGGACTGGGAGAAAGTCGGAGACAAGGGCAAAAAAGGTGGGAAAGCAGTGAAGAGCCTTGCAGAGGCAGAGGACTCGGAAGAAGAAGATGCGGCATTGGAGGGGATACCGTTCGCGTGTATCATATGCAAGAAGGCTTATACGAATCCGATTGTTACGAAATGTGGGCACTACTTCTGCGAAGCGTGCGCGCTGCAGAGGTATAGGAAGAATCCGAGTTGCGCGGCTTGTGGGGCTGGGACTGGTGGGGTTTTCAATGGGGCGAAGAATTTAAAGAAGATTCTGGACAGAAAGCGGGAGAGAGCGAGGAAGAGAAGAGAAAAAGCAAAGGAGGCTGGCGAGGAAGTGTCAGAGGAAGATGAAGAGGGCGGCGAGGAGGATGGTTAAGGCATTCTACCTACAAGCACAGCGCTGTATATAGACAAGAAAACAATTCTAGTAGGTGAGACCGTCATGAATCGTAACAACTTTTAGCTATTGATTTTCCATTATCTGACCGAAAGCAGGTTTTCCTGACTAACGAAGAACTTCTTCTGCTCCCTGGTTAAAGGTCAGTAAGTAGTGGAGAACGCTCAGGGGGTTTGTACTCACAGACACCGTTCGCTTTTGCAACCCTGGCACCGTAGCCCCATCTGCCTCGAGCAACTCTCCCCACTCCTCAGATGGTTGACTGCAACATCCGCCAAAGCTTCAATAAACACCCTGCTATCATTCAGACTTTCTGCCCGCTTGACCCCCGGGTGTCCTGCCTCATGTATAACCTCCTGATCAAGTTCGAACAGCGTTTCGATATGATCGCTCGTGAACGCAATGGGTATGAGAATAAGATCCGTCTGCCCTTTCTTCACATATTGTTGCACCGTATCACTTGTCTGCGCGCCCAGCCACGCGGACGGCCCAACCTGCGATTGCCAGCATAAACGGTATGGATTGCTGAAGCCTAGCCTTTGCATTACAGCGTAGACCGTAGCGCCGACTTCGGCAGGATAAGTGTCGCCTCTATTGACGACGCTCATGGGTAAGCTGTGCGCGGAGAACAGCAGAACCACATCTTTCCGAGACTCCTCAGGGTATGTGGCCAGTTGCGTCTCCACATTCTGTGCAAAAGCTTCCACGAGACCTGGGTGGACAGGCCATCGGTCTATGACACTCCATGTTATTGAGCCCGCTGAGTCCAAACCGGTGGCGCCTTTTCCTTCTAATCGATTTCGCCACTTCCACAACTCGTTCAGTGAGCTTCCAGTTGTCGAGCACGAGTACTGCGGGTATTGTGTGAAGGCTACTGCGCGTCCTCCTTTACCGCCTCCGAAGCCGTCTTTCAGCAAATTCGTGTACATCTCCTCCGTCAATGGGTTGGCGTAGCGAAATGCGACGTAGGGTTTATGAGGTGCGGTTTCCGGAGAGATTTGGTCTAGTAGCTTGCACATCTCGGAGGATTGGTATTCGGACCATTTGCGTATCGGAGAGCCGCCACCTATGGCTGCATATTGCTTCTTGATTTTGGGAGTACGGCGGCTGGAAATGAGAGGCCCGATATAAGATTGGAGACGGCCGAGTGGGATGAGGTCTGCATCTGCCTGTGGATTCGGGAGTCAGCCATAAATCCTTTGAGGAGTACAAAGAGTCTCAGGTGGTGATTATCCGGCTTACGAATAACCTGCTCAGGAAGTCGCCAACTTCGTCTGTTGTGGAGGGGCCGCCCATGTTCATGAAGACCATTGCTGTAGGACCCTTGGACGACGTCGCGTCTTGGGTGACTGGGGGGACGACCGTTGCCATTGATCGCATTTGGCATCGTGGATGTTTTGACGTTGCATGCTGTGTGCATGTGGCGGCGACTTTTGGTATACAAGACGTCGAGACATGCTTGTAGAGCTGGGACATTGGATTCCGGAGCGCCATACTGTGTGAACACTGCAGGTGTTGGATTAAAGCAATCTCCGGCAATCATGGAGACCCATGCAACCTGGAAAATAGAGTTACTCTGATTGTGGTGGATCCTCAAGTCGCTCTTGATGACGCCGAGAAATATCTCGTCACGTGCAACGGCGTAAAGTGGTTCGCGCTAGTCGCGTCTGCCTTGACTTCAACATATCCATTTCTCAGCCCTTCGACCATTAACTTTGCTTACGAACATACAATTTTCTCATCGATGAGGGTGTGTGTAGCTGAGTAAAGCTCAGAAAATTGATGCAGCATGGCAGAGGAGAACAAATGGAAGCCTCCTGGCGACGAAGAGGATGAGGAGGAAGAAGTCGATGAGGCCGTAAGTAATATCATTGGTTGGCTCATAATATAGATCTTGTCTCATATTTTGTAGACCTACAAGTCCGCTAAAGATGCTGTGCTTTTCGTGATCGAAGTCAGCCCATCAATGCTTACGGCCCCACCTCCAACGGATGCGAAGAAGCAGGAACGAGATACTCCTACTTTAGCAGCAGTGAAGTGCGCGTATGCATTAATGCAACAGCGCATCATCTCTAATCCGAACGATATGATGGGTGTTCTCCTTTACGGCACGGAAGAAACCAAATTCCAAGACGAAGAAGACGCTCGTGGAGGGCTAGGTTACCCGAACTGCTACCTTCTCACGGACCTTGATATCCCTGCCGCAGGTGATGTTAAGGCTCTGAAAGATCTAGTCGAAGACGACGAGGAGTCGAAAAAGCTTCTCGTACCGTCTACAGAACCAGTCTCCATGGCCAACGTCTTGTTCTGTGCAAATCAGATTTTCACTACCAAGGCACCCAATTTCACATCGAGGCGGCTTTTCATCGTCACGGATAACGATGACCCACATGCGAAGGACAAGGCGCTAAAGTCTTCAGCAGCAGTCCGAGCCAAAGACTTGTATGACCTGGGCGTCATTATCGAGCTGTTTCCCATTTCTAAGCCAGATCATGCATTTGATAGGTCGAGATTCTACGATGTATGCGCCCAGTCTTTATATGCTTCCTGCCGAAACTGAATTGGTGCAGGACATCATTTATAATGCTTCACCAACAGACCCAGAAGCTCCTGCACCTGTTTCTGGCGGAGTCGCTCCATCGCTAACAAGCGATGGTATCTCTCTACTGACATCACTCCTCTCGTCCATCAACTCCAAAGCCGTCGCGAAGAGAGCTTTGTTCTCTTCAATACCTTTTGAGATAGGCCCCGGTTTCAGGATCTCCGTAAAAGGGTACATCATCTTCAAACGCCAAGAACCTAAACGCAGCTGCTACGTCTGGCTTGAGGGCGAGAAGCCACAAATTGCTACTGGAGTGACAACTCAAATGGCCGATGATACCGCCAGAACAGTAGAGAAATTAGAGATCAAGAAAGCGTACAAATTCGGCGGAGAGCAGATCACGTTCACTCCGGAAGAAGTATCAAGTCTTCGTCACTTTGGCGATCCAGGAATCCGGATCATAGGTTTCAAGCCTCTGTCAATGCTACCTATTTGGGCCAACATCAGGCATTCCACATTCATCTATCCTTCGGAAGATGACTATGTCGGTTCAACGCGTGTTTTCTCCGCGTTGCAGCAAAAGCTTTTGAAAGACCAGAAAATTGGGATAGCTTGGTTCGTCGCGAGGAAAAATGCTACGCCCGTGATTGCTGCTGTTCTCCCAGGAGCAGAAAAGCTAGATGAAAATGGCGCCCAAATAATTCCACCTGGCATGTGGCTCACACCTTTGCCGTTTGCAGACGATATCAGGCAGAATCCGGAGACGAACCTCATTCGCGCACCTGAAGGACTCATAGATCGCATGAGGGAGGTGGTTCAGCAGCTGCAACTTCCCAAAGCCATGTACGACCCTCGAAAGTATCCCAATCCTGCTCTGCAATGGCATTACCGAATATTGCAAGCCATGGCTTTGGAAGAAGACCTTCCGGAGAAGCCAGAAGATAAGACAGTCCCAAAGTATAAACAAATCGACAAGCGAGCTGGGCCTTATGTCATCGACTGGGGTCACGAGCTCCACAAGGAATACGAGGAGTGGCGAAAGGATAATGAAACAACGACCTCTGTTCCAGCGAAACGCCCCGCACCTTCTGGGAAAGATGATATTCCGGACCGAAGCAAGAAAGCGAAAACTGCTACACCCGATGACGGTCCTACCGACGCACAGATGCAGCATGCTTATATGAAACAAGAGCACAAGAAGGTATGCACTCAGTTGCGGAGATTTCCCACCAGAAAAGCTAACTTGTGCCACTCTTTCTAGATGACAGTATCGCAACTGAAAGCTTGGCTGCATGGAAAGAGTATAAGTGTTAGCGGCAAGAAGGCCGATTTGCTGGAGCGAGTGGAAGAATTCCTCGAGCAGAAATGATGAGTGTGTTGCTGTAAAGGCTGTGGTATTGACGAAGAATGTCACTACATGAACATTGAAGAATCTCGCTTTGGAATGCAGTGAAATGAGATCAAAAAAAGAGATAAACGCTAGGCGTGTATGATACCCAGAAGCAAAAGAGTAGCCAACGATGATTATGGTTCCTCATGTGGTGTCGAATGATCTGCATATCCCGGCCTTGTGCTTTCAAAGCATTGGGCGAGAGGCCTCTAGTCTCCACAAAGCGCTGAGTCTTGCAATTGGGGCAGAGTGAAACGATTATGGTTTCATTCATCTAACAGAGTATGGGTATCTTAATCCAGATCGAACTCCAACCATTTTCTAGCAATGACCGTAGACATCGCAGTAGCATTTCTCTTCGGCAGGACAGCTGCGAGGTCTGAATTAGCAAATCGACTTCCTTTGCTTCCCTCATCCAACCACCATGCGAAAGGAGAAGCGGGACCTACTACACAGCATCCTTCCCAAAAATCACATGCCATAGAAATTCCAGCACCCTTCCGCTCTTGGCATCACTCTTCTCCGTATCTATGATCCATTCCCTGAACCGTTCATAATCACTCAAAGGCCTCGCTAGTACCTGATCCTTCGACACCGCGAACTGCGCACAGCACGCAGCCCCTACCAACGTCGGCGCCTGCCCATTCGTATTCGATGGCGCCTTCTCCTCTTTACTCGTCCCCGCAAACACGTCTTTCCACACTTCCGGAGTAACATGCGCGTTGTGTCTATGTGCTTCCAGACACCCCGGGTTCCAGTTGCAGCGCAGATTCACGTAGCCGTTTTTTTGTACAAAGGGTATTTGAAGAGATCGTAGGGCGTCGACGTTGTCGTGGAGAGGTGTGTCGGTGTGCCAGGCCGAGAAGAAGCCTGAGCGGTGGGAGTGGAGGAATACGAGGGTCGAAGGGAGGTTGGCGTAGTTGTCGATTACGTAGGAGAGGTAGGCCATGGACTCTCTGCCTTTGTTCATTGGGGTCGTGAGGGTAGTATCCGTGGTGTTGGGGGAGGGGTTGACGGTGTAAATCGCCGCCTGCCAGCTGTACTATTTGTTAGCAAAGTAAGGCTGGAGATGAGGTGGAGCAGGGCATACTCTGGCAAATTCTCTGCTACCCAGTCCGTATTCTCCTTTTCCATCTTGGCCATGATGACGACCTTATGGCTGGCCTCGCCGTCGAACGTTGGTATGTTCTGCACGGGGCCATGCTGGAATGTATTCTTCCACGAGTGAGCGATGTAATTCGAGACGCCATATTGGTCCCAGACGTCCTCGAGTTTTATTTTGACGATTAGAAGTAGGATGATCAGGAAGACGGAGGCACTCAGGGCGAAGCGCAGGGCCAGCCTCATTGTTGCTCTAGAACGGCGGCAGAGGAAGCTATGCGAGGGTGCGCAGGAGTAGATGGATATCGAGGCATCTGCGCCTTTATGAATACTATCTTATCCCTTCCATATCTGATGCTAAGTCGGGTTCTGAGGTGAAAATGTACAGTGCGTGCAACAGTAAACGGCAGACGAGGCAGACATTGTTGATTGAAAGGTGCCAAGAGATATAAGGCTAGCGGAAGACTTGCGGCTTTACCCTCCAGCTCATCGCTACATGTCTCTCCTTTTCTCTCCCTTTTGTGTGTTTGTGTGTGTAAGACCAATTTTGGTCTCAATCCTTCTGGGGCAACGAATCAATAGAGGCACGCGTTCCCGGAAGCTTCATCTCTTGCCGGCAGAGACTCGCAAATTGACATATGAGAGGGTGTTAATCAGGCAGGTGGCTATAGTTACTATCGCCATCGCTATCCGCCAGTTCGAATGGACTGGTGCAGGAAATTGCCCGCTGGTACTTCAAGAAGCCTCCGCCATATAGTATGGAGACAATGCAGTCCTATTTGATGACAACTCCGCTTTGAAGATCCTTCTGAAGGAGATCGAGCCAAGAGGTCGCAATCTGTTGCAAAACCTTACGAAGATGGGAGCGACTCCTTTAGGGCCTTCTACTCTACATATCCGAGGCTATCGGTGAAAATTCTAGTGGGGAGTGTCGCAATCTGTAGGCTCTGTATTCCATTGGGAACTCGCCGCCTTGGGGTTTCTCAAAGACAGTTGATGGAGGAACTATTCGCCGATATCAGAGGTCAGAGAATCGATCGCGTTTCATCTCGCAATCTGCTATTGAATGGTTTACGGAGTAGGCTTTCGTCGTGCGAGGCGGGCATCTTTCTTTGGCATATTGGAGTGTTGCAAGTATTCAGACTTGTGGCGCGCACATGCTCGGCTGAAAATGTAACTAACCAATAGATCGAACCACTCCCACCCAAGAATGATAGACTATACGACATCCTGAATACCGGTGATGTTGATGATATAAAGACGCTATTCTCCGGCATTCACTGTGGTGGTGTCTTTATCCTCAAGTCTATTTTATTGCATTTGAACAATTTTGCGGATTTGATATAAAAGCACTCGCCGAGATGGGTGATATGGACACTTCAAAGATGGTATGGCATCATAAGATCCCTGCACATGAGCTTCGTGAATCATATGACCAACAGTCTTGAGACTGATGTATCACAGGCTCCCGAGGGCGGCCCTGGCAACAGCAATTCTTCTTTTGATATGTATACGGGAAGTGGATCGGTGGAAGACAAATCCTTAGTTCGGAAGCAGGACTGGAGGATAATTCCACTATGTGCCGTGGTCTACCTACTATGTTTTCTGGACCGGTCGAATATTGGTATAGAGCAGACTTTCGCATTCTCTCATAATTTCCTTACGTCTGACAAATTTCCCATCGATTGCTGAGTCTCCGCGCTGATGTGCTGCAGGTAATGCCAGAATCTTGAACAGTGAGACCGGCGACGATCTATTGCAGAAAACAGGCACGAGTTCCTATCAGTATAGGAAGGCCATCCGGATCCCCCTTATCTAATATAAGCAGAGTCGAATCGTGTTCCAATTGCTAATGCCGTGCGAATGTTACTAGCGTCGCGTTGACGTCGTTCTATACCAGCTACGCTCTGTTTGAAGTGCCGTCAAATTATCTGCTGAAGAAGCTGAGCCCCAATGTATGACCGTTCGCATAATCTTCCTGCCGTTCTCCGCCTGATGCTTTCTACATGCATGCAAGAGAGGATCCGCTAATATGGGGTATTAAGCGATGGATCGCTTTCCTAATGTTCTCTTGGGGAGTTACCACTATGAGTATTGGTGGTGTAAAAATCGCCGCCTCGCTTTCAGGCGTAAGGTTTCTTCTCGGTGTATTTGAAGCTGGTGAGCACTCCTTGTTCGACTACACGACTCATGTGATGGCCGCAAAGCTGACCTACTTCCAACAAAGGTCTCTATCCTGGTGTGGAATTTTACCTGACATTTTGGTATCGATCTGAGGAACGCTCTCTACGCATCGCTTTTTTCCTACCCTCTGCCGCCCTAGCCGGTGCCTTCGGAGGTGCCATTGCGTATGGTGTTGGACGAATGAATGGCATTAACGGACTGTCGGTATGGCAATGGCTTGTCATACTGGAAGGCATACCCGCATGCGCAGCGGGTCTTGTCGTCCTGCTTATACTGCCAGATTATCCAGAATCGGCTCGGTGGCTTACTGACGAGGAAAAGGAGTTGGCAAGAGAAAGAGTGAGGTTCTGTGGCTCGAGCGCGGACGACATGGCTATAACATGGGTTGATGCGAAGGAGACTTTGACGGAGTGGCGGCTATATTTTTACTCCTTGGTAAGTTTCGTCCTATACCACTGTTAATTCAATGTCTATGGTAGCCAATCCAGCCTTTTGAAGCTCTATTTTCTCATCTCGACACCATTTTCCAGCCTTTCACTCTTCGCACCAACAAGAGTCGCTGGTCTCGGCTACACGTCACTGTCTGCAGAATTAATGACAATTCCGCCTTACGCTGTTGCGTACGTTGTGTCGCTCGTTGTGTCCTGGTCTGCAGACCGGTTCAATTCGTGAGTGGAAACTCCAATCGTACCTGGCATCGCCATTTCTTGATGATGGACCTCTTACTCACAACACGCTTATTCATAGTCGTTCCCTCCACGCAGCAGTATGTGCTCTCTTCTGTGCGGCAGGATTTATTGCCTCTGCAACTCTCTCGCCTGACGCTTACGTGGTAAGTGATCTTACCATGTGGGGAAGGCTCCTATCTTTCCGAGTCCACCTATCTTCCCTTCGCCAGCATCCACCTATTACTACTCGCTGACAATGCCATAGGCCCGCTACATCTGCCTCGTCATCTCCACTACATTCGTCTTTTCACCCGTTCCCTCTCTGCTCTCCTTCCTTGCATCAAACACCCATACGACCGCTTCGACGGACCTTGCTGTCGCCCTCAACGTCTCTATCGGTGGTGGAGCTGGCCTGATCTTGGGTACATGGATCTTCCCGGCTGGAGAGGCCAAGAACGGGTATAAGAGTGGTAACTGGATCAATGCTGGGTTCATGTTGGCAATCTCGGTAGTTTGTGTGGCGTTAAGAATATATTATGGGAGGGCTAATCGGCTGAAGGAGCACAAGAGAAAGTTTGTACTTTAAGTTGGGGCAGCATATGGCTGTTTCAAGGGTCCTTGATCCAGCATAGGCGAGGTTTTGCAGAAGTGGAAGACGATATGGACGTCCTCTGAGTCAATTCAATCAGGGTTCTTGCATTGCGTTCGAAAGAGAGTTAAAAGCTCCTATCGCTTGATAGCTTCAAAAAGCTCACTCATATATCGAGGAGACAAGCATTACAAAAGTAGCATAAGCTGAACATGGAGAACCGCTGGAGTACAACGGAGTATTCGCTTCATAAATCCGGACCCCCCAAACCTGATGGTTTTCAACCTAATACCCCAACACGGTGTGCGTGTTTGCAGGCACGCCTCCTGTAAGACATTCTGACAGGCAACACCTTCAATCGATCAGCCGCATGCCGGCATGATCGTCGGCGCTACTACGGGATTTGTTGGGTTGGTCTGTGAACAACCATACGCAAATCCAAAAGCCGTATCGTCAACAGCTGCATCGAATGCGCCGCCACAGTTTGGATCACTACCAGCAGCGTATGATCAGTACCTATTTCCTCCAAACAATCTTCGATCATCTAAGTGCATCTCACCTTGCTCCACCAGCGGCGTTGTTGAAGAAAGAGCAGATATCGTGGGAAAAACAATCCTGGGTACTTCATGGCACAACATCAGCTTTAGCAAAATCCAGTCTTTAATTCGATAGACTGCAAGTGGCTTACTATACGTTCCCGAGAGCCGCTCCCGTGCAGTCAGCACCGCATCTGATTACATGTCAGTGAGTCAATACGCTCTCCAGACACAGGGCGGATGCCTCTACCGTCCATTACATGCATAGCTATTCGACAGCACGGCTGACGTTAGCAAGGAAAACTTCTCACTCTTCAGCGGTTTTTGCACCTACTTTCCCATATTCACTGGATCAATGCCAAAATTCGATCCCACAATCCCGGTCCAAGTACAATTCTGGTCGGCGGCATTTGTCCATCTAGCGGTGGCTGCCGCCCCAACTTTCAGACACGTGATTGATGCAGATGCTGGAGAGATAGCAAAGACTGCGAGAGCGATGCTTGAAAGGATAAGCATGTTTGCGGCAGAGCTTGAATTGCAGATGATGTTTGGAAGAAAGCAGCAGCTATCGCCTTATATATTCAGCCCATACCTGACCACCTACCCAGAAGATCTCGCCTCCGCGTTGAGCCCCGTCTGATGATACTGGGGCCTCGGCATGTCTTGCGCCGTGGGGTATGATGGCGGATCTACAAACAGCTACTGGAAGATGCGCCCCTATCAAATAGACATCTACTTGTCTATTAACACATTAGCGTTGGGGATCTCCCTCGCTACTAACAGCCGACACCTATACACATCAAGCCTCGGTATCCGGAATCTCTCGTTGTTCGATTTCCATCGACAATTTTCGCGGTGGAAGCCTGCGCTTGTCCATTTCGGCCTCACTTTCCGTCGGCACACTCAGGACTGGTCTGCTTGCCCCTTTCCGCCCAAGGAGATAGTGCTCGACGACAAAGACCACCTCTTTCACAGCCCAGCGTGCATGCGTCTTGGTCGGAATGTTGAATCGTGCGTCCAATTGTTCGAGAGTCAAATTCTTCGTCTCGGGCACAAGAAATAATATCATGAACCATCCTACAACACACCAAGCTGCATAATAGCCAAAAGCACCCGTGTTGCCAAAGGAATACTGGAACCTCGGGAATGTGACGGCCAGTAGGAAGTTGAAAAACCAAAGAGTCGCGGTGGCCATTGACATACCTAGATCTCTGACGTACAATGGCATTGATTCGGCAGAGTACACGAATGGTACGGGACCTTGCCCTGGGCTGTAGAAAACGCTGAAGAGGTACATCCCGGTCAACACTAGCCCCGTTCGGCTGTGACTCCCAGATGGAAGCAAAAATCCCATGGCAGTCAGAAGCTGGAAGAAAGCCAAGAATGGGTACGTGCAAAGAAGCAGATTCCTGCGTCCGAAAGTATCTATTGTGTATACCGCCGGCAGAGCAAACAAGAAATTCAGGATTCCGAACCCCATCGAAGCCAGAAGGCCAGCTTTGTCGCCAAGTACAGGACTCAGAATCTCGGATGAATAGAAGGCCATGACGTTCACTCCACAGATCTGTTGCAGGAACATGACGGTCAAAGATGCCACCAGAGCTCTGCGATTGCGGTCAACACTCCATAATTCCACAAATCGATTACGGTTTTGCTTGATCTTTTCTTCGCCGTCGAGGAGATGATGCATAAGAAAGAGGTCCCGTGCGGCCTGGAGCCGGGAATGACGGAGTCTGCAAAGGGAGCGGAAAGCCTTTTCGTAATAGGCAGTCTTTCCCTGCCGAGCCTTGAGGAGCAGCCATCGCGGTGACTCCGGGAGGGTGAAGACGTAGGCAGCCGCTATGAGAGGTAGTAGCATGGGAGAGGCGAGCATCAACCTCCAGTTCAAGCTACACTGAAGACTTAGAAGCGTCTCCGTGCTTAAGTGTTTGTCGCATGTGCCTGAATCTCCCTGAAGAACGTTGCGAAAGATGACGCCGGCTATGTATCCCAACATGATACCAAATGCCCTGTTATACGTCAATGGAGGTTATCCATGGCCAGCAACTAGAGAAGCGGAGCTCACGTCCACATTTGCCACATCATGACAAGCCCACCTCTTATATTTGCCGGAACACATTCAGCAGAATATATCGGAATAGTTGCGCTCTTCGGTCCAATTCCAAGGCCCAAGCAGAACCTGGCGAGGAATAGATGCCACCATTGTGATGTAAACGCTTGTGCTACACAGGTCGCGCTGGAGATGAGGCAGGTCACGAAGATTGTTCCTCGCCTTCCCAATACTCGATTCAAAGGTTCTGTGAGCCAGCAACCCAGGACAGCACAGCATAAGTACGGGGCGGCGTTTACAAGGCCCCTGAGGCCTGCGTCCTTCCCTGTATCTTTCCCATCTTTGGGTCCTATTCCGAATGCGTACGAATAAAACTACAAATCCTCGATTAGCACGCCTTCTTCGAGATGCTAATGGATCGCAAGACGACCTCGACAGGCAAAGGGTGGTCAAATCATGCCCCAGATGCGGGAGATACGGACAAACTACTAGTCAGGCCGTGAAGCAAACTTACCAACTGAGCGCCATTCACTGCGGTCTCATCCCAGCCCTGCACAGCTGCTCCGAGGGAGCAACATCCTATTTTGGTGTCAGTGTCATCTGCTTTTGTGAGGGTTTCAAGACTCGAAGATGTCTGAAGGGTAACTGCCCCCCAAGACATATGTCAGGACTCGAAGCGGACTCCCAAAGTACGTACCGACCAGTGCGTATAGTATCCACGGCTGATCCCATTTGTTTCCGGTCTTGGGGTCTTCTCGTCTGAGGGCTTCAATCTCTTCTGGCTTGAGACGAAGGCTATCTGTGCGCGGCCCTCCGAATGCCTCACCGTCCTGAGCCAAGAATGCTCCTTTTCGTATCACTTCATGGTATATATCTTCGATCTTTGTTTTATTTATGAATGCTTCTATGAGCTCGTCCATCTTCTCATGTCGCATTCCAATGAAGGGATTGACCAAGACGCTGTTGATGTTTGCAGGAGCTGCATCCACATCCTCTGAGGTGAAGTACCCACTCTCGGTCTTTTCTGATGTAGCCATACTCTCAGAAAGTGATCGTGTTTGTAATGTGTGCAAAGCTGATGTCCAGACTCTCGATTGACTCCAAGAGAACGAAGCCGTGAGAGACTAACGGATTCACGATTCTGAGGTCCAAGCCTCAGCGTTTGGGAGAAGCCTGCTTATATAAAAATTTAATGCATGAGGAAAGCATTCGAGGTTGCATTGCAAGGCTGTGCAACTCGCAAGGCTACAAGGCTTCCATCGTCGCCAAATTTTCGGCTTATGCACGCCATGAAACCCTACCCGCCCGCACGATACTTACTAGTATGAAAACAGAAGCTGAGACGCAAGGCTACCAATGATTCCTTCCCCGCCCTTTCCTGCATCAGCTGGTACCATCCCGACGGGCGCGCAGAGTCACATTCTATGACCAACTTCTGAGGCACCTAGCTCAGCTCTTTCGCTTAATGCCCCTATTTTTGATATGATTTGCGTGTCTGCCTTGCGGCCATTGAAAGGCTGAGAACGCCTCACTCCCTTTGCCTGATTTCTTGCGTTGATAGATGCCACACTCGTGCAGGCCTCGGCCAACCTGAACGGACACGCGATAAGGGATGACGTGTCGGGCTAACCCCTGCACCAGAGTGCGTCTGCCATTCGACCTCAAATACGCGCTGATTGTCCACCTCCTTTGACCCGCTTTTCTTGGAGTAGCTCGGTCAGCCACAAGGCTGTCACGATTACTGATTTGATTCCGATCTCGACGGAAGGTTCCACAATGTCTTATTCCCCAATCGGCGATACCATAGCTTTGACGAAGCTTGCATATGCTCTCTACTCTAGAGTCGTCGTCGTCGCACGTGATGCACCAGAGCAATTTGAAGCATTGCTGCGAGACCTTGACATATACAAAGGAGTCTTATACCGAATCAGATCCCAAACAGATCACGGCGGTGATCCGTCATATAGCGTTGCTGTGCAAGCTGTCCTCGAACGTTGCTTCAGCACCTTATACGGGCTCCGAGACCTGACAACAAAGTATGAGAACTTGGGTGAATACGACTTTGCTAGCTTCACACATGTCTTGGTTCGCTGACGACTCAAAGCATGGAGCGACCGCGGCGTTTTCTTTAAGCGCATCTCTTGGGCCAAAGACCAGGACGCAATCAAAGAATTTCGAGAGAAATTTAAAGAACACCAGCAGCTCCTCCAGATCGTCTTGACGTCGAAAGGCAGGTAAATGACGACTGGTCCGCTGAATAATTGAAAACCTCGCTTAGTTATTTTCAGGAAGCAATTGAGTGAGGAAACCAAACAGACTCCTATAGACGACGACGAAAAGCCTCCTGTAAGGATACGTGAGCCCGAAGTTGACGTAGGTTGTACCTGTGGGGTTTCGCCTATCAAGAGGACGACCACGGCAACAACTACAGGTTCAGCGACGCTGAACAACCCCAGAGAAAGTCTGTCAACTCAATCGCCTAAAGCAGTGCAATTTGGCTATCAACCGTTCCGCGAGAGAACACACAGTAGTACAGGATCAAATGCACAAGAAGCCTTGGAGAGCTTAACGCTCAAATCGCGGTCTTACAGTGCTTCTACGGCCAAGACCAGCTGCTGTAGCTGTCATGATCGAGTACAGTCGGGCGGTCTTGGTATAGGTGAGTGTCACATTGCACCTAGCTTTGAAAAATCATCAAATGAATGCCACGCTTTGTCAGAGGAACAGCCCCCAGTTCCCGACCAAGGGCCTCTCCAAACCAAGACTAAACAGCCATTGGTACTTTTGCGGGACAGAGAGAAGCACAATGTCGTTTCGGATGTCCAAAAACTTTTCAGGGATAGCGTCGAGTCTGTCAAAGATCCTACTTCCGTGGAAAGGTGGCTTCGGCTGGCGATCTGGTGGCTCGTGAAGTCCCGCATCATTTCCCATATACTGGCTCCAGAGGAAGTCAAACGAAGGGGAACGGACGCTTCACAACACCAAAATCGATGGCACAGTACCGTGTCAGCCGAGCAAGCATATACAGACCTGCTCAAAAGTTCCTGGATATTGGAAGAAGTCATCCTTGTTGGAGCAGCGGACGAAGAGCTTTCGTATGTCTCTGTCAGGAAAATGATCAAGGACCTGTCTGCTTCTCTTCATAATGATCTCCTGGAAAACAGAAATTTCGATCGAAATTTTGAGGTCGTTGAAGGGAATGCTCTTCTGAAGAACGACCTCCACCTTCTTGAGAGCTTTGAGCAAACGATAGAGGCCGAAGAGAGTATTCCTGCCGCGATGGACGACCCCGTCAGTGCACTTCGGTGGTTTGAAATAGATCAAGATAATGCTGGAATGCAACATGAAAAGGTGCTGTTCCGAACCTTCGCCAATGCGCAGCTTGGCAGCAGGTACGATCGATCAAAGTCCCCCAGTGCTCCATACATGCTCTTAGTGTGGACAGCAGCCGATGATTGCGACATATTCGTCTCTTTATGCAACCATCGAGGGTCTGTAAATCTTTCTCGGAAATTGGCGGCTGAAGATCTTGAGGATTACGAGGCCGGTGACGACACTACGCTCTTCTCGATCAAGTTTCCAACGCAAGAAGCGGAGATCAAGTTCTTGAGCCACGAAGACGCCGTTGGGTTCTTTACCCAGCCACGGATATTCTTCGCCGCCTTAAAGAAAATCAAACCGCGTTCAGGAGAACTTGCAATTTACCAGGCATCCCTGTCTACTTACGGTGATTCCAGTCCGGGGGCAGTTTCCGGGATTGAGAGAGCCAGGACTCTGGCATCAAGCAAGGCTTCCTCTTGTGGGTTGAGAGTTTACGAGTCGATGCCCGACAAATGCTGGAAGACCACACGCCGCCTTGTGGTCAGCACTCCTCCAGATAGTACCAAACCTGAATGCGTATCCCATTGGCTGCCAGTGGACCAAATAAAGATAGTAGTTGAAGGGACTAAAGTAACGGTCAAATGGTCAGACTGTGAGCAATTGAGGAGGAAAGAGCTGGGCAACTTTGCTTACCAGTACTCGTATATCTACAAAGCAGATGAACCCAACCGGAAGATTTATCTGGAATTCGGCAGCGCTTCAGAAGCTCAAAGATTTGAAAAGTGTATCCTTCTCCCGACAGAAATGCCACCGCAGGTTACCACCAAAGTCGAGATACCATCCGCTTTCCAGGACATCAGGATTTATCGACTGTTCGACGTTGATGAACCGGACCGGCAATATCACTCAATCGCTTTGAGCAAGAAGAATCCCAAAGGCCCACATATGACAGAAATTTATTACGTCTACAGGGATCTTGATTGGGTCTTCAGCACCAGGAATGGTGCGCCGACCATCATACATTTCCCAAGTCTCCAAACCTCACACTACGTCTCCACAATACCCAGGCTGCAGTACAAGCCAAACGCAAGTGACCCTACCCCGGATTTTAGCCACGTGGTGGAGACATTCAAAGCAGCTCGCTTTGAATTGGGCTGTGATCATGACTTGAAGAGATTCATGCATGGCCTGACGGGCTGGACCCTCAAATTCTTCCGGCCCCTATCGAAACTACTCCTCGTCGAGACGGGTCATCTCATCATGAACCCCAAAGAACAACACAAAGGCGTCTGCGTCCACCTCTGGGAGAAAGCAGCGGAAGAAGGCCAGCCTCAGATCCAGCTGGCCGTCCGGCTCGGAGCGGAGATCAAGGACCCCTGGATCACCGCCTCGCTCTTCGAAGCGCACTGCCGAAGCGAGCACTCCACCATGAGCTACAACGTCGAGTTCCAGGCCCTGCTGCTCCAGCGCGGCGTCGAGGTCGACACCAAGTACATGACCGCGACGACGCGCGGACCCCTCAGCGCGCAGGCGACGAGCCGGAGGCGCTGGAGGACGACGCTGACTTTTGCAAATACCGAACGTGAGTGGACGGGAATTATCCTCCGTCGGGGTGGAGGGATTCGCTGACGGGATGTAGACAAGGATGAGTTCTTGAGGGCTTCGGGCCTCATCAAGATGATGTACGTACCCGTAATGGGCTGATACGGAAACGGTCGTATCAACAATGGCTTTGGGAATTATGGGAAATCTTTGGCGTGACGAGTGGGGAAATCTGAATCAGGTAAAAAGGGGTTCTGATAGGCTTTTTGCGCGCTGCGATATCGCATTGCATCGAAACCGGATCGGGAACCGAGGGTCTGCGGGAGCATCGTGAATGATGAGGTATACCATTTTTCTTACATGTTTGCCTGTCTATATACCTTTTTGTTGAACATTTGGGGGGGGGGTTCGCTTTCTGGTCGGGGCATAGGCGATTGTACACTTTCCGTTCGTTAGCTGAGTTTTGATGTTTATAACGTGGTGGCGAATGTGACGATAAAAAGGGGGGGGAATGGTTCTGTTTGAGCTGGGGAGGTCATGCTTGTGTCGTGTCGGCTGTACCATCTATTGGCATTTAATGGAACACGCCTTCTTGACTCGGTGATGTGACCGATGTGGTGAATTGCACGATCTCACTCAAGACGATCTTCTGCGCCAGATTTGAGAGTAGCTTGTTTGCTGTTAGGGAACAGGCTGATGTTTCTCCGGGCGCCTGTATACCTCGAGCTTCCAAACTCATTGCCTCCTCACCCACCCCACAGATCGCTCACACCCCATCGTCTCCCATCGCAACTCCTAATTAAAAGCTCTGTGCCCCTTTCCTCAAAAGCGTGCTTCTTCACTCTTGTCATCCATGCCTCGACGACGGTATTCACCTTCGACATTTCCGTCCCCGCAGCGTCTCCGACTTGTCCACGTAACGCTCACAAGGCGTCTCGCAATCCCTCACGATCTTCGTCGGCGCAACGAACGGCACGTCTGGAGCGTTGAATGTGCCTGCTGGGTCAACGTCAGGCATGGGTAGGAATGATGCCTCTTTCAAGATGAAGCACGACACAGCGCGAGGTCTTGGTCGTCGTCCTTGCCCTCGTGTCTCTCGCGGTTCGGGATTCCGTAGGCGGGGCACGTTCCCCCATAGTTACCGCGTGGAAACTTCGAATTCGAGCTCTTCTTCTATAAAGAATGCGGGCTGTCGACTTTGCTTGTCCCATATAGGCCGCCAATTGTCCTTCCTTAATTCGGACTTAAGATCGAGCTTGTGCTTGGCTCAGTGCAACTTCTGGCACGCAATTCCACAGTAATTCATCAGTAGGCATGAGCCACAGTGTTTTGACGGCTGGGGTTTCACATTCGGTGGGCGTCGACCCTTCATTGATAGGATTCGCGCACAAGGCCCGCATAGGCGCGCTTTGGGGGTCAGTGACTACTGCAGAAGATTCTGATGCCATCGTGATGTGCTATGCTCTAGTCTGCTATGTTGGGGGAACAGGCTTCTGAAACGCAGTGTATAATAGGTACAAGAGAAGTATTTGCAAAGAGAACTGGCTGAGGTCTACAGCGAAGTGATCCTGCACTGGGATGACGCCAGAAAGTTCACACTGTAGGAGGACTGAAGTGTGTCGGCGTAAAGAGGTTGCAGAGAAAGCTTGGTTGCTTAGTAGAGTAAACTTACATGAAATTTTTCCCATTTGATTTCCTCTACATCATGGGAAGCCTGTGATTACAAGCGGATGGATATACTGCTCAAGACTCAGACACAGACACAGAACAACCGTCTACAGCATGTTCCCTCAAGCAGACAGTCACTCTTCCAAAAAAAATCCACTTTGTGCCAAAGCATGATGCTCAGGTGCGACAGTCTCTTATGGCAGAGATTGGTTCATGTGAATGGTCTTTTACCATCTATTGCTTAGCAATATGAGAGGTAAAGAGTCTTGGTCCCGGCGTTGCTTCTCTAAACCGGGAGCGCTAAACGTTAGTCTAGTGTCCATGCGGTCTAGAGTACTGGTCTTCGATATTGTTTACCTTCAGCCGGAATAGCATGTGCATTCTTTCACCCATGTTAATAACCGCCAAGTCTCTGAGTTCAGAATGAGCGATACTGCTATCAAGACCGCTCTTGCTACCCTCGATTCTCTCGAAGCCCGCCTACAGAAGGTTCACTGGTATCTCAGCGGCAGCGAAGAAGTGGAGGATACCCTTAAGCAAGTAGCAGCGCAAGGGCGGGACGACACAGTTCAGGCTCGACTGGCTCGACTGGAAAACAACCTGGGCAAGCTCTCTTCGAGATCGCCGGTTGTACGAGATTTACTCAAGCTTCGTCCGTGTCCCTCCTTCAATCAGACTTCTCAGCTAATAAGGAACAATGAAAAGATGCTTCGCATCCTGATTTCTTCCACCCGACAACCACCGACGTCCCCACGACCCTGTCTACACCGGAAATACTAGCAATCGTCAACTCCTGCGCTCCTTCCTACCAGACCACTGCCTCACGTCTCAACGCCATCAAAGACCTGCCAATCCCTCCGGCCGCAGCTTCTGCTTCATTGGTCGCGTTACAACCACGGCTATCGAAGCTGGAGCATTTACAAAATGAACAGGCAAGGGATATGGCAGGTTTGAGAAAGAGAAGTGCGAGGGCGATCCAGAGGTGGTATGAGCTGGGTGTGCTGGGAGAAAGCGACTGCTGGACCGAGTGGGAGGGGAGAGTTGTGGAGGTGGAGAAGAGGGTTAGGAGGGAAGAGGGCCGGATGGCGAAAGAGACGGAGGAGGATGAGGCCTACGGAGATTGATGGGTGTCCTCTACGACGGAGAAGGCTGAACCTAGGGGTCAAGGGATGCGAGATCAGGGCTGTGTTGCTTTTTCATCAGGCAGGCCAACTATGTTCGAATTGTGCGGCTTTACCAGTATGTCCTCTTCTCCATTCAAGGCCCAGGGAACAGAGCAGAACAGCCGTTGACTATCTACCGCAAAGAGATTGTTGGGTCATATGCGAGACAGAGACAGAGGCCTTGCTCGCATGAGGACTTCAAGTGGGCGCGTACAATGATTCGCGCTCGTGTTCACTGATTCAGGGCGCTCGACACGAGCGCAGCGCATGCATGAATACGGTTCCGCTCGGAAGAATTACGCAGTTGGGAAGTTCCAAAGTGCCCAGTCCGGCTGTGCTGTTGGGATAGATTTAGAACAAAGAATAGAGGGAGATAGCTGCTAATGGTAAATCACCACGATTATGGCTTTTTGAAGACAATGCCTACATTACAAAATGTGTTGATTTGTGTGCGCATTGTACTTTAACAAGAGGACCGTTGAGTGGCGAGAGTGGATCCTGTTGGCTTGGAGAGTCTGGAACTTCTTCCCCTCTCCGCTCTCCAGTCTCCACTCGTTCCTGAGATTAGCGTTGTCGCGGCCTAAAGATTAGATACGGGTATGTACTCTCAGCCCTGCAATCTCCACCGCCCACTCATTTACGAGGTCGCGTTTTTGCGGGGAGGTGAGGACTGAGGACAGACAACGAGACAATGATCCTGTCAGCTTCCTCGAAACATAAACGATACTTTACTCTACTCTCCAGCAAAGTTGCGACTCACTCTCAGCGTCTAATTCGACGGGTCCACTCATTGGACAGCGATTCCAGTGGAGCCTGGGACGTCTCTTACTTTTAAGTCCTAAGATTTAAATTTAGGAAAGCGCCTGGCTGCCAAAACCAACCCAACTTGAAACGGCAGCCGACGACTCCTCTTGTCGCAACTTCGACAACTTTTAAACACATCACCTCCAACCACTGCTCTCCACCCATTACGCTCCTTCACTGTATCTTACACTACTAATACTGCTTCTTGCAACCCAGTCGGCCAATACCTCACTTCGCACTTCCTTGGCCAGTGCGAGAAATAACTTCCTAATCAACCCCCTCACCACGCCGCAGATCCGCAACAACGCTTTCCAACAATCACACTCCTTCTCCAAAATCTCAACAAGGCGACGTGATCCATTGATCTAATACCACGTTCAAGATATTGCGCGACCTCGGCACATAGTTGTGCAGCAAAGTCGGCGGATGCGAGGAGGATACTTGACATTTGATCTGGATTCTCTATGCCATCGTCATACAGCAGCTATCACTCGCCATCACTTCACAAGATGAATGGCAATCTGGAAGCCAACGCCGGCAGAGGAGGGTTACGGAGATTTAGCTTTGGTAATGCGCTGTGTCCAATGGGAGACGAAGCAGGTGCTGAAGGTTTTTAGGACATATCGTTGGTGACCCGTTCGCGCTGGCGACTATATCGATAGCATATGTACGTTTCCTTTACGCTTCCAGCTGGCCGCATGGGACGAGAACAAAGCTGACAAACAATTACGACAGCTTGCTTGGCTCATCACCTTCATCGCTTCCATCATATCCGCTGTCAAAGGAGGATTCCCGAATTTTGCATGGTGGGCAATAGCATACCTGTTCTGCGTCATTGTGGGCGTATTCGTGGTAGTGGGGTCGGACGCGACACACACATACCATGTTGCTGTGCGCAATCCATTGCATCCAATGCCCGCAGACTGCTGATTCTGGACAGATTGTTGGATTTCTAGCAGCTGGTCTCACGTATTCCACGTCCATCATCAATGACTTGGTGTACTCTCCAGACGGTGACAAGGAAGCAGCAGCAGCTGGGTTCATATTACTCTCCATGGTCATGGTCAGTCACCCCCTTACCCATGTCATGACGGCTTCTAAGATTCCCCAGATTGTATGGATCTTCTACTTTGGCTCAACGCCTCAAGCCACGCACCGAGGCTACATCGACTCCTTTGCCTTGCACAAAGAACAGCAACGCGGCTCAACGCGCAACAGCAGACCTATAAGCCCACACTATGCCCCTGGTCCACAAGAAACAACCCATATGGGCAACCAAGCGCCACAAATGTATACTTCAGCGCAATTGAACGGCTTTGAGACCTCGTCGCCCGTATCAGGCTACCCAGGTGGTCTGGCCGGCCAACAGAGCTCACAACAACGCTTTGGACAAGGCGCACGATCTGTATCACCAACAAATCAGACACCAACCACAGCTCCACCTCTAGGCGGAATGGCCGTGGATCACCACGACCCAAGAAACGACGTCACATCTCCTACAGAATACCCATACCGTGCAAAGGCAATATACTCCTACGAAGCTAACCCAGACGATGCAAACGAGATTAGCTTTTCGAAGCACGAGATCCTGGAGGTTTCGGACGTGAGTGGAAGATGGTGGCAAGCGAAGAAGGAGACTGGCGAGACAGGTGAGCGTCTCTCATGGTTCTCATGAGTTAACGCTAATTACGCAATAGGTATCGCGCCCTCCAACTACCTGATCTTGTTGTGATGTATTATACCCAGTGATTTGTACTACGGCCTCTACGACTCTTTTTCTGCCAATAGACAGCAGAGTTATTCCTTTCCTAAGACTTCCGGGTGGTTTTTTGAGCTGTTCTGTATCGACATGCCATGTCGGCTTGTACGGCCTTTGACGGTTGATCCCGGCGCAGGAAGGTTGACGGTCGCGACCACATTTTGCAGGTCCCTCCTGTGAATGAGACGCTGAAATCTTGAGATTCGAACTAAAGCGAGAGGGATATTTGATTGTGGCGTCTGGTAGAAGCACGATACGCCCAAGGGCTGGCACAGTTTATATCAAGCAATTGAATGTGTTTACCGTCAGGCACCGGGCCCGCTTCTTCGGGGCGATGCCTATATGTTCTGTGGCCAATATGAGAGAAATCTTAAGACAATGACTCCTGATTATGTGTCAGTTCTACTCGTGCATTAAGCATGCCCAAGCTGGTGCAACACATGTGAAAGGATCTTGATAGGTATGATTCATGGTTTATCGCCAAAAGTGTGAAATCTCCCCTTAGCCGTAAACACCTTCTGGAGTGGACGTTCTGAAGAGCAAGATCTTCATGACGAAGAGCTGCAGGTGTCCAGCGTTTCCCCTGACTGTGATTGGTTGACGCTGTCACGAGGTTCAAGACCCTGCATGTACATCCTCTAGTCATTCAACACACCGACTCTTAGCCGTTTTGTCCTCTCCCTCGACTTGCTTCCATCATTTTTCATTGCCAGACGCCGGTCTGCAGCAGCTTAAGCTATAAATTACTTCTACCATGAGGAAAAAGGTGTGCAAGTTTTTCGCTCTGGGTACTTGTACCCGTGGGCAGGCCTGCACATACAGTCATGAGGTCGCCTCTTCTGGCAGTCTTCGACCAGGAGCGGCGCCCTTTGTACTTTCGCCACCTTTTACCGCTTCGCCGATCTCGCCTGCTGAGACCAATGGGATTCCGTGCCGCTTCCATTTGCTTGGGCGTTGTAACAAGGGCATTGAGTGTCTTTACGAACACTCGAAAGAAAACATATTGACCTCGAGTGACAAACAAAAGGCGCAACCCGAAGCCATTAATGCGCCACCCGAGCCGATTCACGTTCGAGACACGAAGATTGAGAATTCCGCCATCGCTGCGGCTGAACAGTCTTCGCGGGAATTCGAAGCACGCAATCTACAAGGTGCATCCGCCATGTTCGGTCCCGGAGCCCAGATTCATGAGTTGGAGTTTCCATCAGAATTTTCCGCTGTCCAGGTGACTTCTCTGCAGCCGGGTTGTGACGCAGAATTTTTTCAAGGCTTCATGGCTGCGCTTGGAGAGACTGTCCCTCCCTCATGCATACGTGTAAAGACTGTGACCAAACCTCCTTCGACTGTTGCCAGTGTTAGACTCAAGGACCCAGGATTTGCACAGAGACTGAAAATGAAGGCCGACGGCGGTGTCGAGGAAAATCGTACCTCTGAAATCTCTGTCAGTATACTGCAGGTTGGGATCAAATCTGAGTCATCCGCGAACCGGCTCCAGATGAGCACTGTAAGCTGCACCTGGTACAAGCCTTCGCGAACCGCTTGGCTGCACTACAACAACACCGGCAAAGCTAGAGCTGCTGAAAATTTCGTTGCGGGCAGAGATTTTAGAATTGCAGGACGCAAGATCCAGGCCACTCTCCAAATCCCCGAACATAACTTTCGACATCGTGAAACTACCATTATCTCTGTGCAACTTGGAAATCTAGACGCCTCCACGTCACAGCCTATGATCGAACGACACATACCCGGCCATCTTACACCGGTGAACGTGGTCATGGGCAAAGTTTCGTATTCGACGTCATCACACGAAGCTGAAGATTCTGTCAAAGCTCTACTCAATAGTGTCGGCCCTTTGGCGGCCTGGGAGCCTACTTCTATCATGAGCGCTACGCAGGTAAAAGCGATCGCACGTTTCCAGACAGCAGAACATGCGCGGAAAGCTGTCAATCAATTGAGTGGGCAGAAAATGCCCCAACTGGCCAATTCCAGACTCTTCATTCATCCCCTGATATCTGTCAGATTCAATGTCCCAAAAGCTATGTGCAGTGCGATTCGAGGAGACGTTGACCACCTCAAATCTCAAATCTGGGACGCTGGACATGTGCATATCAAAGCCTATCTGCCCGTAGACCCCACGCAGAAGCTCATAGCGCTTCGATTGTACGGAGGGGATGCAAAGGCCGTTGCAAAAGCAAAGACTGCCTTCGAGAAGATTCTGGCTGGTGATGTGGCAATGAATGGAGATTTCGGGATATGGGATGACCTTTTTACCCAGCCTGGGGGCCTGGCGTACCTCAGAGAATTGAGTCACACCCATCAAGGGTATATCTACAGGGACATGAGGAAGCATCGTCTTTCTCTTTACGGATCGGCTGGCAGCAAAGAACATATCCGAAGCGCGCTGATTGAAAAGCTGAATAACCTCACGGAGATGACCCACTACATTTCGTTGAGCGCCGAAGACCTCAAGAAAGCGCTGCACGGGGGTTTTCGCCGCATTGTAGCGACACTCGGCAAGCAAAAGGCCAGTCTTGATATCCGGCAACGACCGCAGATCATTACTATCACTGGCTCGGCTCGTGATTTGGAGACAGCACGGGCGCTCCTCGACCCAGACGTCGCGAGTGATCTCGAGGATTTGGCCTTTGACAAGGATATCGACCAGTCTGACTGTGCGGTATGTTGGACGGAAGCAGAAGATGCCTATCGTACGCCCTGCGGCCATGTCTACTGTGGAACCTGCTTTGCCAGTCAGTGTTCCTCAGCTGGCGCGGGAGACCTGCCAGTGCGCTGTTTCGGTGATTCGGGAAACTGTTTACGAGTGTTCGAGATGCCCGAAATCAAGAACGCACTACCCGCCGAAGCTTTCGAACAATTGCTCGAAGACTCATTCACCACACACGTACGGACCAATCCCCAAAGCTTCCAATACTGTCCCACCCCGGACTGCCAACAGATCTACCGCATCTCCCCCGACGGCGTCACCTTCACCTGTCCCGCCTGCCTGACCCCCATCTGCACCACCTGTCAGATCACCAGTCATGACGGTCTGACGTGTGAAGCCTACAAGCGCATCGGGACGGAAGGGAACGAGGAGTTTCGGATTTGGAAGCGGGAGAACGACGTCAAGGATTGTCCCGTGTGCAAAGTGCCGATCGAGAAATCCTACGGCTGCAATCATATGGAATGCAGGAATTGCAAAACGCATATCTGTTGGGTTTGTTTGGAGACGTTTGACCAGGGGGTGAAATGCTACGCGCATATGCAGGAGGTGCATGGGACTCTTTATGAGTAGTGAGCTCACTGTATAAACAAGAATCCACCTATTCCGACACGGTCTCCTAAGTCATTCAGGCTATATCAGATGCGCTGCTTCCACCCCCCCCCAACCCCGCCCCCCGCGTTTTCGACACCATCATCTGAGTAAACCTGTGAATTCTACTTTCGAAAAGCCCTCGAGCGTCTAACTATGCCACGGCTCAAGGGTGAAGCAGGGACGCCAGGGGCTCTCGATCTCGTGCTGGGGTCCGAGACGACGGGTGTGAGCGGCTTGTGGAACCGGCGAGGAGAGAATGAGCTTGGAGGATACAGCAGCCCTTTATCGAGCAGAATCTCGTTTCGCCGGACCAGCTGCTCGCCACGCAGCTCTGGCCTCGTAGAATTTGCGGCTCCTTACCCAATTAAAGCACTACAGCCAGCCGGCCGTTAAGCCCGCTGGGACACAAACACAGCTTCCCCATCCCGAAGACAATCCCTTTGCCTTCTTGACTCAACGCTGTCTCGCCCCATGATGGTATGAACGGGGGCATGAGCGATTTGAGTATAGAATAGGGGACAGTCTCGTTCTCTTCTCTCCATTGCGATTATTCTATTTGTGAAACTGATCCTTTTTTTAGTCACCATCTGTGTTATATAGCGTATGCACTCGGTCGTCGTTCATAGTCTTGGGTGAGGGGTCAGTCGTAACACAGAAGCCGACAGTGGAAAGTGTTATGGAGGAGGCTTGGCGAGCGGGGAAGTAGTGTCGTGATACATTCATTCCGTCAAAAATGGCTACGATTGGCTGGAGATGGCGGTATGTTCGCCGTCACTTTGGACAGCGATCACCCACCTTTGCAGTCCTATTAGCTCTCAATCCTCAGCTGTCGCTTTCCGTGCTTGCGTTTGACACATAGCATTTTTCATTATACATATACGTCTTTGTCCTTGATAATTTCTGCCTATACGCCTCGGCTACCATAAACTAGTTCCTTGGGGTCTGGATGGATGTGTCACTTGCCATCACCTTCCACTGCAATACCTTCCAAACCTCTTCCAAACCTCAATCAACCCCATCCCCGATGACCCTATCACCCTCGAAGATCGACCTCAATACTCGAATGCCACAAAACCTCCCGTCCGCATCGTTGAACAGCACCACAACACCAAGACCAGCAATGACTTCCGACATCTCAGAGGGCCAGGTGGAGTCCCGCATCCTCAGAGGAGTCCTCGTCGATTTCGGGCCCGGAGCGAGCGTCCTGAGCATCAAGCACCCCTCCGACTACAGCGCGATCCTACTTTCCTGCAACGTGCCAAACCGCACCGCCGGCGATCTCGCGATATACATGTTTGCTTTCTTCCGAGAACCGGTGGGCTTGTCGTGCGTACACGTCACCACCGGCCCAGACGCGGGTCCCGTCGTCGCGCACGTTCAGGTCAAGGATCCGGGTTTCGCTGCACGCATCGGGCGCAAGTTTGAGAGGTATTCGAAGTGTCTCCCGCGAACCAAGATCGATGTGAGACTAGCCCCCGTTGAGATCAAGTACGAAGCGTCTGCCAATCCGCTGTGTATGACGGATATCAAACGCCACCTTCTGCGAGACCACCTGGCGAGGTTGAGAGTCGAGGAGGATCCTGCAGTGCCCGAGTGTGCCGTCTGTCTGACCGAGGCCGAAGACGCCTACGTTACCGCTTGCGGCCATCGGTACTGTCGAGCCTGTTTCGCTGTCCAATGCGTTTCCGCCCGCAAAGAAGGAATCCCGATTCGGTGTCTCGGCAATTCAGGAAAGTGTTCACGGACCTTCCTGCTTCCCGAACTCAAACTCGCTCTCCAGTCCGAAACTTTCGAACGACTCCTCGAAAAGTCCTTCGCAATCTACCTCCAAACGATCGAAACGATCCAAGAATGCCCGGCTTTTTCATGCAACCAAACCTATCGCACTTCCACCGACGGCTCCGTGATAACTTGCTTCAAGTGCGCCACGCCCATCTGCACGACCTGCCGGGCCCCTTCCCACAGCGGCACGACCTGCCTGATGTACCAGCGCGTGGGGACGGCGGAATTCCGGACCTGGAATCTCAACCCGGATATCAGGAAGTGCCCGCGGTGCAGGAATCTGATCGAGAAGACCGGCGGCTGCGAAAGGGTGGATTGTATCTGCGGGGCCGGGTTGTGCTGGAAATGCATGGAGCTGTGGGATGAGAATGGGCAGTGTCGCTGCCTTCGGGCTGTGTGGGGTGCGGGAAAACTGAAAAGAGAGGATGGGTCGAGGGAGGAGTCGCCTGGGAAGGTGGAAAAGGGGGTTAGTCAAACTCGAAAAGATTCGAATATCAGTGATGAATGAACGGGAAGGGCTTACTGGTTTCGCTCATTCTCTCAGGCGCATCGAGCTTCAAGTCGACGTAGGAGATGGGAGATCTAGTCTGAGGAGCCTACCTACGTTTAGACGGGAACCACGTGACCGGTATTCCACGTCGAAGAGCTTCGGACTCTATCCCGGACGATCCCAAAGGAAATTTTCGCTTAGGGCCACCCCCCTCCTGAACCTTCACGACACGGATCCAAAAAGGGGGCATTCAAGCCTTTCCGTGCGCAGGCGTGGTCAACCTCAGCTTCGCAATCTCAACACACCCACGAGCTACAGCAGACCAATGAAGAGAAACCCTCGCGGAAACCAAGGGAACTGAGACCCGGAGATCATTACGCTGGTCTTCCCCACTATGTTACAGCGTTGCGCTGAAACCAGGGCTGGTCTCTTGCCGAGCTCGAGTCTCGGCCAGGACCGACTCGCGACGGTGGATCGCCGAAGTTGGCCTTTCCATGGCAGCGTATACCATCGGTCGACCGATCGGTATCTTATATGTGGCCGGGACGGAGCGATGAGGATGTCGGTCGTCTGTATCGACGTGTCTATCCGGTCCGAGAGCAGCCGATCGACCTGGGAGACGTGGCGTCGGAAGATTGAGAGCGAGCTTCTGGGAGGGATGGAGCCGGCAACGGTGAAGTTTTCTTTCATCCTGGGTGGCATGTTCGTGGCGATTCTGACTCTTGGACGTCGACGGGTGGGAGTGATACGGTAATCGCTTTTGCACTCTGCGTCACATAGCCTACTATTGTAGATCCCCAGTCTTTTGGCGTAACAGAATATGTCTATATCGTTGCTTCCTTTCAAGGCGCCCGATGGTCCGGAATACCCGGTCTAGAGGGTTGAATTGAAGGTAGGTATACACATGGTCCGTAAGGTAGTCTGTCCAGATACTGAACCGGTCCGGATCAGTTTAGACCCATCCAGACCGGTAGTCTAGAAAGCTGATATGAAAGTGGTGGGTACTCTACGCCGCTTGGAAGAGCTCAGCGGATATTCTCTTACCGAGAACCTGACTTGGATCTTCATCTTCACTTGAAACGCTCTATAAAAACGTAGATGAGTAACAACATTAAGAGGAGATTTGAAATCGTAAATTAGTAGTTCAGACCGGTCCTGTCACACACCTGAGCCGCTCTAGGACCATTAATGAAATGATCAAGCCGGTCTAGACTACTGGTTGAGTAGACCGGTCCGGAGCAGTAGTCCGCTAAACGGCCCTAGACCATCGGCCTGAGTCTGAAGTTCATTGCGGCAAGATTATCCAGAGAGAAAGAATAACGGTCCACCCACCTCAAAACACCAGAGAAGATCTCTTGGACGGACAAACCTCGGCCGGAAAGACTCTCCAGGAGCTCTCACCAGGTTACAAATGTGCCTTCCCCTCGTCTCACGAGCGCTGCTCATTAGAATTGGACGATATATACTCGCTCACGGACCCGAGCACGAGAGAGGAGTTGCAGGCGGATGTGGGCTTTTTGCTGAGTGTAATCCATGATGAGACCAAACGCCTCAACGGCGACGCAAGCCGCATTGTCTTAACGGGTATCGGCCAAGTGTGCGCGACGGGTTCAATCACCATGCTGAAGGGGCAGTGCAAGCTAGGCGGCCTGGAGCGGGTGGATGCCTTTCCGGGCGCAGATCGAAGAGATCGGTACGAAAGCATCGATGCAGCCTGCCATGCGGGCGGGGTTGGAGGGATTGTCCGAGTGGACGATCGGTTTTGAAGACGGCCCGACGTCTCATGTGTGGGCTGACCCGTTTGTGGATGCGTCTGTGTTGCTCTGCCGTTCGGTGGAGGATGAGGTGGTTGGATAGCGGCAGGCTTGCGCTGCGCTGAAGGGGTCGGGACGGGAGGTTGAGTGGAAGGAGTATCGGGATGGGCGATGTTGGATCAGCGAACCGCAGGGTCAGGATGACATTGTCGCTTTTCTAGCGCGAGAAGCTTCAGAGCGGTAGTGGTGGAAAGGGGAGAGGAAGAGATCGGCTCGCCGTCTTTTCTGGTAGGTGGTAAAAATCTGATCTGGAAAGTGCGCTCTTCGCAGAATCCAAATGCAAACAAAGAATTCGCGGCACGTGTGTGAAGTTTTCCAAGATTTGGCAACTGCAGATTGGAGTGTTAGCAGCTGGCACCAGATACAGATCTCGGCCAGCGCATCCTGATTCAGTAGGTCAGATCGATCTCATCGACTTCCGTTTCAGTTGCCCGGTTTCACTGCCACGTGCACTCATCAGGTGATATCTGCGTTTGCGATCAGAGAAGCTCTTCAAACATCATCGTCTACTCCCTGCTCAAACGTGAATGCCTCATGGTCTAAAAACTTCCTCTGATCATCAAACCGAACCAAAACCTTTCTTCACCCACCATGCCCTTATCCCCCGAACCCTTCCCCGTCACAATCCCATCACAGCGCTCGGCCAAAGACCCAGATCTCATCTCCAGCCTCCGCCAAACCATCTCCGCACTCGTGAGTAGCCCCCCCCTTCCCCTATTTCCAATATCCGGCTCCGCCCCAACCCACTAAACCCCCCCTTCTCTCCTCCCAGGCGAACCAACCCCAACGCCCCATCGCGCAACACGACGTCGAAATCGCCATCGTCGCCGCCTTCATCTACAACCTCCTCCGCAGAGGCGGCGATGAGAACGACTTGGCGCTTTTGATCACGGATCTGAACCAGGTGGGGGAAGAGATTGAGGGGAAGTTGAGGGCGATTAGGGGTGGGTTGGGGTGAGGTGAGTTATCCTGGAGGGGGAGAGGGGGGCTTGGTAGGAGTGGTGGTGGTGGGTGGGATGGAGATGGGGAAGGGGAAAGGGGAGGGTTAGGGGATGGTGGTTTTGCTAAGGCTGGGATGAGCGGAAAATATATCAGGGCTTTCTGAAGTGTAAAGATTAATTGGCCGCGAGGGTTTGGCGAGTCATATGATAAAATGCGGGTTACTTGCTGCATGAATTTGGTGCTGCCGGGGTTCGAATATTTCGTCAGGGGAAGAACGAGCTTTTTGTGTAGATAAGCGAACATTATTTTACATTGGAACATGGCCCCCTGCAAGATATTCGTGCACAAGACTTCTGAAGCGCGTATGTTGTACAACTTATTTCCCTGCGATTTACAGCATGAATGCCTAGCAGGTAGCGCGTATTTTGTTACCGAAACCCACTGTTGACCAACCCCGTGTCAAGCACCCCACGAGTCGCGGGCCATACTACCTACCGCAAAACGTCGCGAGTCTCAAATTTTCCTTGTCCCACACGTGTCGAGCACTTACCTGCCGTACAGTTCAGTTCAGTTCTTATAAAAGGCTTTGCTCAACCAGCCGTCACCACAGGTCACAGTTGGGCACTGTTCAGTTCATGCTTCATAGGTTTTGAATCACCATCTCCAAGAAAGTCATTACTATACTAGCTCGTCTTAAAAGGTGGTGGTGACATGCACAAAACCGTCCCATCACCACAAATCTCAAGACCGAGCACGAAGAAGAAATGTACCAAGGCCACATCAACCCCACCTCTGTCGTCAAAGGAAAGGTGTCGTGTCTGATGGATACGACGCAGCGGTCAACCACGCAGAGAACTCGAGTATCCCTCAACCGGCCCGGCTCGCACGACATCTCGCGCTGTTGGGAGTTCCGAGCAGATTGGGCCATTCCTCAGCCAAAATCGCTAAACCCCCTACCCTTCATCGAACCTCCATGTTGCACCGGCGGCGGAACCGGAGCCAATCTCGAAGCTGCAGTCATTGACGGCTTTGTACTGTCGGGGCCAGAACGGTATCAAGCTCCGACGTCCGTTGGTGCAAGCCTCGGTATCGGGCTGCTGCGCAGCATCCAAAATGGCGCTTACCCCCCCTGGGTGAGGTTAGTAATTGCTCCGAAATGACAGGTTGATTCAGGGTTGGTCAAAAGAGGAGAACGAGATTTACCCTGACGTTTGACAAGGGGAGCTGCGAAGGCAGGTGAGATAAGGAGGAGGAGGAGGGCGGACATGAGAGTTGTGGCGCGCATTATCGTAGATCTTGGAATGATGGGTTTGAGGGCAGGTTTCAAATGATGAGGGCTTCTGGGAGACTAGTAGCTCTGTTGGGGAGGGCGTGTCAAAGTTGGGCATGCCGTGATGTTTTATAGAGAAAACCAGAATTAGAGCTAAGTGCGCCATTTCATCTCATTGGCGGAATGTTTACGTGGATGGTGCAATAGTTAAACCGAGAGTTATTCGAACAATGAATAATAAGTCGGGCGGCAAGAACGAGAAGAGGGGGCGATGCAGGTACACAGTAGCTGATATCCAAAGGATATCTCAGGAGGCTGATCTGCCGGCTCGGGAACGATGTTTGAGTGGGGTGAGTAGTTCTAGTCTATTCCTTTCAAGAATCGATCAGTCATTGGCATCGATTTGAAACGCACTAAACGCTTTCTCCGATGCACGGCGTTATTGCCAAGAGCGTGCCGTGTTTGGTGTATGCGGCACGTTGAACGATCGTGCAGAGGGTTTTGACCACTGCCAAGGCTAATGCATGAAGTAGCACCTTGGCGTTATCACGGAACGTTGTGCAGCAATCGGATCCTCTCGGTATCTACACTTCATATTCTCCTAGGCATGTGTCCCCGTTTTCCATCGGCGCGCGTCATTCGTGCGGTACTGCGGCAATAAATCAGGCTTCTCGGTGAAGAAGATCGGGTTTATCCAACTCAGGAACACGGCAGGAAATGCGTCAGGGACCTTCCATGCGACATTGAGGACCGTCAGAGTCGATGAGAAACAGCACCAAGTTCTTTCGGGGGCGCGGTAATATTTACAGGATCTTGGCATTGAGGCCCTGGGCAAACATGAATAGTAACACGGCAACGAGGGCCGCATGTGCACGACCGATTTCGTATGCGGAATGAATACCAATATAGACCGGTCGACGCTGCACTAATTTTCACACGGTGCGCAAGTGCTATGACAGGGCAGGGCTCGACGTTCGTAGCCAGCGGTAGTGCGCTGTGGCATTTCCAAATCCTCTTGGCAGCAAAGACTTATTGAGCTGGCTGTATGACAAAATGAAACCTGCTCTTGGGGAGATGTATGACTCAAGTTCTCCGATGCACAATGATGCATTGAGCGTTATATTCGACGACATGACGATTAGCAGACCCTCGCCAGGCCGAATTCCATCACTGCGGAGAAAGTGCATACAAGCAACCACCTATCAAAAACTACGGTGGCTTCACTAGATGAGGCCCCCACTCGAGGCTTGCATAGTTCCAACCTTCCAATTGGTTCTTCGGGTGATTTAGAACGATATCGATCACGATGTGGAGAAGGTGGAGTCGCACGAGTTCGATGGTTGTTGAGCTGAGCGCGTATAAGTGGAGCGCCTGTCGGTTATATCCCTAGTCGCTCATCCGTCATTGGCTGAAACAAATCAACGTTTCTGGTGCTTCCGTCGCGTTTCATAATGGCACCATTGAAGACTAAGATCATGCATGGCGAAATGCGGAGGGAAAGAAGCTGCGAGGTTGACGATCTTTGCTGCAGGTCTGCGAAAGCCCGTCCAGCCACAAATCGACTTGGCGTCTTCAAAAGAAATGAAAGAGTAAAAAGGATAATTCTGACCTTGAATAAATTGAGTGCACCAAAAATAAGCGCGGTAAGACTGTGGATCATCGTCATGCGCTGGAGACATACTCGTTCGGAAATCGGACGGGAAGATCCATGGTTCCTAGCCGAAACAGCTCGAACTGGTTGGACCGCGTTTCGCAATTGGTCTCTCAGAGCCTCTCCAGGCTAAGGAGACCCGCATACTCTTGCGCAGGTGAAGCGTAAATTCACAGGAAAATGGTTGCTTCTGCTGGCATTGGCCCTGGTTAAGAGGACGTAATAGAGTTCTATCCAAATTTAGGATGCCACTGCGGGCACCAAAGAAAGAGGGTCCTGTACCATTTAGCCATTTTTCTCCGCATTTTCATTCTTGAGTAGTTACTTCATACCCAAAACTTATCTTGGGATAGACCAAATTCTTTCAACGAGTGCCCAATACCGTTGTTGATTGATTTCAAAAGAATTTGGTAGTTGGTAGTCTCTGATCTGCTTCTGCCTGCAGAAATCGTCGTTAAAAACCTGTCACCATGATACAATCTCCAGGCCAATCAGTTGGTGTGACGACCTTCTTGACCGTGCTGGCCTTGCTAGCTATCGTGCTGCGTTTCTGTGCCAGGCGTTTGAAGAAGGTGGGGCTTGGCTGGGATGATTACACAATTGTGTTAGCCATGGTCAGTCTGTTGTTACGTCCCTGCGTGAATTGACCTCGGTCAGAAGCCAATGAATGACCCCGATGCAGCTTTTCACCATCGCTTCCGCTGTATGCATTTATGTTGGAGCTGCAGACGGAGACCTTGCAAGACACGTCGAACTGGACGCACAAGGCAACGCAGTCTGGACTCATCGCGACGTAGTGTTCTTGGAAATCAACTTTGCGCAGCAGCTGAGTACCACGTTGACTTTCGGCCTGACGAAATTATCGGTGCTGCTGTTCTACAAACGAGTCTTTCGAGGCGATACCTTCAATACGGCGGTGTGGACAATGATCAGTATGATTGGGGTCTGGTCCGTTGCGTTCTTCTTTGCGAACTTACTTCAATGCTATCCAATATGGTATAATTGGGAGGCCTCCGGAGCCCAGGCTAATTCGTGCATTCAAACGAACACGATGTACCTAGCACAGGCGTGGACGGACGTGCTCACTGATATAATCATTCTTTCACTGCCGATCCCTTGCATCTGGGCACTCCAAATGCCGGCAAGGCACAAAATCGGTGTCTCCGCTATCTTCCTTCTTGGGATTCTGACGGTGCTTTCCGGGATTGCAAAGCTCATTGTCTTCTACCACATCATAGCCTTGGCCGACGGAGGAGACTTCGACATAACATGGTACGAGACACCAGCTGTGGTTTGGACGTTTGTGGAGTCGGCTCTTGGTATTGTGGGCGCATGCTTGCCTCTATTGCGACCACTCTTCGCAGGAACGTCCACGAGAGGTTTCATGCGAAATCTGCGCAGCGTTGCCATCCGAACCATCACTGGGGCGGAGGAGCCAAAATCACCGGAAGGCTCTACGACCGCAGTGGGAAGTGGCTCCGGTTCGTCGGGTAAGAAGTCAGGAAAAACAGCCGTGGAGAGTGGTTCGAATTCATTGGGGGTGCAATCTGGTTCAGAGAATACAGACACCTTGAAGTCCTGGGATGAAAAGGATTACGATTATAACTCGTAAGCTTTCCTATCCCTCAATCCGGAGAGCGAGCGCTTACTGACTGCGGTAGTCACTGCGCTCTGAACACTCACGGGCATTTGGACCAGAAGAAGGTGACGGTAGACAAGATTCGTAGCTCTGTTGACATCGGCGAGAGAGGTAGCTCGGGGGAGCGTCATGGAGATGAGAATGTGTGATTGCATACGGGAGCAGAACTATTCGAGGTATCAATTCGAGTGTTGGTTGTTTGAAGGCGCAACCACTGTCGCTCCTTCCCGCATTAGTGAGAGAATAGATGCCAGCTTGATGAAACACTTGTAACGCAACTGCATTGCGGCTCCAACAAGCTCGTGCAGTGTGAATCGGGGTCTGTCCCTTCGGGTCCCATTCTGATTAATTCTAGGGGCCGGCTTTGTTCCGTTTTGGGAATGTGAACCCTTTCACTAGACCAACACCTATTTAATTCTATCATCAGCGCCCTTAGCCTAGATCGAATTTGCGTATTCGTTCTATATGGGCACCATGACGAAGTCTACTTTCTTTGAGTAAGTACAAACAAGGGATCAACATCTCCTTTCCGTCTCGTTCTTGTTCCACAAACCGTAACCCTTTCTCAGAATCGAGAATTCACGAATTTCCTCACTCCGTCGACACAATCCGCCATTCTCATCTACCATGTACCCAACCAAGATCAGCCAACCGCCCAGCGCGTGGTAACGATTAGCTTCTCCATCATTATACGCCTCGTCCTTCAGCAACGTTACGCGCTCCCAGCCGCCGGCCGTGCCAACAGGTAGATTGGGAACAGGAACATCAATCGTATCACCACCCATCTTGGCATGCAACAGCTCCGCCATGTTGGTGTCGTTGTAGGAGAACCAAACCAATCCGAGATCTGCCGGAAACAGGACGAAAGCTTATCGAACAATAAGACTCGGATCCGATTTCCCGATGTGTGTCACCAAATGCCTGTGCGCCCTTGAAGTGGCTTGTTGTAGAGTTCTCTCGGTGTGCTTTTGCAGGGAGCGAAGATGGCTGACCTCAATACGTACCCGCGCGCAAATGACGGCTCTCTCATATTAAGTCGTCTGCTAATTGACCATCTGAGACGCCGAAGAGGGTAAGTGTCAGCGACAAGGTTGATCATGAGGCTTGGGGCAGCGCCAGGGATCACGTGATTTAGTGCAAGAACAGTACTGTATCAAGTATTTCTTCAACACCCGCTTTGTCTTTGCGCAGCAAAGTCTGGAAGAGATAGGTTCTTGTGTCAGTAAGACCTATTGAGGTTATACTAACTGCCCAATATCAGCCGTTCCTTTAACGTGGTCCTCGGCGTCTTTCAATCTATGATACATTAGTTTCGACTTTTCTCGCTCAAAGTCCCCTCCAAAACTGAGGATTTCGTAAAATTTACGCATCATCGTGGCGGCAGTCGTGACTTGAGGTCCAAGGATCACCCAATATAGATGTCAGCTTGAACAGATGATTTGACCTCCAGCGACACATACTCCGGTCACCGCCCCGGCATTGCAGTGTTTATGTTTGGGGTAGCCAGTTATGCACCGATGGGGAAGTCAAGGATTGAATACGCTGCTCGGGGGCTCAGGCACATGATTCAAGAGTCAAATCAGCGAGGGTTGCCCTTGTTGCAGCACAGTATAATATATAACAAGAAGCCTCCGCTTCCCGGCAAGTCCTCCCTCCATCCTGCAATTGATTGACGTTCTCGCAGCACTGTATAATACACGAAAAGAAACCTCCACTTCCCATAACGTCCTCTCCTAACCCTGCAAAGTGTAATTCAGACTCTCCGACGCATAATGCGCAGAAAGCATCCTGTGAGTCTCTCTCCATTGCCCGTGAGAACTGAATGCCTCCACTTCCTTGTCGTCTCATGCCATCATTACCCGAACACAATGTGCTCTTCCGGATCCCAACCCTCGTGCTCTTTGATCTTCGAAGCTACCTTGTCGAGGAATATCTCAGGTAGCTCCATGGCCTGGCTGCTGACTTGCTTGTTCCGAAGAACAAGCCGACTGGCTTTGAGATACGTCTTGCTGAACTGCGTCCACAATTCTGTATCAACGTCCGGCCGTGGATAGTAGGGGTCATTGCCGATGAGAGCGGGAACCAGGTACTTGTCTACGTCATTAGACGTGAGCTCGATGCGACTCGACTTGTCGAAGTCCAGAACCCAGACATTAATCGATCTCTTGTTGAATTCGAGCGGGAGCACATCCACCTCGTGCGGCTTCTCAACAAGGTCGTATGGCCGTCTCGTTCCTAACGGCGTTGCTCGAGCACTTCCTAAGCACGAATTCTGCATCCATGGCGTCGACCTGAGCTTGCCAGTGAATTATTGCTAATGCGATTGCCATCTCGTCTGCGAGCAGTGTCTTGTCCAGGTCAAGTTTCTTTACCATGCTCAACCGCATCGGAAAGTTGCGCAGCGAGTGGTAATCTTCGTTTCCAGTCTCGTTTTCGCCCAGGTAGATGCGGATCAAGCATGCTTCATTTTCTTTGTCATTTCTGGCCTCTTCTCTTATCTCGTCGTCAAAGTACTACTTAATCAAGGCCTCTCGTACAGACTATAGGAGTGGGTGAATCCGATCAACTTGAAAGGCAGCGCCGATTTCTCTGTGCGACGCGGGGAACTTGTTGATGTTCGCTTTCCAGTAAAGATCCGAGCCTGGTGTGCGAAAGAAGTTGCAAGAAGGAGTCTTAGGTATTGTGTTCTCCGGAAACGCATCTTGAATCATGTCTCGGGTATCTGCAACAGCGTTGTGAACTTTGTTCGCCAGACAGAAATCATTCCATAGGCAATGAGTGTTTTTCCCTTTCTTGACTGCGAACTCCGTTCCTGGGATCTCAAAAACGCTGCCGCAGGAACCCAGTCCGATAGTCCTCTAATCTGGCCATTCGTTCGCCCTAGCCTTTGCCCGATTCATTCTCTCAGTGAAGCCCGAGGTCGTTGGGACGACGAACCGATGTGAAAGATGCCGTCTTAGGATGTCGCTGAGCTGCTCTGACTGCGCTGGTGAAGATGTTTTGAGCTCATGTCGCTGTGCATCGGTCAGATGTTGAGATGTGGACGAAGGAGGACAGGAGGGTGGTGCAAATGGGAGGGTTTTTACTCTCCTTTCCAAAAGCGTTGTCGGGTGCGAAGCGCCTGAACAATCTGGTTTAGATTCTTCACACATGGCGACTAAAGATCGATTCAACTTTGAGAAGGCCGGGATAAAGTTTTGCAGATGCAGGGAGTCTTGTAGATTTCGGAGAGTGTGGTAAGGGTCAAGAGGTCTGGGTGGGGAAGAAGAGGAGCTTGTTCAAGGCAGAGAACTCCGTGAGAGGCGAACTTGACGGCAAGAGCTATCAAAAGCAATGATGTGGGGACACGGAAGTTGAGATAGATGAGTTGTAGACACTTGCAAACGCGAATAAATCTGCAAGATTAGATGTAATATTTCTATATTGCACATCTTGGAAGGAATGACTCAGTCACTAGTGGGAATCTTTCCTTGCGCTAAAGCCAAAAAATCTCTTCTAGATGGAAGTCACAGCCCTTATCCCGTACCTTAAGCAATAAATAGTGAAGGATGCAGCAAAAGCTCGATCCTTTGTGGTGTTTCATTGACGCTTGTAATTAGTGCCAATGCACCAATATAGCGCCCGGTGAAAATAAAACTCTCAAGCGACATCTGCAGGCATAGTCACAGATCCTTCTTCCACTTCCCGAAGGTTGACATGCCTTTTTGGTGGGCTCGTGTATGATTGTTTTCTTGCCGACTGTGAGCCCTTTCTGTGCGCATCTTGTAAAGCAATGAAGCAGCTGCGAGCTTTGCCGGGCTTCGGGAATTGAGGTTCTGCTGAGGTGGCCTTTTCTCGAGTCCAAACACTCACGTCAAGAATTCGGATCCATTTCTCACATATCTGAGGCTGAGACTCGTCCTTCGTAATTTGTTGACTGTTGCATTACTGTTGCATTATCGATCTTGGGGTAGTCACTAGGATTCTACTCGTGTCTTAACTCATCACAGAGGCTCACACGTGAGTTAACCATGACTTGGAATGCTCACTGAATGAAGACCGCGAGAAACGGAATGAAGCAGGAGAACAAGCTCCTTGTGCACCACTCACTTTAACTTCAGAAGTCGACAATTGAAGATCATGGAGCTGATGTGATATTCAAGCCTCTGAGATGATGGTAGATCTAGTACTTTTCAGCCATTCCACTCTCTTTCAAATGTGCAAATGAGTCAGCCTCAAACAACCAAGTCAGCTTGTTTTCATGACATACAGAGTATCTACGCTCGAAGATCAGAGCCAGGCACTGGAGGCTCGAAGTCTTCTTCGACGGAAGCACCTTTTGCCTCTAGCGATGCTGGCAAACTCAATACCAAGCCAACAAGGCCGAATACGACGATGGAGGTGTAGGTGAGGAAACGCATGGTGGTGGCTTGCACATGATTTAATCGCCACAGTGGGACTGGGGGTTAGTGGGTCACATGACATCATGGCCCTGTTGGTACCCCTGTTGGTACCCCGGCAAGGGGTTGGGGATAGGTGTCCAGTACGAGCTATATAGCCACCTGTTTTGCACCTGTCAATGGCTCTTCATTCGATTTCGTCTCTTTCAGAGCCATTGCATACTTTTTATCCCACCCACCCACACCTATGTATATAGCTAGCTACCATTTCACTCCAGGTCTATGCCATAGGCATGGGAGTTTTCTCGGCGCTGGGGTACGAATACGTCTGTTCAGGCCTCTATTCAGGTGTTATCCCGGCGTCGGGACGGCCCAACCACTTGATACCTCATACCTATATACCCTGTGTATGTGTGATGCCTGAGAATGAGAACACTAACTAGTCAGCATGGGTTGTCAATCTCCGCGCCGGGTGGGTATACCGGGATTTGATAATCGACGTGAAATTCGTCGAAGCTTGTTCGCGTGGGTCTTGTGCTGTAGATGTTCGTGGAGGCGGTGTGGGGATCATTGTTGTAGAATTGAAAACCCTGCCCTGGCCTTATACGTCCGATGATCGCCTGCACCTGCACGCTCGCATCCTGCTCCCGCCATTTCTAGACCAAGGAACTAACAACCCAGGCGGTATGTGTGAGAGATTTCTGCTAGCTGCAGTACACAGAAAGGCTTCCCCATTTTTTGCGAGCTGGTCATGCAGATCGACATGACAAAACGTTAGTCTCCGGACACATGCAAAGGCGGAGGTATTTTCCTTGATGCACGCCAATGCTGCAGTGGATGGAGATATTGCTGCAGGAAACCGCTCGGACTGCTTCAACACTTGAGGCGATGGAGGGAATTTCTTCGATGCAGATCAAAGTTGCTGGGTCTTAAGGCTATTCTGCGGAAAATGGATCCGACTGCTTTATTAGTTAAGGCTGCGGAAGGTTTTTTCGATGCAGCCAAAGTTCTGCTGCGTATCAAAATTTTCTGTCCAGGTGACTTATGCTTTAGGTAGCTATTGAAGAGGGAAAGCCGATTCTCACAATTTTAGTAGGGAATCGATCAATTCCAGCACTACGGCCGCGATCCGCTTTGGGTGACTCGCCTCCACCTTCAAAGCCTTCCCTGATACATCGACTGTTGAACTAGAAAGGCAGCTTTACCATGTTTGCAATCAAGGTCAAGACTGGCCCGCTAAAGATTCCCCCTCCAAGGGCACTCTTGATCACTTACAATCTCGAGTTGTAAAAACAGAGTGCGTCTGATACTGCTTTTAGCTTGAGATCGTCGACGGACCAGGCCCGTTCCGCTCCGCTGGGACGGGCTGCCTTCGGCCGATAAGTTTGTCTTCTTATAGGTGCTCACCACTTATTTGTTCACGGAAGGATGTAAAATCGGCGTCAATTGGTGGGTACCTTCGTGTCAAGAAGGTGGATTTTTCGGCCGTACGAAACTTTAGCTCCATGCTTGATTTAATGCTACAGCGAAAATCGTCGGAAACCCGCAGATTGATTTTCCTCGTCCGTGTCGTGCATATGCATTTTCGTTCTCAGTGACTCGCATATGCATGATTCCGTCCTTTTACTTATCGGCCAAGCAGACTAAAGTGTCTCATGACCGTCGGCCACCCTCTCCTGAAGCCAGTAACGCAAGGAGCCTTCTCAAAGCGCGTCACCATACCCTGCTTCCCGGATCGGATGTTGGCATTCCTTTCAGTGCTATTGCCAGAATCACCTTTCCGGCGGACCATTGAGAACGAAATCATGGATGTTGCCAAGACCCCACTTGTACTTACGTGCTGGACCTCTCTAGCGCTGAAATCGAATTCATGCCGGTCGAGAAGACCTTGACAGCGTCATTGGGAGAGGTTTGGGCCCTGCGCCAAGGTCTTTCCCGTGAAAAGCAAGTTACCGGTATTCCTAGGTCCTAGTGCTATCCCGCCTGACGCTGACTGGGACATGACATTGTACGACTCTGGTGGAGTGTGACCTACTGACATGGCCCCTGCCTTGAAAATCCTGCAGGGCCAATTCATCCGATGGATACCGCAATGAGGAATGGAAAACCCTACTTAGCATGTCGTCTCTCCATGTTCTCTTTCATTCCGTTCGACCCCATCATCCTGCGTCGGCCTTCTTTGAAAAAAGTTTTCGGACTTATCCAGAAGATCTTTGTGGGAATTCTCTCCGTGGGATTAACATACACAGTCTTGAAATCACGACAACGCCATCATGAGTGCGGAGAAAGTGCCAGTGGGCTATACAAATGGGACATCGTTTGATTGGAATACGCGGGGACAGACTATTGCAGCCGCGACCGTTCTCCCAGCACTAGGACTGATAAGCGTGGTATTGCGCTTTTGGTCCAGACTTCACAGGCGGGCTGGCCTTGGGCTTGATGATGCGTTTATTGTTCCAGCACTGGTGAGTCTCCTCTTTGTGAGATAGTAAACACTGGAAGAATTGGCGAATGCTCACTTTCTGCGAATGAGCTCTGCGTTATTGGCCTAGGCACCACTCTGCTCGTTGGTGAGTCCCTATCTTCAGCCTCGACTCGTCTCTTAATGAACACCTTGCAGGTGTCGCAAAGAATGTCATAGCCCACACCACCCCTCCAAACCCCAACGCCGCCAGCAAGGATGCCCAGCTGTATCAAATCACACCCCCACAAGAACTGGTAGAAAAGGTTTGCTCCACCTCAGTCCTTAGTCTTATCATCTCTCAACTCATCCATCCGCGATTAGATTGAGTTCGTGTTCTTTCTCATCTCAGTTGTTGCCTATGGCTTTATAAAGCTCAGTGTCCTATTTTTCTACCGTCGCATCTTCGTCAAAGGTGCATCTGCGAAGTTCGACATTGTCAGTAAGGTCGCTATTTGGATCACCTCAGCTTGGACGATTGCTTTCTTCCTCATACAGCTTTTCAAGTGTGGGAGGTATATCGACTCGGAGTGGGGGCCTTTGATCGATGCATCTCGGTGTTTGGACAGCTTTCAGTATACCGATGCCTTGTTCGTCAGCGATCTCATCACAGATCTCTTGGTGATATGTCTGCCAATACCAATTGTCAACCCTACGCCCTGTGATGATACAAGACTTCAATTTCGCTAATCGTCTACAGGTTCTACAACTTCATATGACGATGCAGCGAAGAATTGGGATCATCGGCGTCCTGTTACTGGGCACTATGTGCGTTACTACAAACCAACGGACAACCGTCACCCAAACTGACGAAATTGCAGGTCTATCGTAGCCTCAATAGTCCGAATAGTCTACGGGTTTCAAATCCAAGCCGCTGGCCTCGCAAAACCTACCGACGTCGACGGTACATCTCCCTCCCCCTTGGCCCCCGAAACCCCGTCCGGCTAACACCGCTCCCACCCTCAGAAGGACTAACAACGCTTCTCTACTGGGGAATGCTCGAAGCCGGCATCTCCCTCATCGCCACCAACCTCCCCTCCCTACACTTTCTAGTCACGGAGAAATCCCTACAGCCCTTCGCCGCCAGCATCCGCACTGCGGTCTCGTTCAGCTCATTGCGGTCGCAGGCGTCAAAAGCTGGGACCGGGACTCGGTCAGCGTATTCGAAGGTGCAGCAGAATGGATCGAAGGCGCCGGCGGTTCCGGTTTTGCGGAAAGGGTGGGAGAATGGAGGGGGGCTGGGGACCGTGGATACGTTCGCTATGTACGATATGGAACGTGCGGTGGAGGTTAGGGAGCCCGGGTTGGTTCACGTTGCGTGTGAGATGTGGCAGCAGGGGAATGCCATTTGAGCCGAAACCTGGGCGTTGGCTGGTGATGTTGTTTTCGCGGCGATGAACTGGATCTGGGAGTGGATCACAAGTGAATTGATGCATGGACTATTCATAACGATGTCTGCTCTCAAAGAATAGCGGAGATGAGTGGTATTCTTTAATTCCTATGTTTAAAATCATATCCTTCTTCACCCTATATAAGAGCGTGCTATGAGTTCTGAAATCCGTTCCACAGCCTTATGCCATCATCGGACGCCTGAGGTACAAAAGATTTTGGCATCCCCCACCAAAAGGCAAAAATCGATATATAAATGATATTGCTTTTAAATACTCTTTCTAATACGCAATATAAATATATATAGCTATTTCATTTAGCTTATAATTATATAAATTCTTTGAAATTCGCTTATATTATCGTTATTTATTATTATTATATAATTATTTAATAAAGATTTTTAATAAATCTAATAGCAGTTTTCTAAATCTCCTTACTAATTTCTATCTTTCTAGAGTATATATATCTTAATACTATCTCTTATATATTCTATTATACTATCTCTTATATATTTACTATATTAATAATTCGAGAGATTAACTTCGTTTCTTTCTTTCGCGATTTTAAGATTGAAATATAAATATAAATATTATAAATATTATAAACATTATAGCTATTATAGCTGTTGCTATTACTTATTCGAACTTATTGGCTCGTATGGCTTTGGGCGCAACACTGTGCATGGCAGTCTTCACGCTTCGGCGGCCGGGCTTGGAATCCTTTTGAACCCTTAATATCGTTAGATCAGAGGCCTGAGACTAGGTCGTCCTAATATCGACGCCTCTAGCCTGCATCATGTCTGTTCCCTCTGCTCGCTATACGCACGAGAACAAGCAAGAGCCTCAGACATTCGTGATGCAGGTATACCTAGGCACCATCCTCGCTCATCAGTAATGCAGCCCGTTCTGACTTGTTTTCTTATGCTCCCTATTCGCTTACCAAAAGCCACCGATTAAGACTGCCGCAGGGAATGTACGCGCACGTATTGTTCGCTCTCATCTTGTAATGCTACTCATGGGAAAACCCTCCTGAAACCGTGCTACTGTTAGCGCAATCTGGTTTTTGTAGGCGCAATGCTCGAAGACCACTTCGTACAAGCGCTGCTATTAGGATGAGTATCAGTCTCATTCTAACCTTGCCTACAACCTCAAATACCTTCTGCCATTCTCCATCTCTTATCTTGCCCGTTGTGAGTGTTTGGAATGTGTTTTTTGTTCTGGCGTCAATCACTTCTAGTATCAAGAGAAGATGCTCTTTTTATTCACTGTAATCACGTTAATTGGGCAGGCCGTAGCCCAGGACACGAGCAGCTTTGATCCCGACTCGATTAATCTGACCACCAAGGGTATGTTCTCTGGTTTCTGACGCATAAGCTTCGTTGCCCTCTGCATTGCTAACCGAAAGCTCAAAGATCAGTGGTGTCAAGCACAGACCGCCAATTGCCCGACACTTTGTGGTGGACTTTCCCAGACCAAATACAATTCGTGCACTGGTGTAAGTTTTCGGCAAATCGAACGCCTCCATCTATGCGTCAATTGATAAACTTCTTGTCATTAGTCGTCACTTAGTTATACATGCACCTGCTCCAATGGTACTGGCCCTTCGAACATAGCACAATACTTAGGCACCTTGCCCAACTTCATTTGCGAGGCCGCTTTCTCACAATGCCACACGGCCAACCCTGAATCAGATACTTGCAAGGCATGTGGCACACTCGCGCTCTCCAATGTCCCGGCTGCAGCAGCCAGTACGCCGAGTTCCCCATCTGCGAGCTTTGCTCCCACGACTTTAGCCACAGGGGTAGAGATCGACAATGCGATTGCTAACTCATCGACGACACCTATTCCCATGAACTTGTTTGCAAGCTCTACATCAAAAACTTCAAGCTCGAGGTCAGCCGTTCAGAATCCGTCCGCAACAAGCTCTACCGCCACGACTTCTGTGACCACATCTTCTGTATCGAAATCTCCTTCAGATACTAATTCCACGACAGCGAGCTCAGGATCCAGCAACAGCTCTACACCTGCATCCCCGGGTCTTCCCACCTTGGCCAAAGTGGGCATTGGTGTAGGCGTACCCGTCGGCGTGACCGTCTTCGCTAGCATGATTGTTCTGGCATATCGATTTGGACAGCGCAAGCAGCGCACAGATCCAAAACGTGAATCAAATCCTACTGCCATGGACGAAGTAACGACAGTAATGCGTGATGATAACGATACTTGGGTCGGATATGTGCCCGAAATCCATGGAGCAGAGATTCCGCTATACTTAAGTGAAATAGAAGGATCGCAGGCCTTGCGTGAACTGGAAGGGTCATTGGGGCAAAGGAGACAAGAACTTCCTTAGCAACCGATGGTGATACTGGAAAATGTGGTATCATCAACTAGAGCATGTCAGCGTATCTAGTTCCTTCCATATTCTATATATGCGTCCCTTCTATATCCTTTCATATATATTTTATTATTATTCCTTTCATATAGCTAACTATAGATAATAGTATTTTATTTTTTATTAGCTATATAATAGTTAATAACTCTATTATTAAATCTATACGCTTTCTATTATTATTATTATTATATTATATTAAGAGATTATAAGCCTTCGATTAATGCTGATAATATATTAATATTTTAATTATATTAAATTTTAAAAGAAAATATATATATACGTTCTTCTAGTTATAATAGGTAAATTAGAATAATAAGATAATAAAGATTAATAGTCTATTATATCTATATTAGAGAAGTTATAAAAATTATATAATCTATAAATCTAGAAAATAAATTAGATAAAGTCTAAATAATTACGACTTAAGAAGATCTTTAAATTTACTATATTCTTATTAATAATTAATATTTTTATATTTAAGAGAGTATTTAATTAGAATTACTAATATTAAATAATATATAATTATTATTAAATAGCTAGAATATATTTAATTCTTATTAAAATATTAGATTAATTAGAAAAAAAATAAAGAGTATAATAAATAAAAGTTCGCTAATTTATAAATTAAAGATAATATTTATATATCTCTTAAATTAGATAATTATATCTATATTATAAATATTTATAATATATATAATATAATTAAAATACTTAAAGATATATATAAATTTAAAGAATATATCTCTTATAAAGTATTATAAAGAATTATTAGCTATATAAATTTAGCTAATTATAAAGAAATTATTAAATATATTAAGATAATTAAAAAGATTAAAATAAAACTTATTAAGTTAGATTATTAATATATATAAAAGATTATAATATTCTTTCTTTATAGACTTTTCTTCTCTTATAAATTATTTATAAAAATTATTTTAAATAGTCGAGATAAAGACGTTAACGAAAGACTATTAAAATTAGATTTTAATTATATTATTAAATAACTTCTTAATAAAGAATATTATTAGAAATTAACTAGTATTAATAACTTTAATAATAAAGTTATATTTATAAATAATAAGAATAAGAAGAATAATAATAATGATTATAATAATAATAATAATAAAGCTATCTTTAGATCTAAGTGTAACGACTATAGTCTTTATTATAATAGAACTTATTAATTATTTAATCTTAATTAGATCTTCGCTAAGTAAATTAAAAAGAATAAAAATTATATTAAGAAATTTAAGAAGAAGAAGAAGACTAGTAAATCTATCTCTATCGAATCTATTAAAAAATTAAAAATAATAAGAGCGACTTATATGCATCTGCAAATCTAAAAAGTAAATTTCCGTATGATTTCCGTTAGGTTTGTATTATAAGTACGATTTAGTCTATTAAATAGACTTTATCTATATTTAACTCTTTCTATTAGTTTAGCAATTAAATATAATAAACTTCGCGTTTAATAAGTTAAGATAATATTTATTTAAGTTAATTAGATTTTAAAGCGACTATAAGCTATTAATTTAATAATATATATTTAAAAATTTAAGAGACTATATATAAGATAGATTTTCTAGATTATTTAAGTTAAATAATATTATTAATAATAATAATATCTATTAAAAGTTTAATTTAATTAATTAAATATATATTAGAAAGATTTTCGAAATTATTTAAGCTAGATAGTATTATTAATTATAATAATATTTATAAAAATTCTAGATTAGCTAGTCTCGCTAATAATATTAGTATTTATAGCGTATTTAAATTAAATAATATCGTCGATTATAATAATATCTTTAGAGTATTTAATTCGAATTAAATTTAATATCTCTAGATATTTAATAAAAGTTATCGATTTAAGATTTATCGTAATATCTTATTATAATATTAATAATATTTATAATCTCTAAGATATAGATTTTTAAATAATTAGAATTCTAAGCGCTATAGCGATACTTAATTCTCTATTAATTCTTATTTAATTCGCTTAGTAGATAAAGAGACTAATCTTTTCTATTCTATTTACTACGCTATATATTCTTTATATTTTTTCTTCTTATTTAATATAACTTTATTAATTTATAAATACTTATTCTCTTTATAAGTTATCTCTTTTTTTATTCGCTATAATAAAGCTATAGACGATATATTAAAGTTTAATCTTTTTTATCTATTCTCTTTACTTATCGAGATGTGAAGTATTTATACTTCGAGCTTAGAGAGATCTAAGTCTTAATTATTATTTATTAAATCGATTTCTTTCTATTTAATTATTTTATATATTAATTATTTTTTAATAACTCGCGAGATTTTCTTATTATCTTTAAGTAGATTTAAATCTAATCTTTTAAATAATTTAGTATTAGCGAATTTTAATATAACTTCTCTTAAAATATTTATAAAGCTCGATTTCTTAATAATATTATTTAGCGAATTTTTATATAAGTTATTTAATTTAAAAAATCTCTATATCTTTTTTATTAATCTAAGATATATCTTTAAAATACGCTATCGTAATATATAGTATATAATAAATCTTTTCTATTATTTTATATCTCTTTAGAACTTCTTAATATATTTATATATTTTTAAAAAGTATTATAATTATATAAATAATAAAATAATAGTAAAGAGCTTATCTTTAACTTTCTTATTATCTTATCTTTTAATATAAAAATATCTAGAATTATAATTCTCTAGATTATAATAAAGAATAATTATTATAAAAATTATAATATTATTAAATAAGAGTAATTAAAAATACTTACTTCTTTATCTAAATTTGAGAAATACTCTCTTATTATAGAAGAAAATTTTATATAATAATATAACTATTAATTAAAATAAGAAGTATTTTTTATTTTAAAGACTATTAGTTAGAGAAGTTAATTAATCTAAATTTTATAAAATATATTATATTTTATTTATTTTATAAATCTCAGCGCGTAAATTAAAGATCGATTAATAAGTCGCTAATTATCGCCTTTAGATCTTTAGACGATAACGTTATATAGGTCTTAAGATAAGATTAAATAATATTTTAGATTTTCTTTATTAGAATTAAATGAAAATTGTTTATATAGTCGAAAAGCTATATTCTTATTAGAAAGAGTTTAAAGTATTAATAATAATAATTAGTTAAGAGTATTAATATCTTTCTCGCCTCGAAACTTATAGATTAATTATTAATATTTTATATAAATCGAGTATTCTTATAAAGTTATTATCTCTAATCTCTTTATATTCTAATTATTATTTAATTAAGCGCGTTAATATAATATTTTAATTAAAGACTTAACTCTTAAAGATTTAGATATTTAAGATTTTCGCTAATTATAATTATTATAAATAAGATAACTCTTATTATCTTAAATATATTAAAATACTCTTTTTTAATATTATAATTACGTCTTTCTCGCTATATTAAATTATCTTAAAACGTAATTTAATAATTATCTTTATTTAAGCTATCTTATAAAGTATAATTTATATATCTTTCTTTATTCTAATTTATTAATAATATATAATTTAATATTATTAGAAACGCTAATAAAGCTTTAAATTCTCTTATCTTATTTAATAGATATATTAGCGAAAGACTTAAATAAGCTATATATTAATAACGCGACTTTAATATAATAACGCCTAATAACTCTATTTAATATAATATTTTTTAATATTAAATTATTTATAACGATTTAATTATTATTCTACTATATTTAGAATATATATTTATTTTTATATCGAAGCTTTATATAAAGTATTTTAACTTCGTTATTATAAAAATAACTTCTCTTAATAAATTATTTTCTATCTCGATTTAGTATATATTTATTAATTTAGATATTTAATTATATAGTATATTCTTACTTCGCTTTATTAATTTTAATTCTTTATTATTAATAAGAATTATTTTAAATTTTATAATTTATATTAGTTAGTTTATATTAATATTACTTAATTCTAGAATTAATTAATTAATAATTAATATTATTATTTTTTATTTTAGATTTAATAATTTTAATACTTAATTAAGATTTAAATAAGAGTCTTTCTATTATTTTCTATTAAGATATTAGCTTAATAGAAGATATAAATTAAATAAGAATATATCGAGTTTATAATCTTTATCTTTATCTTTAACTTTAAAAGAGAAATCTTTTTTAATATTTATAATAATATATAAAACTAAGAGAGTATTATTAATATTAAGAGAAGCTTTATTATATATAATAATTATAATTATTAATAACTTCTTTATCTTCTATAAATTAATAAGATTATTTAAGAATTTATTATTATTATAATTAGATACTATATATATACTTTTTTTAAGCTTATATATTTTATAGCGTTGAAACAATTTAAGATCTATCTATTTATATTCTTTAACGCGTCTTTTTCTCTTATTAATCTTCTCTATTTTACTCGCTTTCTATTAATATATAATTAATAATATCTTTATAAATAAGTAAATTATAATTTATATTTTCTATCTTTTTAGCTTTCTTCTCTCTTCTAGCGTTTTTAACTCTCTTTATTATTATTCTCTTTTTCGCGTTTTATTTTAAAGTCTTTATAATCTTTATAATTTAAATATAATAAATTTATTTAATAAAATATAAAGTATTATAAATCTTCTATTATTATTAAAAATTAGAATAAAATTAATATTAAATATTAAAGATAATAATAAATAAAATATAAAAGTAAATATATTTAAATAAATAAAAAAATAAAAGAGTAAAAAGAAGTTATTAATTTAAAAAGAGAGGTTATTAATTAACGTATTTTTAATTTATTTAAATTAAAGCGCATTAAATCTCTATTTAAATTTAACTATCTATCTAATTTAGATACTCTATTTAAATTAAATAATATTTTTACTAATAATTTCTATTTAAATTAAATAAATTTTTTATTAATAATTAATATTAAGTTAATTA